CCCCTTGTTACCCCTTGTTACCCTTGTTACCCCTTGTTACCCCTGTTACCGTTTGTTACCCCTTGTTACCCTTGTTACCCCTTGTTACCCTTGATACCTCTTGTTACCCTTCGTTACCCCTTGTTACCTTTGTTACCCCTTGTTACCCTTGTTACCCCTTTTTACCCCTTGTTATCCTTGTTACCCCATGTTGCCTCTTGTTACCCCTTGTTACCCTTGTTACCCTTTGTTGCCCCTTGTTACCCCTTGTTACCCCTTGTTACCCCATGTTACCCCTTGTTACCCTTGTTACCCCTTGTTACCCCTTTTACTTTTGTTACCCCATGTTACCCTTGTTACCCCTTGTTACCCTTGTTATCGTTTTTTACCCCTTGTTACCCTAATTACCCCATGTTACCCCTTGTTACCCCTTGTTACCCCTTTTACCTTTGTTACCCCATGTTACCCTTGTTACCCCTTGTTACGCTTGTTTCCCTTTGTTACCCTTGTTACCCTTTGTTACCCTTGCTACCCCATGTTACCCTTTTTACCCCATGTTACCCTTGTTACCCTGTGTTATCCCGTTTTACCCTGTGTTACCTTGTGTTACCCTTGGTACCCCATGTTACCCTTGTTACCCTGTGTTACCCTCGTTACCCTGTGTTACCTTTGTTTCCTTGTTTTACCCAATGTTACCTTTGTTACCCTGTGTTACCCTGCGTTACCCCATGTTACCCTTGTTAACCTTTGTTACCCTTGTTACCCTGTGTTACACTTGCTACCCCATGTTACCCTTGTTCCCCTGTGTTACCCTTGTTACCCTTTTTTAACTAGTGTTACCCTTGTTACCCTTGTTACCCTCTGTTACCCTTGTTACCCTCTTTTACCCTATGTTACCCTGTGTTGCCCTGTGTTACCTTTGTTACCCGGTTTTTCTGAGTGTTCCTCCGTGTTACCTTTGTTACCTTGTGTTGCTTTGTATTTCCGCGTGTTACCGCTGTCATTCTGTGTTCCATGTGTTACCCTTGTTACCCTGTGTTCCCCCATGTTACCCTTTGTTACCCTTCTTACCCTGTGTTACCCTGTGTTACCCCGTGTTACCTTTGTTACCCTCTGTTACTGTTCTTGCCCTGTGTTACCCATTGTTCCCCTTGTTACCCCGTCTTACCCTTCTTTTCCGGTGTTACCCCGTGTTACCCCATGTTACCCTGTGTTACTTTTGTTATCCTGTATTACCCCATGTTACCCTCTGTTACCTCGTGTTACCCTTGGTACCCTGTGATACCCCGTGTTACCCTTGTTACGCTGTGTTTTCCTTTTTATTCTGTGTTACCCCATGTTACCCTTGTTACCCTGTGTTATCCCGTTTTACCCTGTGTTACCTTTTGTTACCCTTGGTACCCCATGTTACCCTTGTTACCCTGTGTTACCCTTGTTACCCTGTGTTACCTTTGTTACCTTGTGTTACCCAGTGTTACCTTTGTTACCCGTGTTACCTTGTGTTTGCTTGTTACCCTGTTACCCCATGTTTCTTTTGTTACCCTGTGTTACCCCGTGTTACCCTTGTTAACCTTTGTTACCCTTGTTACCCTGTGTTACCCTTGCTACCCCATGTTACCCTTATTACCCTGTGTTACCCTCGTTACTCCGTGTTCCCCCTCGCTCTTTACCCTTGTTACCCTGTTTTTCTTTGTGTTGCCTTTTGTTACTGCGTGTTACCCTGTGTTACCCTTGTTACTCTGTGTTACCCTGTCTTACCCTTTGTTACCCCATGTTACCCTGTGTTACCCTTATTACCTTGTGTTACCACATGTTACCCTGTGTTTCCCCTTTCTTACCTCATGTTACTCTGTGTTACCCTTGTTACTCTGTGTTACCCCATGTTACCCTGTGTTACCCTTTCTTACGCTGTGTTACTCTGTGTTCACTTGTGTTACCCTTGTTTCCCTGTGTTATTCCGTGTTACCCTGTGTTTCCCTTGTTACCCTGTGTTCACCCATGTTACCCTTGTTACCCTCTGTTCCCCCGTGTTACCCTGTGTTCCCCCATGTTACCCTCTGTTACTTTTGTTACCCTGTTACCCTTGTTACCCTTTGTTCCCTAATGTTATCCTTGTTACCCTCTGCTACCCTGTGTTACCCAATGTTACCTTTGTTACCCTGTGTTACCCCTGTTACCCTGTGTTACCCTTGTTACCCGGTGTTACCCTGGGTTATCCAATATTCCCCTTGTTATCCTGTGTTACCCCGTGTTACCCTGTTTTACCCCGTGTTACCCTGTTTTTCTCTTGTTACCCTGTGTTTCCTTGTGTTACCCTGTTTTACCCTACATTACCCAGTGTTACCATTTGTTGCCCTTTGTTACCCTGTGATTTTTTATGAAAGTAGAAATTTAAAGCACAATTAAAGTTCTTCTTGATTGTTTAGAGGTTTAGAAATAATTTGTTTAATATTTAGTAATCAACTAATAGCTCACTGATTTTTTTATTTTGGGGTACCATCTTTTATGCCTGGGTACCCCAGCTGAAATGCTTGGGAACGCGAAGGGCTCCCTGAAAGTTTTTCTCAGAGCAAAGGTTTGCGCCCTGTAGTTATTGAAAGTCTGATATATTACATGCTGGACTGCGAGCAGTATCTTATTTTTCTTTGTAAAGTTACTGCAAGAGAAACCTATAACACGCGAGCCGCGATAAAGGTAGGTTACCCCCCAGCAGTATGTCGCCTATACTCCACCTGGGTGGAGAGAGACAAATGAGTGGAGTTAAGTTCCTTGTCTCAGGAAACAACGCCAAGGGCGAGGCTTGAACCCCGGGCCCCAAGATCCGGAGTTCGAGATGTTAACTGCTCGGCCACCCACGCCTCCACAGCTTATAAGTACGCCCAGTTTTGCTTTTAGAACAAATGTCACGAGTAAGAATAACAAGATACTGCCATCGATCAAGAATTCATCAAAACGCAAGTTAGTTAACTATTTGCCCATGCGAACACACTAGCGATTGCCACGAGTCGCGCACCGAATTAGGGGGTGGTTCATGACCAGCGTGAACACCGGTAAGACAAGAAGCTTCCCAGGACCTGTGATTTAGCGATGATGTCTTTTCGGCTGTGTTTGAAGAAGGAAAAATGCAGGGCCTCACAAGGATAACGTTCGAGAAGCTTAAAGACCCTCAAGTTGCGGATGCCTACCAAGCAATGATTGGAGGGAAATTTGCACCACTTACAACAGCAAGAAAGCATACAGCTAGTAAAAACTCTACCTAGCACAAAACAATGACTGTACTGTACATCATTTTCGGGAGAAAAGACTTACAAACATTTTGCGTTCTTTTAACACTCTTTTGTAAAAGCCGTTAGACAGGTTTCTGTTAAGACTATTCTGTGCAGCATTTCTGCGATAAAAGAGCTGCCAAGAACAATAACAAACATTATTGTTGATAGCAAGTTAACATTTTAGCCATTCACGTTACTGGAGAAGTTTCTGTTCGATCTTGTAAGCCCTTCTTATGTATCAAAGGCCCTTGTCATTGAAGGAGCTTGGAAGTAATAATACAGCATATTTATAATCTAGTTATCTTTAATCTTTTATGGTCCATAATTATTAACAAAGAACTAAAGAATTGTAGAAACTACAATGCCTCTGGGGCGTTTACATATTATTCCACAAGTTTAAAGAGAAAACAATTTTTTTCGCTCATAGCCCCCTATTACGGACACTAAAACGTCCCCCCGAGGGTGTCCGCAATAACGGGAGTCGACTGTAATGGCCTAAGCCCAATACGAGGAAACTCCGCACGAAAGGGGTACCTTTTTCAAGCTTTAGGTGTGTAAAAGGGTGGGGAATAAAACAGCCTGGGATTTAAGTATTTTTAAGGGTCTCAAGTTCAGAAGTTTCGAAAAGACGCGCCCTCTGAAAATGAAAGAGGACTAGGACTCCCTGTTTTAGCCATTTATCGGTGGAAGGTATAGAAAGGGCTGGCTTCTTTGTCAAAAATAGTTTGTGAAAAGGTAAGGGGTTGGACCTCGGGGCAGAACCTTTCTCGAATTAAGACTTTGTCAAGTAGCCCCTCGCCCATGGACCCTAAATTCCTTGGGGTTGTCACGCAATTAATCCACCCGAAAGGAAACCCAAAAACCTTCTGCGTGGGATGGTGAATTTTTCCCATTTTGAACGTGATCTTTATCAGAATTCAACATACGTTGCGTGATCACAATCACGAGACGACAAATTATCTGCAATTTGACCATGTAAGCGGACTTTAAGACTTTCCTTTAGTTTCTAAACTACTTTTAACTTACAAGTAACGGACGAGGATTATCCTTACATATTTCGGTTAATAGCGGAAAGGTCGAGAGTCTGATGATAACTAGGTTTACAGGGCGTGTAAAATAAAGAACTTCCGATATCCGCGATACTAATCTTCTCCCGCCAGAAACGCAGATACGTCAAGCTTATTCTCTCTTTGATACATACATTGCAACAAAACTTTAAAGCAGTTTTGCAGTTTGTCATGCCCGGTGTATATGGAGCTTTATTGAAAAACTCAGATTTCTTTCAGATTTAGCCTAGCTCATGCAGAACGTAGGCGGAAAACACTGACAGCATACATTTTTCCGGCTATTCATTTCCAATCAAAACAGTCGACCCGGACAATTTAGGATAAAATCAAATATTATTTGGTCAAACAATACCAAGAGAAGCCGGTCGAGGGTCGAGAGTTCCCAATATGTTTTTCGGGATACGGGATTTCCCATCTTTAAAACTCGGCATTCCAATCAGGGCGACATTCGGGATTGAAAGTATCCACCTTCTATTCCCAAATCGTAGCCCCTGAGTCACATACCAAAATGTACTGCCTTTTAAATATGAATAAATCAGGAAACCAGGATTATTTTCTACTTTGTCATTGCCGTAAATTCCTTCTGTTACACTTTTTAGGCCCTTTAGCTTAGCTTAACATTATCTCCAATGACCAAATGACTAACTTTAGATAGAGTATTTTTAAAAGGGAGACTACTTTGAAAAAGCCCCCGAGGGTTTCCTTTGTCTTCGTCCCAAAAGCAGATTGTAACAGCCAAATATACATGCTGTACTATTTCAATATGGGAAATAGAGTCATTCATTCATTCATTCATTTTAGAGACCTAAATGATCAAATTTCCCTGCCCTCTCATTTACTTTGTCGAGCGAAGGAAGCGAACCGCGAGGGGCTTTCGTTTCCCTCACGCCCCTCGCTGTAGCGTCTCCTTTTTACGACATATCCCCCATGGTTTCTTTCGAAAATATAGATGAGACCTAAATTAGCCCGTCCATCAAAACATGCAGACGAGCAATATGTATCCCTTAGCTCCATTGAATCACACTACAATTTGCATCCGATATTCGATGTGTTATTAATTTCCCATTCAGCAACGATATTTGTAAGTAGAAGGGACCAACAGTGATTTCATTGGTGACACCAAAGCGATCGTGTTGGAATCTGTTTTTGTAAAATGTCGCATCAATAGCCCATGTTCGATTTATGATAATCACTAAGCCTCCGAGGCTCTCTGGTCATTTTTCTATATTTGGTTCGATTTTCCTTGTGCTCAAGTCTCTCATTGCGAGAGAATGGAGTCGTCAATGTGAAAAATGCGCAATTTTGACCGTAAAGCCTTAGAGTTATGTAAGAATTTTATTATGTCGAACGTCCTCGTTCAAAGGTACCCGAATATTAGCGACGCCAATGAAAAGGACTTTGCGACCTTTGAAACTTTTTCGCCCTTATACCAAGTCACCCAGTTACTTGAAAGTTAGGAATTTAGGTTAAGAGAGAGAATAAAATTTTTCTCGCCTTGCCGTTCCCGTTCTCAGTCAACTCAAAATTTGGTCATTTCACGTCGCACTTGTGCAGGGACGGCAAAGAAATGTACAAAAAAGCGTGCGTGATGCATGAGTTGTTGTTTTGCTCATAAATCCTATTGTGTTATAGACGTTCCCGTTCCCGTTCCCGTTCCCTTGTCGTCGTAGTCTCGTAAGGTCCCTATAATTGAAAGCGGGAGATTTTTATCTCCGTTTTCGAAAAAACGCGTTCACGTAACGAACGTACCGGTATTCGAATCATTTTCGCACATCCACACGAAAACGCTTACGATCAGCATCCCCGCAGGGCATGCGCTGTATGATGTATGACATCATAGTTTTCGAAAACCTCCGTTTCCGTCCGTCAAAAAACTGGGGACCGTTTTAGAAAAGTTGCGTTTTATAGCGCCCGAAGAAGCCCTTTACCTGTGCCAACGGCCGGCGGTCAAGATGGCCACGTTTTTTGTTGCTCTCGTTATTCAGCAATTTTACAAACATTTTAGGCTAAGCTTAGAGGAAACCTTTTTAAAAAAAGGACAGCAAAAAAAGTGACAAAACATGTTGTTTTCTTAAATCACTATTTATTAGAACCTAAAATAGTTTCCTATATTACGTTATTTTAGGGGCACAATATTATTTGACCCACTAATGTGCCCCTGACTCTTTCTTCTTTTTGTGAAAGACGTACCGTGACTCAAGCTCTAACGTTTGTCTGTGATTTATCTTGCGCTATTTATAATGGAATGGAAAAAATGAAATGGCGGAAGCCTAAAACGGAGAAAAAAATCTCCGTTTTCAAAAATATCCTGCAGCTCTGTGCGGAATTCTGGAAGCTTATTGGCTTATTGAAGTGTGTTAATGGCATTAACGCTCGATTTTTACGAATAATTTTTAAAAAGTCATTTTAACTCTACAACTCACTTTTATTTGCATTATCGTTTCTTTGAAAGAGTATTTCGATTTATTTACTCAGCTTTTTAGACAGAAAACATGTTTTTCACTTTATTCTGTCGCTGTTCTTTTTACTTTCGCTCTTGCGAAGCAGAGCATGTAATTAACACGATACTGAAAAATTAGCGGTGCCGTGCCCAAAATTTCAGGCACCGGTGCCCACTTTTAGGGGTGCCGTGCCCAAAAACGTCTTGATGTTCTAGATTTTTCGGCAAATAAACACGCTAGCAGACCGTAATAGAATGAACTAGAAAGTATTTTCACTGCTGTCGGCTACGCCTCGCACAACACTGATTTGAATTTGTCGTTTGCGCGCTATTTGCGGATAAAATACTCTTATAAGTCTCCAAAAATCCAGGAAATCCAGAAAACCAGCTAGCAGATTTTCGGAAACAGCGAAACAGCTAGATTTTCTCAAAATTTTTTAGGTCGAAATAATTACATTTTTTTGGCGATTACGTTATCCTTTCGAGAACGCTATTTGATACTTATTCAGTCTTCAGGTCCCCATTTGTTTGCCCTGATTTAATTTACCAAAATTGATAACTGTTTAATGCACTGTTTATGCAATTGATCACTGTTTTATCTATCTGGCTTAGCAACCAGTTAAATGACTATTTCATGTAATTATAAAATATGCAAATCTACCGAACGTCACTAAAGCGGTCATTAAAAATCGTCTTCTAAATTTTCTCCTAATCGCTTGGAAAAAACGTATGTAGTAAAAATCGATTCCACGTTTTTTTTTTTTTGATAGTGTTCTCGGCGCTAGGTGCGTCTGGCTTCCGCATTAAGTCATTTTCTTGGTTGCAACGCCCGCTTGTGCAAAAAAAAATTGTTTTTGCTTTAAAATCTAATATTACGTTTAACTCAAATCATACCAATTTTTTGTCTTTAATATATTTTCTGCGGGGAGATGTGATGTTTGCTTAAGTTTTCTTTTTTTTCACTCTTTCTGTTTCCATTTTAAAATATGTTATTTTTTCCCACAATAAATTTACGTCGTGGGTGCTTTTGGCACCTTCTTGACAGCTGGCGATTTCTCGTCCATTGTAACTTCTTCAATATTACAAAAACAAACACAACGTTAAAAGGGTGCTAACAGGCGATTTTTAGAGCCAAAATCCCGCTTTCCCTTAGTGCATTGGTTAAGAACTGCTTCGAGAGATATACGTAAGCGCTTTTTATAGAATTTCACTTATCTCCTTGGAAAATAATTTCAATTTTCAATCATTTTCAGTTTGCGATCAAGCGAAGTCATAATTTTGATCAAACTTTTCCGGGCAGCGGCTCGAGTCGTCAATGAATGCGGACCAATCAGCGTGCGAGCTCCTGTCATCTGATCGCAAAGTCAACATTCGACGGTTTCCTTTCGGGAAGAGAAATATGGCGGTGAATTTGATGACTCGTTTGTTTTTTAACTAGAATCATTAACATTAGAGCGGCCAAAGAGGGACGATATGGGTTGATTTTTACGATGCAATGCATAGTTTGGCCTTCTAGACCAGAATGGACAAACATGATCGCTTTATCGGTGAGATTTTTGCTTGTGAAATCGTGTCCTTGAAAGACTACGACATGTTTTGTTACGTTCTGTTTTTTGCTCACGATTTCCATATTTCTTATTTGTCTTCATAATCTTACAAAGCTTGGTCTTGTTTATGTAACCACAGTGAAAACATCTACTAATCATACGATCTTAAAATCTTGATTGTTTTTTGGATGCTTTTAAAGCTTTCGCTGTATATCGTTAACACTAATGTTAATTTCTACTTCCCTCCATAGCCATCAACCAAACGCTACCCGGGCTGGAAGACTTTCTGAAAGTGGTTCTGGGTAGCGAACCTTTGAGCGAAGAAGCGGAAAGACAACGAATTGAATTTCTTAGAAGGCTAGAAAGTGTTTCGAAGCCTCCTTCGCTGCCGCCAAGACCTGCACATTTGAGTGAACGTTATCGAGCGCGTGTCCAGCAAAATGAACTCAACTATTCCGGAAGCGCTCTACCCGCTGAGGAAGGCAACCTTTATAAAAACGAAAAGACGTTAGACCCCGTTGAATTCGCTTCGCAACAACGTGAATTATCAAGGGTTACGAATTTATACAAGACTTATTTACCACAAACTGTTGTGTTGGGCGAGAAAGGAAGCAAAAATGGTGGCTTGTATTTTCCAAAAACAGGGAATACAACGTTCTCCAGGGTAAGTTTTGTTTAAAAAATTTCCTTCGATATTTTTTTATTATTCAGAGTATTTCATTCAAAATGGACTCAAGTAATGATTTTAAAACTACCTCACGTGTACGTGACTAAATTTAGTATTCAAAAGAAAGCCATACCAGTATGCGCTTTCATGCAGCGAAATCAGTCATACCGGACACAAAATTCGCCCGTACAGTAAGCTTCTTTCCTAGCTCGTGTATTTTTAATTAGAGACCCCGTTTACGGTGAGAAATCTATGGAAATGTTCCGCTATATGTTCAGTTTGCAGCAATTTGACCTCTTGTGACATAGCCTTTCGGCGTTGTAGCCGCTGGTGTGTGGAGTTTTGTTTGATAAAGTTATCGCGTGAACTTAATCATCCATCGATCGCCGACCGTTCATTGCAGTTGTAGATTTCATTGCTGATAAGGAACAAAGTGCGTATGAGAGATCTATAAAGCGCCATTTTGTCATTCCCAGTTGATTTCTTTGAATGTATTTTTATGGTTTTTCTCTGCGATGTTGAATCACTATTTAAACAATTGCGTTGAAAATAGCATCTAGCTAGATCCTTTCTTTAAAACGGACAAAAGATCTTTTGTCCAAGAAACTATCAATATGCTAAATTTCATTGTGTGCCGGTTGTTTAGCACAATGTATTATTTGAACCTTCTACTGATAATTTTTCATGAAAACTCGATATTACTTTCAGCAGTACATCACAAACGCCTTCAAAAATGCTGCATTCATCTTGACTGTAAAATTATGAAGGTCTCCTCAGAATTAGCTTGTTTTTATCTCATCTATTAATAACTTGATTATCAAAAGTAGGTTCTTTTTTCAGGATCATTTACTTTGCTAGTAATAAATAATCATATTTTTGATGCACGTTTTTTAAACCTCTGTCTTAAATTTGTGAGCAGTTATCTTTCAAATGCCAAGGTATTTCCGCAACAATAACATCATTTGATTTGTTCAGTGTTGCAAAATCAATTTTAAAACATCAATTAGTGGCTTTTGATTTCAGTTTTCAGTGTTTGAAAGAAACTGGGTGGTAAAATAAGTTAACTGAAAACTTTCTTTTAGAATCTCAAGGATGTTTTATCAATGTCAAGATCCTTATGTACCATCCTGTAATACTAGATTTGTTACATGGATTTTTTTGTTTTCACAGATTATTTCACAGATTATCTTAGGGAATGTAAACTCAAAATTACAGAAAAACGAAACAAATTTCATTTTGTTATACTGGAAAACAAACGCTTCCATATAAAAGCTCTGCTAACAAGGTTTCATTTGAATGGTCACAATCCAGGATTTTGTCTGCAGACTCTGATGGTAGAATTCATTTGATGTTGCGGCATTTGATTCAAGGAGTAGAAGCCAAAGGGGTTAAATGGAACAGATAAGCAGATTAAAAAACTTCAAAGGTCTTTTTACAAAAGAGGTTCAATAAGCTCTTCAGATTTTCAATCAAATTTTGTTCCTGTTTTAGATACCTTTATCATGCCTAATCAAAGAAATTGGTGTTTTTCAACTCAGTCAGTTTATGGATAGGCCTCCCTGAAGAGAAAAGACATGTAGAGCTGATAATTTGTGTCGTAGGCTGTCATCTTGACAAATCCAAGTTCTACAGCAAGTAAACATCAGTTCTTGAATCTCTATAAAAATCCAATTCCTGTTCTAAACTCGACAAGCACTGTAGTTGTTTTCGAAGGTGCCTAATTTATACCTAATGTATATGTGTGTTACTTGAAATCTTTCTTTGGTTTGAAATTTTTTATACCAGTTTAAATGTTTATATTCATTTGTGTCTGGTTGTGGTACAAAAATTTCGCTTGTTTGTATAAATATAAACCTCAAAATTATCATTGTACTTTTATCTTATGTTCATATGTGAAAACTAACACGACTCCAAATTCTCTTTTGATAATTTTTAAGAGTCCCTTAAAAACGTTTGAAGTTTCTGGTTAGGAATATTATTCAGTCATGCATATTTGGTGGTTGGTATGTATTGTGTTTCAAGAGTTGGACATTAAAGCATCTCGAATGTTTGTAAATGTTTCCGTTCAACGACACTATGCAAATGTGAAGTCAAGTACTCATTGTTGTCTCGTCAAGACTCATCTGCAGTCCTTGTCTTTTCTGTAGACTTTTCACCCTGATTTCATAAACTGTGACACCTTAAACCATTTACATCCAGAAAAAATTAATCGTAACTTTAAATAACTTAGTCTACTCCACATACTGCGAAGGTCAATCTCTGATTTGTATGCAACATTGCATCTCTTAAGCGTTCTATAAAAAGTAAATTCATCACAAGACGTAATTTATCAGTTGACTGCAATTCACTGTTCTTTTGTAAAACTTTCACCTCCTCATTATGAAAACAGAATGCAATCATTGTTGTTTACATGTAAATCTAGGCTGTGAACATCATAGATTGTGCATGTAGTAACCCGAAGTGACAGGGCAGATTTACATGAAGCATTAACCCTTTGTTGCATTTTCAGTTAAAATGACCTTCCTTTAATACTAGCAACACTTGCTCCTACTTTAATCAAGATAGTCTATTTAACTGTTTTGAATCGATTTGCATTGTTGACCAGTGTTCTCTTACCAAGGTCATGCCTTGGGCATTTAAACTGCAAACAACTAATGGAGGCCTCAATTAAACTCTTCTTTGTGTTAACAGCAGACTTGGCTCTGCAATCCTAGATTTGTATCAAACTGCAACTTTTTTTTCAGGTTCACTTCAGTGTTTATAAAATAAGGATTTAATCACTGTTCTTGACAGTCTTTCTTGCTATTATACCTACATGTAATAATGTAAAAAACCTGAACTCACTTCTACTGTGCATAAGTTCAGCTTTTGGACTCTTACGATATATCACCAATAAATATGAAGAGAGCCATACCACAAGTAAAAATGATAACAAAACTTATTTCAATCATCAGGCTTTAGTAATACCCTCAAGAGTTACAAAAACTGGTTTTTACGGTGATCAAATTTATCAAAAACATACAAAGGGAGTGCTTGGAGCTGGGATTATAGCAATATGCATTTTTAATAATAAATTTTGTCTGGCTACATTTACATGTATGTCTACTGAGATTGGTAGTAAGAGCAAATTACAGGAATGTGATTGTTGAGTAAGAAAGTGCTGGGCTGTTTCTATGGCTGCAAAACTGCCATGTTCGCCTTAAATTGATATTGGAGTGTCAACTTACTTTTGAGCTTTACTCAGCCAAGTCAGAATGAGTCGGTAACCAGCAATTTTGATTTGCAATTCCAGTGAAATATTTGTTGCCTATTCAGCACTAATAATAATATTATATGAAATATATGTAAATAAAAACAGCGTACAAAGAAAGTCGTGTCCGGTAGCTCGGGGCTAGTGGATTTAGCTATCGGGCTAGTGTTTTTTGTTCTTAACTTGCCCGACGGGCAAGTGCTGTTTTTTTGGGAAATTTAAATTACAGAAGGATTTTTATCAATCCTGTCAATCAAAAAGGGTTTGGGGGCTAGTTGAAATGACTTGTGGGCTAGTACATGCTATCTACAGGTTGCCCGAATGGCAGGCTATAAAACTGACTTTCTTTGCACCCTGAAAAACCACACAATGTTAGTCCTTTTCTGTCCGCTACTCTGGTTGTCACTTGCCCATCAGCAAGTTAAGAACAAAATTCACTTGCCCAATAACAAAATCCACTAGCCCTGGGCTGTCGGACACTACTTTCTTTGCACACTGACAGAGCTCTGTCAGTGTGCAAAGAAAGTAGTGTCCGACAGCCCAGTGCTAGTGGATTTTGTTATTGGGCAAGTGAATTTTGTTCTTAACTTGCTGATGGGCAAGTGAAGTTTTTTGAGGAATTCAAAGTACAGAAGAACTGTGAATCAATTGTGCTCATCAAAAAGTTTTCGGGGCTAGCTGAAATGTCATTTCGGCTAGTAAATGCTAGCTTCAGCTTGCCCAAATGTCAAGCTGTAAAAATGACTTTCTTTGTACCCTGTCTGTCAAGGGGATTTAATTATTATTTTTTTATTTCTGTAGAGTTAAGTGATTTCAATAAGAACCTTACAGTTGTGGATATACAGTACATATATTGTGGGTTCAAATTAAATTTAGGTTAAAATTTTTTAATATAGGTTCATTCTCAATCTCCTTTGTGTCTTAACGCCTTTAGGCCCGATATCAACATGTCCTTGTATATTCTCCGTACTGCCCCCTATATGTTTCTTATGGCACTGCTTGAGAGAATTAGGTGAACAAACATCAAGACATTTCATCAGTGCAATGTTCCCAGCTGCGACCATTTTGGTCGCCATAGAGAGTAGAAAAAAAATTTGGCGACTAAGCTTGCCGTGAAAGTTGCCGATTTGGTGACCTATGTTCAGCAATCACGAGCCTAGCTATTCCCAAGAAATTCCCGAGATTTTGCGTGATGTTTTTTTCTTGTAGTTAGTGTTTATGGTGTTTTTAAGCTACACTGCTTCTCTGGGATTTAAGCCTTGAGATGTTATGTGCATGTCCAATTTAGATTGTAATGGTTAGGCAGCCATTCTGATTCTTTCAAATGTTCATGTAGTGTTGCATGAAGTGTCCCTTTTTTCAGGGGACTGATAGTTTCAGTCTGGTGACCATTTTATAATTTTAGGTTGCCAAAAGTACTTTGAAAAAAGTTGAGCTTGGAGCACTGCAGTGCTGATCATTCCATTCATTCTCTTGACCTGTATATTTTATGTGGAAGTGATATTGTTGGGAGAAATTTGATGGTGATCAATACTGGGACTTAGAGGGCTAAACCTAATTCATGAATAATTAGGCTCTGATAGCAGGGTTCGTACAGGTCATGGAAAACCTGGAAAGTCATGGAATTTAATTGTTGATCCTGGAAAGTAATGGAAAATAAAAGTTTTGTTTGATAGATAAGTTAAGTACTGCAGATGACAATGCAATGACAATGTAAGATAAAGAGGAGTACATTTAATTAACCAGTGCATATGTCATACATTGTGGTGGACACCAGAGTTTGTGTCTGTTGAACTGTTTAAGGTCATGGAAAAGTCATGGAAAGTCATGGAATTTGAAGAGCTCGAAAGAGTACCAACCCTGTGATAAGAACCCTCCCCCAAATAAGGGCCCACCCCCAAGGCCATAATATCAAATAAGTTTCCCCAACAAATAAGCACCCCTCCCCTCCCCCTCACTTTCTTAAATAGGAGGGATACAAGGAAAACCAGCTTCTATTGCCACTGTATGTTAAATTTTCAGGCTTCTACTACAGTGGAATTAGTAAAGGAGAATAGTTTCTTTTCTGTCAAGTCACGTACAGTTTTTTTTATATCCATGTGCTTGCAGAGTTCCTTTATGTGCGTTATCTCTTCTTTTAATTTTTGTCCTATTTCCTCGCTCCTGGTAAATACCATAAACTCCCCCGCAACAACTAAATCATTCTCTAGTTGCTTTAAAGCACCCTCCTTCGAATAAGCACCCATCCTTTTAGCTGAAATTTGAAGAAAGTGCCTAGGCACTTATTCAAGGAGATGCAGTAAACCCTTCTCCTGTAATGTGTGATTTTTAACTGTAAAGTTTACGTTTTCCAGGAGAATCTTAGAGACTCCATCCAAAGTACAAGCAGTGCAGAAGATGACATCTATGAACATTTAAAAAGTATTTCTCCTAATCAACCAATCACTCCATTTGAAGCAATCCCTGACTCTAAAAATGATGATACATTCGTATATCCAAGCCCTCCCAAGACTCCACAGGAACACACTGGAACTGGAATTTATGTGGGAGCTCGGCCCGGCAGCTTCAGGGCATCTGCTGGGAAGGGAAAGATCTCGACCGGATGGTAAGGACATAGATTGTAACCTTTAGTAGCAAGTTATACGTTAATTAACTGCACCTTGTGGCAAAGTTTGAAGAAAAAATGAAAATTCAGTAAAAATCATGCAATTACATATACCTTTTAAAAGAGAAATTTAGAATCAAATTTCCAGCAAATCGCCAATGTCAGGTTTTGCCACATGACAATGTTTTCTCTTCACTTATAGTGTACACTGGAACCTCAGTATAACAAATCTCTATATAAAGATATTATTAATTCCTAGGTATAACAAGGGATTTTGTTTACCCAAGGAAAAATAAAAAATATGGAAAAGAGCCTTTATAGAACAAACCTCTTCATAGCGAAGAAATTATGCCCTTGGACCTTCGTTATATCGAGGTTCTACTGTGCACGCAATAGGGATTATGTCTTGAATGGTAGCAGAAGTGCTTAAAAATCCTTTATTAACAAAAGTTGTTATACCTGTAAGCACAAAGGTTGTAATAACATTGAAAGTTCTGATCATCATTTCTGCCAAAGTTGAGAACTTTGTTTTGAAGTACAAAGATTTAACCTGTGAGCAAACATACTAAAAGTTGCGTAAGATCCATATTAAACCAGTAATATTGTAAGGAGAAATGAGATGAAAAAAAAGATTGATTAGTAGGCTTTACTGGACCGTTGCAGCTTTTAACTTTATACTTTTGGTAACCTTCAACAGAAAAGAATTTGCTATAAATGAAAGACACCATCAAACCTCTATTAAGTGACAGACAATTGTCTGTAAGTCGCCTGAACAACTATAAGTGGCTGTTTTCCCTTTCCCGAAAGAAAAAAAGTTGATTTTAATCTTTGCTACATTGTGCATGCAGGCAACGCGGCACTCAACTCTCTCGATAACCGAAAATAATTAGCTTGATGTCATATCTTTTTTCCACAGGTTTAAAAAAGAAACCAAAGTTTATGAAGGAGTTTACGTGTCGAACTTACGAGAACCTATCATCAAAGGCTACCTGAAGGACATTAAGGCAAACAAACGTCGCTGGTGCGTCTTACAAGGTAACCGCCTCCACATCTTCAAAACACAAGATGATCCAGCGATGATGATTATCGACCTGCTTGGTTGTGATATCGGTGTAGATGACAAGAAGAAGATAAGTTACAGCTTTAGGCTGACGCCTAAAGAGGGACCGGGTGTGTCTCTTGCTATAGAGGACGGCCAAGATCTATCCCCGTGGATGAGTGCAATCATGGCCGCTGTCGTGAGACGTGGCAGCGTTGATCGTCCAATTAGTCCTCTAGAGAGTGCATATTCTTTGGAACAGGCCAGAGCTGAGAAAGCAGCTCGCGGCTTTGAAGTTGATGGTGGAATAGAAATGGAAGAAGCTGATGTGGAAAATATCTATGAAGAGCCTATTGATCAAGACACAGTAAGTTCTGTTCACAAAATTGTCCTGTTCCTTCTACAGAGAGAAGCAGCGTGTTTGAGTGGCAAGCGTGTCAGACTTGCAATCCAGCAGTCCCGGGTTTGAGTCCCGCTCTGGGACCCGTTTCTCGAACATCCCGGTAACTTTTCGGGCCCGAAATCAAATATTCAAATCGAAATATCAAGAATAAGAGCGCGGGTCCTGGCAGGCAAACTACTCTATTTTGATTCATTAACTGATAGTTTTATCATGTTAGATGCAAAGCTATTGAAATCTCGATCTTTAATGTAAACGGAGACAGCATACCGGGCCCGTTAATTATCGGGACTTTCGAGAAACGGGCCCCTGGTCACTTGCTGAATTTGTTCTCGGTCGTCCCGAGTTGAAATCCTCGGTTTACGGTCAAGTCGCCCGAAAGTCATCTCGCCCGACGCAGGAGTCCATCAAATTGACAAATTTTTTGTTGAGTTTTCCTCATTTTAATTTTCTACTTATGATTTATTCAATAAACGCGTTTGTTTGATACTGTTCGGACAAGCATTACACTGACCGCTTAAAGCTACGTCACAAGGATATTGCTGTTTTATGTTAATAGTTATACTGTGCTGAAGTTATTAGTTAGTGCCATTAAGAAAATGCTCCTCTAAGTTATGAAACAGTTTGCACTAACCATAAGTTGGCGTCCAACTTTTTCAGTTTTCAATTCATATTCATCCTTGCCATCCATTGCAACAGACGACAGGAAAAATGTAAATAATTATTTTTGCAATTCAGTTAATGCGAAGACTCGTTTTAGCTTTTAAAAAGATAGTATTTAGCCAGTTTAATTTTTTCGTTTTACTATGTTTTTATCAGAGTGGAACAGTTACTCTGGTTGCATTCAGCACTCTTACAGAAATCATTGAATCTGATGACGAAGATGAGGACGAAGGCTACGATGCTCCCCTCCCACCCCTCCCTATCATTGATGACTACTCATCTTCAGAAAGCAGTTCAGATGAAGATGAAAGCATAGAGAAGAAAGGACCCATTGAAAAAGCGGCGGCGAAAAAGAAAATATATGATGCAATTCCGGCTGATCTGCTAGCGGAACTCAGTGGGGTTAAGTACAGTGTAGTCTCTGCAACAAACAAAAGCCAAGATTCGATTTGCGAAGAAGCATCTACTAATGAACATTCGCTAGACTTGACAGATAGTCATAGTGAACATAGTGGGAATATTAGCAACAGGCACAGCTATAGCGAGCCTCTAGCCAGCGATGATACTGGCAGTTCCGAGCCTAAAGAGGACAAGACAGATAGTTTTTCGCGGAAGAGATCATCTACAACGCTCAGTGCCAGCATGGACTCGATCTGCTCGGACACAGACGAAAAAACAAGAAGCCGTTCTCTGACGAGTGTATCTTCAAAAGTGTTAGGTCCAAAGACTAAAAGACGAAAGCTTGTGCCCGCTGAAGCGGAGCAGCACTTTCTTCAAGATCCAACTGCTATGCACAGTGGCATTTTGTATCAGAAGCGAAGATTGGGAGTCTGGTCGAAACGTTACTGTAAGATCATCAACAGCAGATTTAAGTGTTATCGGTGAGAAATCATGTTTTTTTATATATTTTTTTTTTCCGTAGCCTGCGAATACAGTCGCTTTTCATTACTAGCCTCAACCTTTTTAGGGAAGTTTCCGCCGAGACATTTGGGAGCTTTAGCAACGACGACGGCGACGGCAAGCAGGACGTCAGAAAAGCAATAGGTTTATTACGCAAAACAACAACTTTGCACGTGCATCACGCTTTTTTGTACATTTCTTTACCGTCCTTGCACGACTACGACGTGAAAATGCCTAATAGCAAGTTTTATGGAGGACGTAAACAAGCGACGACGAATCTCCTTTTCTCTCTCTTAACTTGAGTTCGGTCCTCAAGAAATCAACTCCAGGGAAATTCGTCTACACTTGCCATTTTCAGCAAACTGGAATAAACGCTACAAAGATTGAAATAACGGGAATTCATTTTAAAACTGACGTTTTCGCTGCCGTTGCCGTCGTCGATGCTAAAGCTCCCTAATTTCCAATCTCTTAGGGAGCGGTGCGATAAGTGCTAAATCGGAAAATTGCATATCCGGCTTGGGATACTATTCTCCGATTTAGCACTACATATCTCTTCTAATCTTACTATTCTGCGATTAAGGAAACTTGTACTGATTGAAGACAACTCTCCGATTCAACTCCCTATTTTTCCAATTCTACCACAGTATTCTACAACTGTAGTGTGCTTTTGTCCGATTTCACCCAAATGGCTAAGTAATAAGTCTCCGATTGTACGATTCTTCAGATTTTTACCGGGCCGATTCTACTATTCCACGACTGTAGTGTGCTATTGTCCGATTTTACACAAATCGTGACAAATCTCCAATTGTATTGTGCGATTCTCCGATTTTTTCCTAAAACGCGCTTTTTTCGATTCATGACTTATAGAACGAGGAACAATACATGTGATACGCGCTTGCTTCGTTTTGTGGCTTAAAGAACGAGGAATGTTTCTGTCGGAGCGTGCTTGTTTCGTTTTATGGCTTAAAGAACGAGGAATTATTACTTTTGGGGCGCGCTTGTTTTGTTTTATGGCTTTAAGAACGAGGAATGTTACATTTGCAGCGCGAATCGTAATCGCAAAACAAAGGAAACTGAAAAGAATTGTAAAATGGAAACAATCGAGCAAAAATCGGAAAAATCGGGGAATCGTTAAACGAAACTCGAGAATGGAAATAATCGTAGAATCGGAACGGAATTATGGATCACAACTCTTATTCTACTATTCTCCGAATTAGTACTTACCACACCCTTCTGGAAATCTCTCATAAGGAACTGCTCCAGCGCAGGAAGCGATGGGCTGTATTCGCAAGATACGTTTAGCTTGCCTGCTAATTAGTAAAGACTATATCTTTTAGTATTTTAGTCAACCAAATTCCGCTTGTATAGTTTAGTCGAATTACTTGATATTTACTCAAGAAAATGTTTTGTTAATCCAAACCCTCATAGAGGCGTGAAGTTTTTTCCCCGGCTTATCCTTACTGTCATCATGATCTTACAGTCAAGACTGAAGTTTATTAATGTTAAGTTGCATTAGTGGCATTTTTTTTGTCGGCGATTCCACGTGAATAGCTTGACACCTTTCTTTCGCTTTCTCGATAATTGCGCCACTTGAGAAAGACTCTACATAAATCGAGTAAGATCGTTTTGAGCATGCGCTACATGTTGCTAGGATATAATGAACCCGGGCCTTATAGCCATGCGCTTGGTACAGCAGACTTGGTTATGACCATCGGTTTATCAATAAACGGATGCCCGCAGTCGAAAAACCAGTTTGACGAGAGAGAACTAGATTGACTAGTCCAGAAGTTTGGGCTGCGGCGACTTCAAAGGTTTGACGTAATTCGGGGAGAGTCTCCTTTTCTCCTTTTCACTAAACAGGTACGAGATTTGACTTAAAGTTTTTTCGCATAATCTCAAACTATAGACTTCCCGGAAAGGTTCATTTTACCATTTTTTACTAGAAAAGTTAGCACTGTTATCTTTAGTGAAGGAGGTTACGCGTTCTCCCGATGGCAAAGTGATAAAACTTCTAACATTTGATATCTTGTTTTCGCCACCACGACATTCTCGAGAAAACTCGTAGTAGAATGACGACGGCTACCACATTTTCCCGCCAAAATGATTCTGGTTCACGCGCGAGCAATACTCAGTATTGAGAAAATCTCGTATTTGTAGTCGTACTCGTCTTAGAATCTAAAGCTCTCTAATGGAGGCTCTACTCGCGGGGTGATAGCTTGTCTTTTTTTGTTAGAAACCCAACCGACCACAAACCATCACTAGACTTCCCAATCCTTGGTTACGACATCAGTTTAATGGACAGCAAAGATTCTAGAAAGAGTTACTGCATCAAAATCTCTCATCCAAGCCAGGATACTTACTTCTTCGCTACAGACTCCCGTATCTCGATCGAGCGGTGGATAGAAGTGTTGTCCTTGGCTGCTACAGGGAGGTTAGATGTCATCGCACCTTATCCTCCGTACTTCTGTGCCGAGCAGTCTGGAGATGAGCTGAAGAGCAGATCGCGGGAGTCGTTGTTAAGCTGTGAGGTAAGACTGGTACTAATTTAGCTGTGTAGCCGTCGCATACAGCCGTCTCTCCCCCACCCCCACCTCCATCGCTGCTGTTCCCTCCCCCCGCGGAGAAAACGGAAGGAGGAAATGGCTGTACTTTTTGCGGGACAGACGTCTGCGATTTGGCGCCAAAAAATTCCATGCCCTTTCCGTATACATCTCATTGCCAATATGGCGTCCAGTTTTAAAGAGGTGACTTGAGGGGCATGAAAAGACGCTGTAGAAAACCAAAGCACACGAAAGAGCAGAGTGTTTAGAGGTAGAATGATTCAACCGGCTCCTTTTTATCGACAATTGAGAAAATTGTAAATTTTGAATTTTAAAAATAGCGTTTATTTACTCAGAGCTGATTGGACCCACGGACTGAAGTGAGTCCCAGCGTTGACCGGAAGAGGCATTTGAATTATGCTCCAGTGGCTCCACGAGAGGTCGGATCAGACTGACATTATTTTTTGGATTTCAACAGTTTTTTAACTTTTGAAGTGATATGTTTTGGTCATTTTCTTACTTAAACAGGATAGGCTGTCTGATGATGAGAGCGCGGACAATCTGGACGAGATGGATGGTGGTGAAAGAGAAAGCACCTTGGGAAGACCAGAGCCAATGAATGAAGAACAAAGCGATTTACCAGCTGATGAAAATACTACGATTCTACCGGAAGATACAAGGTGTGTGGTTGTGTCCGCATTGGATATTTAGGCTGATATGCGTATTTTGCAGCCAAACGAGCGCTCACTATTTGTTATTAGTAGCCGCCATCTTTGATTTTGAAACCAGGGGAGACTGGGGAGAGTTGAAAGTGCCATCTGGATCCAGGGGGTGGGTGTAAGCTCTTCCACCCTCTCCCTGTCACCTTTGACTCACTTTACACCTTAAGGTGTTTGGGAAACCAACAGTAGGGATGTATATACCAAGCTAGACAAAGTGCTAGCTCACCCCAAGTTAAGACCTACATTGCAGGCTGTTGTAACAATTAAGGTTTCTGGTAAACTGCCCACCTACCCCTCCCTAAGCCAACATTAACAATTACTTCTCACTTAGGGCAAAATGTTGGCTCAGGGGAGGGGTAGGTGGGCAGTTTCTCTAGAAACCTACCGTATTTATTCGAATAACCGTCCTGGGCGCTTATTAAATTTTTGGACCTTGAGAGTGGGCGCTTATTAGAGGTGGGCGCTTATTAAATTTACACAATTTAAAAAAGGGTAGTACCGTATTTATTCGAATAAGCGCCCAACCTCGAATAAGCGCCCACCTCAATTAAGAGCCCACTCTCAAGATCCAAAAATTTAATAAGCGCCCAGGGCGGTTAATCGAATAAATACGGTATGTTTATTTTGCAACAAAACAATAAATGGTAATAACAAAACTCGAAGATGTTACAAAGCAAGGTTTCGGTCAAATACTCTGAAGAAAACTCCGTTTCCGGGGAAGTCTCTTATTTGCACGTATTCAATTTTCTTCCGTTGGGGGGTGAAAGGGGGTGGGGTGGGGATGGGCGCTTATTCGAGGCTGGGCGCTAATTCGAGATTGGGCGCTTATTCGAATAAATACGGTAAATTGATCAGATGCAAATGCACTGATCATCATCACGTTACTCCTTTGCTAAGAGAACTCCACTGGCTACCAGTGCGCTTGCGCGTAGATTTTAAGATTCTCCTTGTTACATTTAAGATTCTTCACGGAGTTGCGCCTAGCTATCTTAAGGATCTTGTCTCTGTCTTACCGGTCTCACTTTACCAACTACGCCGTAACAATAATGGTATATTGTTAGAAAGACCTCGGCTAAGAACGAAGAAGACCTTGGGAGATCGCGCGTTATCGATGGCTGCCCCCTTTTTATGGAACAGTCTTCCTCTGCCAATTTATTGTAATATTGTAATTTTACCGGGTGATTTTACTGGTTTTAATTTAGTTATTGATAATATTGTAATGCGCTTTTGAGTATTTTTATAGAAAAAGCGCAATATAAGTATTGAATATTATTATTATTATTATCTTTAACTACGAAAATCTTCTCTACGTTTTTTTCTTCATTCCGCGGTTCAAATATATGTATTTCATATATTCATCATCGCACTGTTCTTTGTTGGTCGAAATCATGCGGCATTATTTAGCACAAAATGCAAAATGTCGGCGGGGATTTTTAGAAAGCGCAAACGTTGGAGGCAGCAAGTTATGATATTTCTACCCTAAAAGCAACATTAATACGGCCAAACAAGCCTTATTCAACTTTAACTTATGCGTCGAGTCATAAAGTCCAACTGGACGGGACGGGAGGTGTAACACTTTGACGAAGGAAGGGGAGGGCTAACACTTTGACGATTTTAATGTCAGGAAATTGGAACATTTCACTGAGTTGCAAACTCAGACGGCAGAGCCTGAGGAAGATCACTCCACTGAAGTTCAGCAGTCTGCAGAGGAAGGAGTCAGGGAGAGAGTGCAGAAGAAAAGAAAAGAAAAACCAAGCGATAAGGATGGAACAAGTAAGTACAGCATGCTCTGGATTCCAAAATAATTACTAAAGTAATTTAAAACTATTATTCCATGGGTGCGCGTTGGATATGAGATGGTAGATAGCGCGCTGAGTGGGCTATCTACCATCTCATATCCAACAAGTGCTGGTGGAATAATTGTTTTATTGAAAAAGCCCACCCCACAAAATATCAAGAATTCTTTTCGACTTCATTCATAAAACAACCGATTTCAGCTTGTTTTTAATTTCGAGCATGCGCTTACAGTTAGCATATTTGGTAATGGCTCATAAATCATGATGGCTAAGCCAATCAGAGCTCTAGAATTGCATTATCCAATGATACAGTTTTTGATAATTAAATTTAGATGGGCGACACGTACTTGATTCTGCTGGAAGCTTTCGTAAGCGAGCACCCCTGGGACGCGAGAAAGGGGTCCTTCATTGGAGCTGGCCGGTTACTGGAATGGTTCTCGTAAGTGGCCACGAGAGGTGTAGGGGTTGAATGGCCGCTTACAGGAGCTTGCCCAACTACAAATAAAAATTGTAAACGCAAAAAAAAACTGCCTGTTAGTGTTTGGCTATACCGTTGTTCTGTCCATGTTGTAATTGAGTCACAAGCATAAATTTCGCCTGGTGTTTTGAAGAGTAACCGGACGTGTATGTGAACTGATGTAAATTCCTTGTGACGAACAGCGACGTGAAGTTGATACATAAAAATACAAGATTTAGAGGCAAATAAGATTTCTTTTCAGGTGTCCTCTTGCGGGAGCTTAATAAAAACAAAGCTAAACTCTAACTCGCAAAACCTTAAAGTGTCCGCGGCCGTCTACGGGAATTGTCCGCTTACGAGAATGTAAAAATACAGAGTTTGTATGGGAGTTGACTGAAACAGGGTTTTGTGAACGCGGCCGTAAGTAGAGTTGTTCGAGAGTTTTACGAGAGTGTCCGTTAAGAGAGTTTCCACTCTATTGCAACCAAATGAAGTTCTTAACAAGAATTCTGAGCGTGAGTGGCGAGAGTACTCCCTCCCCTCTCCCCATCTGTTTACAGTTACGCTAAGAAAACCAAGCAAATTTCCAAAATCAGAATAACGTTCTCTTTGAAATTGCCGCAGGTCTACCTTATAGGCGAGTCTTTGTTGACAATTCTTGCTTTATTTACTTACGTTTTTCAATTCTCTGATCAAGCTATTAAGTTGCATCTCTGAATATTACCGGAGCATAACCATGTTATTTATCTCTGAAAATTGGAGCCCAAAATACCGAACAGTTTCGGAGAAGTTTTCTTTTTAAAACTCTAAATCAGATTAGAAAGAATGTATGGGCTCATTAACCTTTATTGCCATCCAGAAATTTCACAGTCTTCGATGGTTGCTATACTATGTTTTTTGAGAGAGAGTTGACTGGATTTCAAACTCAACGAAGCAAAGTTGTTCCGTGACTGATGGAAAACAATTAATTTTCTGCGGTTTCTGCCGTGTTGATGTCTTGTATAATTAACGCAAAGAACGTTCCATACATATTTGTGGTGTTTGTAACGGTGCTTTCCGAAATCTAGAACTTTCCCGGCAACTCAAGCGATCATGATGAAAATTACAAAGGCTTATTCCGAGAGTGCATGATCAAGAAAGAAACCCATCACTTTCTTGCAAACTGATTTACCAATTAGTCTACGAGTCGAGTTTTATATGAGTCAAACAGTCAACGAGACGTGACGCGTTGACTCTTTTAAGGGGCTGTGTCGCGTTAATCCCGGTTCAGACGCCGCTCCCCTATGTGCCAAACCTAACTGATGGATTAAGTACGGCAAACGAGCGGCGTCTGAGTCAATTTGGTACGGGGCAGTTTTAGTTAGGCGCGACAAAAGTTCGACAGAGTCTTTCTAACTTTTGTCGACCTTAACTTAGGCTCGACACACAGTACACCGTCTCAATCTGTTAGGTTCGGCACGTGAAAAGTACGGAGTCTGAACCAGGCCTTATATTTGCTATCTTTTCAAAAAGCTAAGACTTGCCTTCGCATAAAGTGAATTCCAAAAACAATGGCCCAGTTTTGTAATTTAAGGCTACAGTTAGGCATTGAAACTATTTCCTGTCTTCTGTTGCTCCGGATGGCAAGGGTGGACATGGAGTGAAGCTTGAAAAAATGCTATGCTTCCAAAAATCACAAAAAATGATTATGCTTAGTGTTCCCTGATGAAATTTGGTTGATATTTTATTTGGAACTCTACACATAGGTCCGGGGGGGGACTCCGCATATTAAAGGGTGGGGATGCTCGTCGGAAATTTTGAATTAAACCCCTAAAGGAGACCTGGGCGTGGCCCAAGCTTTGTTTGACTCCTAAAAGAGACCAAAAAAATATACATATCAAATATGTCTTTTTATATTTTTTCGAGTGCAACCCTAAACGAGACCTTCACGGCTAAATATGATGGCGTTTTGCCCAGAACACCCTAAGTGAGACCAAAGCCCGAAATTTAAACCCTAAAGCGAGACGACGAGCATCGCCCCCCCTTCCATATGCCGAGCCCCCGCCCCCCCCCCCCCGGGCACAGAGGTGCCCCAAGCTCACGAATGAGAATCGTTGTTGCGTAACAGAAATATTATAAGGGTTTGTATGGGGATTTAAGCGATCGTTATTAAGGGGTCAAAAATAGTAATAAAAATACATCAGAATTTCTTACCTTGTCTCCTTGTTTAAATTTATGGTATTTTTTCAGCATTTTTAGACCGTTTCAGGGCGATTCCAGCGAATTTTAGTTCTGCCGTTGTTTTGGAATTATTTATACAACGAACAACGGTAGAACTAAAACTTGCTGGAATCGCCCAAAAATGAAGAAAACAGCATGAATTTAGACAAGGTAAAAAATTCTGGTGTATTTTGATTACTATTTTTGACCCATAAATAATGATCACTTTAATCTCCATACAAACTCTTGTAATATTTATGTTACGCAACAACGATTCTCACTCGTGAGCTTGGGGTACCCGTGCTCTACAGGAGCATTTTGTGAATGTTTAAAAGCACTAAGTAACGACTTCAGCACAGAATTGGCCTGAAACAGCGATATCCTCGTGACTATCCCCTTTAAAAAGAGAACAACTAGGGTGTGACTAAAAAATTTTGTATTAGAGTGTGGTCACTTACGGAAGGTTCGCCCTTGTCTTTTTCTTCTTGCCCCTGCAGAAACGCCATCTACAATGAGCCCGCCCCACAGCATGTTTATCAGTGAGGCTGTTGATGGGCAGGCTAAACCTGAACCAATGATTGAAGATTCCATGTCGCAACCTCCAGGCAACGCGAAGGTCAGTCAATGCTTTTAGTTCTATCTTACACATACTTGAATTTAAGTCTACTTCTGCAGTCAATCTCTATTAACCCCGAAGAGTGATCATCCTCAAATTTGTCCTCGTAATATGTATTGTTTACGAAACACATCGGTGTTGAAAATCAAGGACATAATTGCACCCAATGATTCTAATGGATACTTCAACAAATTCTCCCCAGTAATTCTGTAGGAAACGTATTGGGACAACAAATGAGAATCTGAATTTTGATGTTATTGTGTAATTTAAAAGGGGTTAAAGGCCTTCTTTCCTTTGGAGAGGCTGGGCAAGTTCATTAAGAGGAAGATAAAGCAGTTGAAAAAGGATCCTTTTAGAGAAATCATGCGCTGTGCCATCACTAACCGAAAGGTGTTGTGTGGTGTTTTGTTTTGTTTTCGTAATTGTTCTGTTTCTTAATACATCCTTGCAATAAATCAACTAGACGCATTTTATTAGTACCATATTTTGAATTTTTTTTCGAGACAGCACGGTAGCAGCCACCAAACGTATAATTTTCACAACCACTGGTTTTTGCAAAACTTTTTCATTTAGATGTTATAGGCAATTCCTAAACGTTTTTTATTTAAGATTTTTCACCCTCGTCGCATATAAGTTGGACCTTTATTGCCGGGTTTTAATTAGTTATATCCCCATTTGTATTTTTACAGGAAAGCGCTGAGGATTCGACAGCAAAAAAGGACAGGCGTTGGACAGAGAATCTGAAAAAGAAGAAGTTAACACGCGGCCATTCCTACGATTACAGATTACGGGGAAATATCGCTGCTGCCGCCCCTCCGGAGAACGCTAAAAACAAACATTTCAGTATGAGAAGAAAAAATTCACAAACTTTCAGTTCTTTGTTGAAATTATTTGACAAAGGTCGCTTTTGTGGGTATCTCACGGAAGTGAGGCACAACAAGTTTGGTACAACTCATCTACGAAGATGGTGCGCAGTAAAGAACGGTGTTTTGATTATGTACAACAGCGAGAGTGAAGAGACGCCTCAAGGAAAGCTCTCGCTTGTTGACATGTGGCTAACGGATAAAAGCGACGAGAGCCGAAACAAGTTCGCCTTTTCGTTGGAAGACAAAGACGGTAACGCCACCGTGTTGCAAACGACGGTACGAGACGATTACTTAAAATGGATGGGAGTACTGGAGTTGTTCACTGAAGTGCGGGTTGAACGACCTACGCAAGAAGTCGCAGAACCGCTTAGAAAAACAGATTCTGTGACAAGCGAGGAAAGCGATGGGTCGTTCGAACGAGGAACGCTAAAATCGAAAAGTATGCGGGCTGCAAATAAACTCATCGACGAGATATACGCGCTTGCGCCCGGGAAAGTACGATCCTCTTTGAGGCTGAAGTTGCCACAGAGAGTAAATGTACGGGATATATTTCGAAAAACGCACAGTTCGTACGATTTAGAAGGTGCATCGACTGAAGGACCATCCTCGTCGCTGCCGGACACAGAAATTGATACTTTAGCAGTGTTCGGTGGATTCTTGACTCAGATAGAACCAGATGTTTCCGATTCTCACACCGGAAACTCACGGTGGTGTACAATCAAAGAAAAAGAACTGTTAGTTTTTCTCAACCGCAAAGCTACCGATCCGGTTCAAAAAATACCTCTGATGAACTCGTTTGTTAGTGATTTGAGCGAGGATGAAGATAACTTGAACAGATTCCAAATTCGTTGTGGCAAGTTGAGCATCGTGTTCGAGGCATGGGATAAATTTGATCTCAATCGCTGGCTTCAAATGCTGGCTTCGGTGACTGAGCATCGTAACTCGAGCGATGACGAACGGCCGAAGTGTGTTGGTCGGCTGACTTCGCCGACTTTCGCGAGGAAGAAAATCCACCGTCGAACTAAGAGCGAGGATATACAAGAGGATGAGAAAGACGCTACGACAACTGCACGGCGGTACACGAAACCAAAAGATGGATCCACGAGTTCTGTCGACAGGCTAATGAGCGGGTATTTACAGGAGGTGCGCGAAGCACACGGAGCTCGCACTCTTCTGCGACGCTGGTGCGTGGCAACCAGTGAGAAATTCATCGTTTATGATAATCAAAACTCGAAGAAGGCTTCGTTTGAGTGGGATCTGTCAGATATGGAACTCCAGGATCAGAGCGATTTGGACGCTGGAGTGTTTGGTTTCTGTGTAATTCTCGGTGAAAAGAAACTTTGTTTTAAAGTCATCGACGAAGACTCAGCTCGCCATTGGTTGAGTGTTTTAGCGCGATATTGTCAAACTGTTCCTGCGAACCAACCTATAATTAAATCTCCAAGAAAGTGGAAGTCGGTTGATAAAGAAGACAGAAGGCGTTCCTCCAGCGATAACGATTTAAAAACTGCAAAGAAAACCGAGAAAGAATCCAATGTTCTTGAAGTTCTAAGTGAAGGCAGGGCGGGCGGGCGAAAGCTAGTACGAAGAGCAACCGAAGATTCTTCGTTCCTGCGCAAATTTCATCGCTCGGAGACGTTCAAAGCGCCGTGGCGGGCGTCCTCGGAGAAAATAGAGGTGAAGATGCGAGAGAGACCGGGACGGGCCGCTGCGAACAAGGCCTGGAAACGATACTCTTGTGGTAGTCTTTTTGACAGCGAAGGAAAATACAGCGGCTATCTGATGGAGATTGTCACCAGTGACCTGTACAGTAGTCAAGTGCGACGATGGTGTTTACAGAAAGACGATTATCTGTTCGTGTACGACAACGAAGCTACGGAGCACGCCATCAAAGTGATTCCTCTGTTTGATGCCAAAGTAGTGGACGCCAGTAACTATGACGCCTGTGTTTATCGATTTAGAATCGATTATGGTGAGAGTAAGTCTGTGTTTTTTCGGGCGCTTACACGAAGTGATTTGGAGAAATGGACGACCATCATCTCAGTGAAAACCGCTGTGTTGCAAGACCGTAGTGAGCGGCGGCTCAGGCGTAGCCGAACCTTGAGCCTGGAGATCAGTTCTCATGATGTAACAGGTAGCGTAACGATAGTACGATTTCAAATTCCGTAAATCGTTTCTTTTCGGTGAAGAAATTTGACCTCCTCAATCAAGCCCCTACTCAATAAATCCTAATTCGAAATAGCGCTCCTGGGACTTTGTAGAGGGTCTACAAAAATTCGCCTTTAGTTCGTTTTCATTCACGTGTTCATCAGCTATGCCAATTTGCTGGAACAAAAAGGTTTAACATAGGGAAAGACTTTAATCCACACAGGATTTCTTTGGGACCAATGTGGGGCTTAAGCAAAGACGTTTTTGAGTACGCACGTCAAGCGGAAGTGGTCTTTTTCCATTCCTGGGCCTTGGTTTTGCCCAATTTTTCGGTTAAATCACTTGTTTAAGAGAAAAGACATTTAGCAATACAAATTTGGTAACGTTAGGGCAAAATTTAATTGGGATCGCCTCACTTCCAATTTACATACGTCACTCAAAAATTCCTTTGCTTAAGCGCCCTATTATGGCCGCTGTGACGTCACGTGAGCATGATCACTGAGGTATCACATTTTTTTGTGACTGAAGGTCTGTCTAGGGTTACAGGGAACCAAATAAGCCAAGCTATTTTGTGAAAGCAACTCCGGAGGATGACATTTTGTATCAAGGGGTTTTCATCTATTTTTTTGTTCTATGTGTTTTGCAGTATCCAGTGAAAGTGACGTAACCTCTCCAGATCTTCAAAATCCCAAGAATCTAACCATGGACTCCCCCTCTTTACAAGAAACAGCGTCTCTCTGGTCTTCAGACAGCGTATTTATGCGAGGAATCAGTTCAGAGGAAGGCGCCAGAACTTCTGTTTCATCAGACTTAAAGCCAGTTGATCCAATAGATAAATCCAGTTTCTCCGGTTTTGAACAAAAAGACGAGCATTCGACGTCTGTCCATTTCGAAGATAAAGCCGGTTTATCAGGCTCAAATCCACCTGGTCCAGTGGATGAATCCAGTTTCTCTTCTTTAGATCTGAAAGATGAAAATTCGGCTCCGGTCTTTCTCGAAGATGACTCTGGTTTCTCGAACGTAAAACCAGTTGACGAAGATGAATTGAGTTCATCTGCTTTGGAACCGAGTCACGATCATTCGGCTCCTGTTCATCTCGAAGGTGACTTCAGAGACCGAACGTTCTCGGAAACGGGAAATTCGGATAGCAATTTTAAACGGGTGAATAGACTTTCGAGCATCGAGGACTTGAGTCACATTTACGAGAATTTCCTTGCATTTGCATCAACGATGGCTGAAAGGAGCCCTGAGTTTCAACAACAACTCTATCATGTTTACGAGAATGTCACACAGGCGTTTGACTTTCGATCTCAAGATAGCTTGCATAAGAAAGAAGATCTTGTGGAGGAAAAGGCCAGCTGTTCAGTCGCTCAAGAGACCAATGTGGAAAAGGAACTTGGAAGCCCTTCGATGGAGATGTCCTCGGAATTTGAGAAAATCAGTTTGCGGGACAGAGAACGTAAGGATAATGAGTATATGTACAGACCGTACTCAGGAATCTGTGGTGAATCGGAACTTGAGAAGCTGGCAGAAAGTTTAGGCGAAGAGGACGAGAATGAAATTAATACTTTGGCTGAAAACAAAAATGAAAACAGCACTGAAGTTGACCTGCGTGGAGGCAGACTTGCAGGCGAGACTGATGATGTAAAATCCACAAATGAATCACAATCAGATGAAGTCGTTTGTAGTACATACGCCAATGTTGTCGAGTCAAGTGGCCAAACACTACTAACAGATGAAAACGCTGAAGAGAAGCACGCAGATGATAATAACACGGTTCAAAGCGCACCCACTTTGCTTCACGCCGACTGTGTGAGTGCCGTTGAAACCGGTTCCAGCTCATTTTATCTCGTTCAAGAAGTAAACGAGCAGATTTGGAGTGAAGTAGGAAGCAGAGTCACTAGTGAATCCGTTGTCGAGACCAGCATGCAGATCTCAGCTACCGCTGAGTCGGCTACTGATCGGGAGACTTCGGCTTCACTCGTCGGCGAGTCTCCTGTGGAGAATGTTGCCGAGGAAGTAGCTGAGAGGGTTGTTGTTACCCAAGGACCCATTGACGATTCCCAAGATAATGAAGAGAATTTCAGTGCTCCTGAGAAGAAGGACTCAATGGAAGAGACTGCTTTTAGTGATATCCAACATCTAAGCAAAGATACTGCGTTGTCAGAAGAAAACCGTTTTACAATCAGAACCAATGAAATAGAAGAATCTTCGTTGCAATTATCTTGCTTTAAAAACAATGACAGCGATTCTGATGTAATCAAGGAGGCTCAAACTAGTGACCTCACCCCCTCATCTGGCAATAGTTCTCCAAAATGCGGATCAATTCAAAATGTTTTCATTGCCGGTTCGTTTGTCACATCAACACCGCTTGAATCTAAATGTTCCATGGAAGTGCACTCTAAACAGAATATTTTGTCAACAGTCTGTGCTTGTGAACAAGCGCAGTCGTGGGATGAAGCTACGCTGCAAGTGGAGGAAATCGCGTCCGTCCCAAGGCAAGATCCAGGGCTTGAAATTGCCTCGACTTCTGCCTGTGATAATCGCGATACTCTCGTCACCGAAATATCTAACGAACCCAAACGGAAAGAAACTGTTCAGGACACACCACAATTAAGGCATCCTTCTTCCCAAAGTAATGGGGAAAGTTCCAATCAAGAAACCGTGATTTGTGATACAGAAACTACAAACCAAGCGAAAAACACAACGGATAAAACCTATAGAGGAGACTCGTGTGAACAGTCTGATAAAATGCCATCCGACTTGGCTAGGTCCTGTGTCTCCGATTCCACCACTTACTTGGACTCATCAAGTGACTTTCGACAAAACGTTGATGTTCCAAAAAAGTCTCCAGAACGGGACACGGATTGTTCTACTAAGTCTTCGTCAGACGAGGAGTTTACCACGCCAGAGGATACGATAGACTTTTCTGGGAGAAACAATGAGGATGACTGGACAAGTATAACTCAAGATAGCCGCGGGACAACTTCAACCGAACCCGTGGAGTCAATCGGGACCAATCGGGATCATTCGAGTAAGTCTTCAGAAGGACCATGCGATGGCCACCTCCTCCCTGCCGCAGATCCAGAATCAGACAGTAAGACCTCTCTAAGCGTCCCCTCGGACAGTTGCAAAGTCAACGCAAGCTTGGAGGACAAGCAGGAATTGACAAGAAGTCAGATGGATATCTTAAAAGCTGTAACAGCTGCGTTTGAGGAAATTCTTGAACTTCATGGCGACGAAAACGATTCAGACGATACCAAACTATGAAAGGCTTGTACCACCTTAGAATACTATTAATGAGCTCTTTGCAGCTAAACAGTCACGTGGTGCAAAAAAACGTCGTGGGGAGAAAACGACGCGGTAGGACCTTTAAAAGAAGGAAAGTTTGCTTTTTAAATGATTTAAGCTCTTTGTTTTCCTTCCCGCTCTTCAGGTGCTTTTGGTCCATTTGACTGTTTAGCGGCAAAGGGGCTCAGTTTATAATATACACTGGATCGCAATTCACCGCTTTAGAATCATTAAAGGGACTGGTTCCGAAATGTGGCCCCGCAAGTGTTTCTGGGATGGTTACTGGGGACGCGTTGGTCAGCTATTGGCCAGTTCTTCCCCTTGCGTAAGTTAACTAGACCCAGTTTCCTTCTCGGATCTAAAGTTGCGAATGATGTTGTCGCCTATAAAGGCGATGAGATGAGACCGAAGGGCTTTATGGGAAGTACTCATGCATTCATGCATTTGCATTATCGTATTTAATAGTCGGACATTGACGAGCTGTTTGGCCTCGTTATTTCTTCGTTTACAGCGTCGTTTGTTGTTTTTCTCCGCGTTCTGTGGAGAGAACTTTTAGAAAACATGCACACAGGTTAGTTATTGCTAAGAACCTATCTTCAACGAAAGCCTCTTTAGAACTTGTGGTAATTTATCCCTCCCGCGATTTTTGCCAGAAAGGACAATCGAATTTGCAATGCTAGCAAACCTATATCCATAAATCCATCAGGTCTCATCGGTTTAGGCTTATGCTTTTCATGTGACAAAGACTTTCTAGACGAGTGCAGAGAAAGTCCAAATCCGCCTTTACGCGTCAAAGATAAAAGTTGACAGAGTTTGGTCATACCGAATGGTAGTAAGCGTTTTCAAATCGAAAAACTCAACCTTTTTTCCAGTCGTTAGTTGAATGCTTTCTTAGAAAAATACTTCTCCGCGTCGTTTATTTGAATTTTCACCGTTGTCAACTTCATCCACAGACTTGAATTAAAATTATCAATCCAGCATGATAAACTCTGCAAAGAAAACAAATTACTGCGGAGTAGCTTTCCTGCGTGGAATGTGAGTCACACTTTAGGATTTCACTAACACTCAAAAAGTCGCTACAACCTTGTACAGCACAGTAACCAAAACGACGCGGAAGAAGCGGTCAGTAGCTTCCACTGGATCGTTCGCTGCCATTCAAAGATTCAAAATCACCTGCGCAACTCGAAATTACATCCGGAAATATAAGGGATACGTTCTTAGTCAATTAAGATACTATTTGCTTGCTTTAAAAAGACTTTGAAGTATTGTTGGCTTGTTGCCCTCCTTCACGTCATGTGTGCTTCTTAAGAGAATCTTTGCTTGTCTTTACTGGCCATTTTGAATTACGTTTGGAACGGGGTTGGTGTTTCGTTTCGAATTGAACTATGAGACTAATTTTGGGTGCGGTTTTCTGAACACCAAGTAGACGGCTCGTACGCGTTATGTAAAAACGTGAAAGGTCATGAAATTTAAGAATTTCACTTTCCAGGCCTGAACAGCAGTGGAAATTAAGTTTCGGTTATGGAGAAGAGAAGTTACCTTTGACCTTTAGATGTCAAACTAAGGTGGAAACAAGTAATAAGCCATTCCCGAGTTGCCCAAAGCCTCTGTTCGAAAGCGAGGCTAAGTGCGAAGTCATTGTTATGAAAACTTTTTTTCACAAAAAAGGTTTTGCACTAAGACTCGTTTTCGAAGTGAGAGTTTTTGGAACTCATAAATGGCTTATTAATAGCGTGAACGGCATGCATTTTGGTGGACACCAGAGTATTTGTCTGTTTGTGTCTGAGTTAAATACACAAATCAACAAAAACAAGAATGGTTTTGAACATTTTCGAAAGTGACCGCTTAACCTAAGGTCATGGAAAACTGGAAAAGTTCATGGAAAAAGTCATGGAACTTGAAGAGCCCAAACGAATATCAACCCTTGCGAAATAAGCACCAAAAAAGGCGATAGCGTCCCCAAAAAGATCCCATGGTGCTATTCGAAACAACACCGACCTGTGTCTGACTCGTTTGTTCGAAAAAGGCCAATAAATGAATGCATCTATAAGTGAATTTGATTACTTTTGAAAGAAAAACAGTTCTTTAGACTTACACCATGTATTCTGAATAGGACAGCAAGCAAACCAAAGGTCTATTGTTCATGATGCAAACAACATTTTTTTTCGTAATACGTAAGATGAATTTGTACGCCTTTCCCTCACACAGTTCCCCTCGAAATGTGGGGTGGGGATCGTTGTATATAAACAGCATTTGCATTATTCTTTCGCATTTGCTCTAGCGGTTTACCTTCAAGTCTCACAATCACTTGAAAAACGGGTCCTAGGTGTGATTGTGACACTCGGATAGTCCGTGCTCCCATGGTTAGGGAAATGTTGTCTTACGCTAAACTTAATAAGTGCAAACGAGCTTTTGGAATTATAGGATTGTTACACATTATTGCCATATAGTACATATTATTCAATTCTACGCTTCAAGGGCTGATTTAAAGTTATCATATTTTGCCACATTTGATCAAACACGCTACTTTATGGGCAACTACGTTGGTCACATAAAATTTGGGGTGATTTGTTCATGAGCAAACAAAAACTGTTAATCAAATTTAACGTCACGGTAGTGGCTGAAAATGAAGGCTGGTGAGGGTCTTGTAAATATTCAAGACGTTTATCGATTTGAAAAGTAGTTGACTATTGTTTAATGGGTATTTATAAGCTCTTTGAGGCCTCCCTTGTAGCCACAGTCAACTAAAGTCTGGTTAAAAGGCCACTTGATATAGTTAAGTTAGGTACTCGAGCATATATTTTCTTTACCAAAGGATATACGCCGCAATCTAATTTTGAAATGAAATTGTCACGCGTCATAATTCGTTACGCAAGTGTGACTGAATCGTTATACTTGTGAAGTGATTGTTGAACATAATATGAAAATGACTACTTGGATCAATGTTTAAGTTAAAAATTTATGGAAAAAATTGCTGCTAATTAGGAATATGGGAAAAGTGGCGATGTATGGCCACTATCGTTCGAAACTTGAAAAAAAAATTATATTAAGAAACGTATTAATTTAATTTAAGAGAGTATAGTCTAGTTTATTTAAGAGTTAAAGTACGAGTGCCTCCGAACACGTCAGGAAGGCACGCATACTTTCATCGTTGGAATGTACGTTAAAAGATCTACAGGTTTCTCGTTCATCCTTGTTTGAACATTTAATCGCAACGAGTAAACTATTCTCGTATCAGGCATCTTCAATCGCTTTGGTCACTGGTTCTTTCATGCAAATTTGTAACCATGACAACCCGCTGATGTAATATAACGCTGTACAGTTACAATTTGTTTGAAATTATTTCATAGTAACATTACCTGGATGTCCATCACAGACAATAAAAGATAGAAATGAATGATTGTGTGGCTGAATTATCTACTGATTTAATTACTGGCCCCAAAAAGAAACAGGTCGCTTCGTAAAACACTCACTTTTTTCAGTGAATGGAGTTTTAACTCGCCTTAGCAAAATTTTGTCATGTCATGCAATGTTCAATCTTCTAATACCTGACGATGTTCAAAATTGCAAGCAAATTTTTAATGCTTATGTAAAATTTTGGACGTACAGCAAAGAGTATTACGGTATTTTTTTAAAAAGGCCTATAATTGTTTAAGTTTGTTGCCTGAACATTAAAACTGACCTTCATTGGATGGAGCTGTCTATGAAAATAGTCTAGGGTTTTTGCCAGGGAGTTATAAGTGGGTGAACATAAGTGATCCAGGGAAGGTCCCACCCTCTGGACAAGTCTACTAAAGGGAGAAAAGCTCTTCCCAGCAAATTGGTCAATATACTTATTCCCAACTATTTTTCAAAATACAAGCTAGCAATCCTAAAACAAGATGCCACAGCTTTTGCTTTGTATGGTATATTAAAGCTCCATTCAATCAGTGCATGAGATCTTCAGATTTTGCTTCTTTTGTGAGCTCATCTGGCCGAAAAAACATTATTTTCCTTAACTGAACAGATGGCCAAAGGCATTTTTAAGTTGTATTTTGGTGAACATTACAGTAACCGGGGTAGCAGGCGTCGAAAGGGGTAAGGGATTGGGAGGAAGGGATAAACGGAGGGGGATTGGCGATTTTCCCCTTCGCGCTTTTCTCCCTTTCCCCCTCCCCCTCCCCGTTTTGCGCCTGCCACACAGGCTAACATTCCACCAGCTTCATAAATTAATTAGAGAGCTTTAGATTCTAACGAGTACGAGATTTTCTCAATAGTAAGTGGTGCTTGCGCGTGACCAGCGTCATTTTGGCGGGAAAACATGATAACCGTCGTCATTCTACCCCGAGTTTTAGCGAGAATGTCGTGGTAACTTAAACAAGTTGTAAAGTGTTAAAGGTTTTATCATTTTGCGACCAGGAGATGGCTCGAGCTCCTTCAGTGAAGAGAACAGAGCTAATTTTTTGGTGAAAAAGAAGTGCAATGAAGCTTTCCCGGTTGTCTATAATTTGAGAATACGCGAAAAAACTTTAACTCGTAGTCGTTCTGCTCCTGGAATCTAAAATTCTCTAATAGCTTAAACTGGGCAACGATCGATTGGTATGATATTTGTGACGGAAGGGTTTTCCAAGGAAAACGAATTTAAAGCCCAACAGGAACTCGGTGCTTAACTTTCGATAAAACTGGGGAAAATAGACTCGAAAGGCAACTCGCTCGCGGGGAAGCGACGTCACTTCTAAGTAGGACCCAGGATCAAACCATTAACTGGTACAGCAGTAGATAAAAATGAAATAAACTTTGGTTCCAACAGCATTTATTCTTCAGCGGATAAAATGGTAGTAACTCGGCAGAACACGGCGAAATAATTAGCAATGTAATGAACGGGTACTGAACGGAGCGATGTAATGGACGATGTAATCGTAAAAACTAGATTACTTATATATGATTTTTACAACCCTTGAAGACAAAGAGTACAATAGAATATAAACAGAAATTGCTTCGAGTTAAATGAAAACTAAATACAAACTCTATTTTTAACCTGAAATCTTTTGTTACTGTTGCGACCTTGCCTGGTCAGCAAAACAGCGTTTATTTACATAAGTATTACAATATGAACGAAAAGGCAAGTTCAGCAAGCACGGCTGTTTCAAGAGCAAACTAATTGGTAGTTTTCACCTTAAACAAAAACAGATTTAAGACAGCAAAACGTTTTATATTAAAAATCGGCTGTTGCCTCTATTTTTAAATAGTTAAAACTAGCAATTTGATGAAATATTATACAACAATCCCCCAAAGGGGCGGTGAATAGTGGTGTATGTACCGAGACGCGAAGCGTCGAGGTATATATCTAGCGCTAGGAGCCGACCCTTAGGGGGATAGTTGTTTTAGTATTTACCAAATCAGTTAGATAAAAATAAAAACGATTTTTTTTTCCCAATAAAAACATCATTTAGTTAGAGTTTGTTTACGTTGCAATTGACAGTGTTTCAGGGATCATCTTTCATGATTTTGTTGCAAATTCAGTAAGAAAATTTTTTTTCTATAGACCACTAAACGCCAACAAGCCAAATTTTGTCTCTTTCTTGGTATTCAGGTTGGAGCAGCTGCTTCATTTACCGCTAAAATTTCATCTTTCGAAACTGTCGCGAAACGAGAAGCCATTTTGAATCTCGTCCCAAAACAGTGAATATCCAAGGATATTCCGAGTTACGGGAGCCAATCAGAACGCGCGAAAATCGCTATCCACTGATTTGGTGAATACTAAATAATTATATTCGCAAATAAATATAACCTAATTGCAACTGAAACGAGCTGCACCTGTGCGCCGAGCCGTTACTATGAATAGATGCCGTCCGGTTGTAAAATCACGAAAGGCAGACTAGAGTTAAATAACCTTTATTCAGAAACTAATTATTCTTTTAAAAGTTGGAGTAAAATGTGCCTAATTGAAAAGGGAAACTGGTGATTTTGCTTGTTAAGGGCACTGTTAGTGTCCCTAGCAGCCGTTTTTTGGTGACATCCAAAAAACGGCTGCGAGGGAGACTAGGACACTGTTGGCTTTTGCACGATTATCACTTGAGCGAACACAAAGCGACTGAAATTGGCACGAGCCGTTTTTGCAGCTAAAACCTCTCAAAGCAAATTCAGTGGGAATTACTAAAACAACGTCAAAGCGAATATTTGAAAGCTAGATATAAACTTCGAGACAAAGGATACATGGAAAATCTCTCCTTACTATTGTTAAGTTTAAAAAAATCTTTTAGCTTTTATTCAGTACTTTTTATTTGACACTAAAAAGAAAAAAAAATATGTCTACATATTGGGCGTGATGTTTTGTAGCTAAAGGTAAATATAATTTATAATTATAGTTATTATTAACTATTATAATTTAATCGTAATTAACTGTTCACTGATATTGAACTACAGAAAGATTCTTAGGATCATCAGTCCCTTCATTGTTTCTAATTCACTCAGTGGTTCTAACTATTTCTCTTGTTGAAATCCAAAAACTTTTCTGAAATGTGGTTAACGTCATTATTTTTGACTGATATTGTGGAATGTGGATCAAATGATATGTCAGCACTTCACGCATTTCAGTAGCCTGCGTAGCAGGCGCTTGGAAGTAGTGGGCGAAAGAGAAAACGGGCGCGAGCGATGGAGACACTACTTCTGACACACTTGTGCCCACTATTTTCAAGCGCCTGCTACGCAGGCCAGCATTTCAGGTGGTCGCTTTCTGGAGGTTCGACTTTAGTTTATTTTTGAAAAGTATGTCTTTGTTTGTAAAGGACAATTTGCTCCAGATTTGATCCCTGCCGTCTATTCAAACAGTTGTAGGCGGTCGTTTTTAAACTCACTAACGACAATGCGACCACTTTTCAGGACAGAAACAGAGCAAGGACCCCGCATTTGACCCAGTTCTTAGCCACATTTCCCAAACTGAGTAACAAACTCACCATCTAAAGTGAAAATCTGCACTGTGTGGTTAAGCAGAGAACAAACAAGAAGATTACCTGTTTTGTCCACTGCTAGTCCCGTTGGCCCATTCAACTCGCCCACCTTAGTTCCATATCAGACAGAAAGATTTTGTCTTTATGAACAACACAGTTATTTGGCATGACAACAAAACCTTTCCCAATTGTCTTAAGAATTTTTCCTTGGGGAGAAATAAACCGAACGCAGGCATTTCCTGAGTCACACACAATTAGGTTTCCTTGAGAATCTAACGCTACTCCTCGGGGATCTTTCAGTGAGTGACCATCGTAAATAGTTCTAACGTATTCGCCATTGGATGTAAATAATAATATTTTGCCATCATCTCTGTTTATTACAGTTATTCTACGAGTGGTATCTACAGCCAAACCTGTTGGCCAGCTGAGACCATTATGTCCAAATGACCTGACAAACTCCCCATATTCATTGAAAACCACGATGCGATTGTTGTCCATATCACTCACAAAGATTTCGTCGGAGTCGTTCACAGCAATTCCCCATGGATATTTCACTTTTTTTTCTTCTATAGTTCCTTCTCCGATACACCTCAGTGGCGTGAAGGTACGTTCTTTGATTTTAAAGGCTGGAAATTCCCTACGGTCTGTTTCGTTTACTGAAACACTCAATAAATACTCTCCAGCTTCTTTGGGAACGTAGGAAATTATGTAGCTGCCATTTTTCTGGTCATTAATTTCAACCTCCTCAACAGTGTGCCCGCTTTGTATCGAAATGATGTCAACTGTGATTAAGTCCGCCGGGCAGTGATACTGTTCCCCTTTGGAATTTCGTGTGATGAGTTCGAACTGTGACTCCAACCCCACTGTACCTGCCTTGGATCCTTCTAATGAGCATTGCTTCAATTCTATTTCAGTTTCGACTTCGTCAAGGTCCCCAATTCTTGATTCTTTGAGGATTTTAGAGATTTCGTCATTCTTGAAAAATACTGTGGAAGGGATTCTAATATCAACCATTGAAGGCATGTCTTGTGGCTTTAGGAGTCCTTGACACAGCTCATGCATATTGAATTTGCTCCTTACAAGCTCTGCAGCCGGGGTGCGTTGAGCAAAAGTCTCAATTTGTGACATGGAATGCTTCGCTTCAACTAACTGAGCCGATAATTCATCTTTACTTTTCTCTATCTGTTCTAACACCTTCATCTTCTGACTTTCCACTTCGAGAATCAATTCTTGCTCTTTTTCCCGAAGGGTGAGAATGAGCGAGTTCACCTCTTGTTGTATCCGTTCTTTGTTAATTTTCGAGCGATGTTCTAGTAAACGGACCTTTTCCTCCAGCTGCTTAATGCAGTGACTAATCGTGTTCGATGACTCCCTTGCAACATCTAGCTTAGAAGTAATACTGTTCTTTACCTCTCTGGCTGCAACTTCCAAATGCTGCACTTCATGTTTATTGTGTTCTATAATGACACCAGTTTGACACACGGGAACATTACATTCTTTACAATAAAACTTGAGTACTTCTTTACCATGGAGTTCCTTCTGGCAAAACACTGGACGCTTGAGGACATCGTGAAAATCCTTGTCTTCGAAATCTGCGAGAGCAAGGACACGATGATCTCTGTTTTCCCTTAAAATATTGTGTGCATTCACGCAATCACTGCACCAGAATTTGCTACAGTGAAAACAATAGGAAGCTTCTTCGCTTTTCATTTCGCAGTTTCCACAAGTTACCTTTGAAGTGTTGCATTCCTTGATGGTTAGAATGTCGAGGAGATTTTTCATGTTAAAACAATCAGGCAGAGTTTCCAAAGTGCCAGTTTGAGGAACAGCGACATCTCTCTGGCAGAGCGGACATTTAATCTTGCCATTATGGGCGCTGGTTCAAGCTAAGTTGTTCAGACATTGAAGGCAAAAAGTGTGTAAGCAGGGCAGTTGTTTTGGTTTTGTGTACAGTTGCATACACACCGAGCAAGTTACTTCCTCAGTTAGATTGTACATCAGCGTCGGGACATCCATCTTGGATTTAGGTTCGGTCGAATGTAACCTGCACCATGCAAGTCGACCGGAGTTATATTACCACTTTGGAGTGATTGAAATGACTTCTAAATCAATGTAGCGTGGCGTGTTATGATTTCTTAGAATTTAGGAGGAAGAGTTACATCATTTCCGGGTCTAAAGGTCATAGTCATTTTCGAAACACTTCATTGCATTTTAATATTTGTCACGCGAAAAAAGAAGTCAATCACGATTGGCCTGCATGGGCACCCCAATTTTAATGGATGTGTTCCTCAAAATACATGAAAATATCTGTTCTTCAGCAAATTTTTGCTGGCTGGGAGATTTGGAAAAAGTAAAATGTCCTTGGAAGGATAGTGTTGCTGGGAAATAGACATTTCAGGGTGTTTGAGGAGATTTCATGTCTAGAATAGGTTCTATATTTACCCTATGACCATACCCAAACTGGCCAGTAATGTCTGGACATACTTCTCCTGGAACACTTCCCAGTAAGTCAGATTGCAGGTTGTAGGTGCACCTTACCTGCTAGGAACTCTTCCATCAGTCTTGCTGTGAGTGTGGAACAGGTAAATTTTTCCCAGCAATCTCCCAAAATGCTTAAAATGGCTCAGAAAGCTTCATTCGTGCTTTGTTGTTGTTTTTAGGTCTTTTTCTAAACATTTCCCGTTCCCGTTGGTCGCCACTGAGCCTGTGATCGCCTGTTCCTAGTACCGAGGCCCTGTTAGGGATTTCAGGGATAAGGCATAACTGGACAAATAGAGCGGTTTTCATTTGAGTGTCGAAAAGTAATTGGTTTTGCACTTTCTACACGATGCGATTGGCTTAAAAGATTCGCGCCACCTTTTCATCCAATCAGAAGTAAAACCAAAGCCAATTGTGACGTGCATGCATTTTCCCGCGCTTTGCGTCAACCACATGTAATTACTTCGAGTTTTGATTGGTTCAATGTATTGTCTGTGTCCTATGTGATTGGCCAGAGTAATTACTTTGGTTTTGGTTTTACGACACTCAAACGAAAACCACTCTAAGTTAAGGGATAAGGGATAATTGACAAAATAATTTTATGTGTAAGGGACAGGATAATGAAATAACGTCCTGGTCCAACATTATTTTAATTATGATCGATTTTTTACACTTTTTTTCACCTTTACGGTTTTTCTTCACCCCTGTCCACCTGTGTTCAGTTATCGATCGTTTACTTTAACTGAACAGTTAACCGAGAAGACCTGGGGACGAGGTTGAGTTGTAGTGAGTACAAAATCAGATGGCGGTTCATTTTACTCTTTTCACGAAGGAAGAAATAGTCGAAATAGGCGAAATAGGCGAGCTGTTGGCTAAAATTATAACAAGAACCGCAAGAATACAACTGGACAGACGACATACTGAATATTTGCAGTACTCAACACCCCTTTATCTCCTAAACTTGCCGATAAAAGGCAATAGGCCACTTGCATTAAGAGGTCACGTGACCAAAGCTTCCGACACTAAGTTGGAATCTTGCTACGCCAAAAATTTACAGAGCTCACAAAAATTATCTTACAGCCCAAATTTGAGAGGAAATAAATTTAATTTTTTGATTTTTTAAACAAAGTAGTATGATTTGTATTGGCCGCCATGTTGGATCGGATGGCATACGTTTATGGCGTCAGATCGAGGACAAAATCGATACTCGGATTTCGTGGTCTTGTAAACACTTCTTCGCTTCGAAAATTGTTCTTCGAGTCATTGTCTGTTGTCTTCGTGGCGTCGATTCCATGTCTTCCAGTCGTCGCATCCCTCGACTCATCGTACTGTTTTATTCAGGGCACCGCTGGCTTTTCTTCGTGGCGTCGCTATGGGCTTATGACGTCGTTGCGTCATTCTTATGTCTTCGTGTCGTCGGGTCTTCCTTTCGTTGACTGCGCTACATACTTAGGCAGGTACTTGATGTATGGTGAAATATATTGTACCAACTTTACTTGCAGAAGTTATACCTTCCCTTTTTTGCTTGGTACCTTGTTGCTCTGTTACCCTGTTACCCTGTTACCTTGTTACCTTGTTACTCTGTTATCTTGTACCTTGTTACTCTGTTACCCTGTTACCTTGGAACCTTGTTACCCTGTTACCTTGTTACCCTGTTACCCTGTTACCTTGTTACCTTGTTACCCTGTTACCTTGTTACTGTGTTGTACCTTGTTACCTTGTTGTTCTGACCGTTAGCTTGGTAACTTGTTACTCTGTTACCTTGTTCCCTGGTTACTCTGTTACCCTGTTGCTCTGTTACCATGTTATTCTGTTACCTTGTTTCCGTGTTACTCTGTTACCTTGTTTCCTTGTTACTCTATTACCTTGTTACGCTGTTACCCTGTTACTTTGTTGCTCTGTGCCTTTGTTACTCTGTCCCCTTGTTACCCGGTTACCTAATTAGTAACAATCAGCTTTCGTCGGTAAATTTTTTTCTTATGGGTTCTTGTTGACGGAAATCAAACAGAAGTTTCCTTTTTTGAGAACAGCGCTTGGACCATAACGAAGGCTCTCTGTCTCAATCCTATGGCAGATTATGCCTGTTATAGTTTCTTTTGGCTTTCGTACTGTTATCATGATTTTCCAAAAAATCGTAAATGACTTTCAAAGGTTTACGAAAACGGAATATTTTCCGATAACTCTCTTTCCGTCACAAAATCTACCGGTAAGCGAAATTTCTAGGCAATATTTTTACGATCAAATATTTTGCATAAAAAACTGAGTCTCCAAGGCGTCCTTGTAAAATGACTTAACAACGCGGCAGGGTCCTACAACAGGTGTAACGTTTGGGTGCATTCAGTCAATACTACACAAGGCTCAGGTTTAATGGCATTCGCCCTTTCCCTAGGAAAAAAAGAGTAAAAAGGTACCAAAGTAACAGAATAATAAGGTAACAGAGTAACAAAAAAAAAGGGTAACAGAGTGACAGGGTGACAGGGTAACAAGGTAACAGAGTAACAAAGTAACAGGGTAGCAAGGTAACAGGGTAACAAGGTAACAAGGTAACAGGGTAACAGGGTAACAGGGTAAAAGGTAACCGGATAAGAGGGTAACAGGGTAAAAAGGTAACAGGGTAACAGTCTAACAAGGTAACAAGGTAACGGGGTAACAAGGTAACAGGGTAACACGGTAGCAAGGTAACAAGGTAACAAGGTAACAGGGTAACAAGGTAACAGGGTAACAGGGTAACACGGTAACCGGGTAACGAGGTAACAAGGTAACAAGGTAACAGGGTAACAAAGTAACAGGGTAGCAAGGTAACAGGGTAACAAGGTAACAGGGTAACAGGGTAACAGGGTAAAAGGTAACCGGATAAGAGGGTAACAGGGTAAAAAGGTAACAGGGTAACAGTCTAACAAGGTAACAAGGAAACAAGGTAACAAGGTAACAAGGTAACAGGGTAACAAGGTAACAGGGTAACGAGATAACAAGATAACAAGGTAACAAGGTAAAAGGGTAACACGGTAGCAAGGTAACAAGGTAACAAGGTAACAGGGTAACAAGGTAACAGGGTAACAGGGTAACACGGTAACAGGTAACGAGGTAACAAGGTAACAAGGTAACAAGGTAACAGGGTAACAGGGTAACAAGGTAACAGGGTAACAGGGTAACAGGGTAACAAGGTAACAGGGTAACAGGGTAACAGGGTAACGAGATAACAAGGTAACAAGGTAACAAGGTAACAGGGTAACAGGGTAACAAGGTAACAGGGTAACAGGGTAACAAGGTAACAGGGTAACAGGGTAACAGGGTAACGAGATAACAAGATAACAGGGTAACTAGGTAACAGGGTAACAGGGTTACAAGGTAACAAGATAACAGGGTAGCAAGGTAACAAGGTAACAGGGTAACAAGGTAACAGAGTAACAGGGTAACAAGGTAACAAGATAACAGGGTTACAAGGTAACAGGCTAACAGGGTAACCAGGTAACAAGGTAACTTGGTAACAAGGTAACAAGGTAACAGGGTAACAAGGTAACAAGGTAACAGGGTAACAAGGTAACCAGGTAACAGGGTGACAAGGTAACAAGGTAACAGGGTAACAAGGTAACAGGGTACTAACAGGGTAACAGGGTAACAAGGTAACAAGATAACAGGGTTACAAGGTAACAGGGTTACAAGGTAACAGGGTAACAGGGTAACCAGGTAACAAGGTAACAGGGTAACAAGGTAACAAGGTAACAGGGTAATAAGGTAACAAGGTAACAGGGTAACAAGGAAACAAGGTAACAAGGTAACAGGGTAACAAGGTAACAGGGTAACAAGGTAACAGGGCATCAAGGTAACAAGGAAACAGGGTAACAAGGTAACAGGGTAACAGGGTAACAGGGTAACAAGATAACAAGATAACAGGGTAACTAGGTAACAAGATAACAGGGTAACAAGGTAACAAGGTAACATGGTAACAAGGTAACAGGGTAACAAGGTAACAGAGTAACAGGGTAATAATAATAATAATAATAATTTACCAATTTATATAGCGCGTATTTACACGTGCTGATCAATAGCGCTTAATAGGGTAACAGGGTAACAACGTAACAAGATAACATGGTAACAAGGTAACAGGGTAACAAGGTACGTAACACGAAGACATAAAAATGACGTAGCGACGCCACGAAGAAAAGCCAGCGGTGCCCCGAAAAAACAACTTTATTGGAATAAGTAGCATTTGGCATGAGGTAAAAGTCGTGTAGGCCTACCACCCCCTTTTATTGCTATGATTTGTTTACGGGTAGTCGCCGTTTTACCTAATGAAAATCAACACCGGCACTAATAACAACCAAGCACAGAGTAGAAAGTTCAACATTGCGCACCTAACAAGGAACGTATGCACTCCAGTTTTAAGAGGGAGTGTAACTATGTTGGAATCGATCGCGTCAGCCAGTTTCCTATCCAGTTTTTCTATTATCCATGCAGGTAACAAGGTAACAAGGTACGACGACACGAAGACATAAAAATGACGTAGCGACGCCACGAAAAAAAGCCAGCGGTGCCCCGAAGAAAACCATGTCTTATCTTGTTTTTAAACTAGGGATTATTTTGAATGAATAATAAAACAGCAGGAGTGATAGGCTCTTGAAAACAGTTATTGAATGCTTTCGTAGGAGAACACACGCGAGAGGGACGCAAATAGTTCGCGCCAAAATGACGTCACTTGATGCGATTTTTTTGCAGGGGAAACAAGTCGAGCTCTCGCTCTCTCGCTCGCTTTTGCCGCAGAAAACATAAAAAATCTACCGCTCGCGCTTCTCGCCCGTAAAAAAATTGAGCGTTCGACTTGTGGGCAAGTCTAAGCGCGGGCGCTTATTCGAGGAAAAGAGAGGAAAAGAGCGCGGGAAATTTGATCGCTCTCGTGATATGGTCAGCGGATCATGACAAAAGCAAAACAACATGGCGGACATTAACCTTATCTCAAACTGTTCAATATTTTGACCTTTTACTTCATTGTTCTTTCCTTCCATGTGACCCTAACATTTTATTGTTCTTTCTACTTCATGGAAGCCTAAGTCATTAGTTCTTACATGAGTAATTTTCTGGGATACGTCGTTTTCGAACGAAGGTCGTTCGGTCCGAGCTCGATCATGGATCATGAAAAGTTTCCCTCTGTTAATACAACCTCAACAGTTTTTTGCATTTCTTTTACAGGGATGCAGGAATCAAGTTTCAAGACAAAAATGCCACATCACATGAGGACTGTTTACTATTTTGAGACGTAGCAACATGGATGTGTAAGCTCAGGAACTCGATTTAACCTATGTTGTGTATTTGGAATTCTTACATCATGGGCTACATACGAACGAACGCAACCATCCGAGAGATTGATCTACTGAAGGACCTCTTCGAGACAAGATGACAAATTATGTATCTTTTTCAGGGTCCTTTCGTGCCCCTTCTTCTTCATACATGGTACCTTCGACTTGTGTTGGTTTTTATTTCTCATTTGGACGCTGCCCTTTCGGTGAAAGACACGCACATTTGTAAATGCGAGGATTTTCCCGTAGAAGACCGTCCGTTTGTAGCGATATGGAACGCCCCGACTGGTGGTTGCTCTGTCAACTACAGCATCAACATAAACTTGAGAGATTTTGATATTTTAGAGAATCCGATGCAAAGCTGGGATGGAAAGTTTGTTACGGTATTTTACAATGCCCAGCTCGGCCTATATCCTTACTATACCAATCCTGAGGGAACAAGAAGTTATAATGGAGGAATGCCTCAGGTTTGTAAGGTTAATGTTATCAGTGAGAGCAATGTTTAATGTTTACATCGTTTTGCTGCAGGTCATTAAATGATCTTCCCTTGTAGGCAAAACATGAACACGATAAAAAAAAAACTTTTTCCCTACTTACAGTTTTGCATTACAATACTATTTTTGTCTGAAGATTAACATAAACTGTGGACAACAGGTAGTCATTATATTAGTAAGGGGAAAGTGTCAACTTTTTAACACTGCAGACTAGGTTATATTACTCAGACTTGCAATTGCCACTAAATACGTATATATACCTGTATTAAGATTTCATGTTAGATGTAAACACTTTAAAATGGTAAAAACAAATATTCAAGTTAAATTACTAGTAGTAAATTAAAAGAGTGATAACTAGTTAAAAGCTAATCAAGTTTAATGTCTATAGCATAGTCAAGGACATTATTGCAGTGATGGCAGAGATGAGTCGAAACAGTTATTGATCAAATGACAGATTTTATGCCAACAACCTCTAAACACCTTAAACCATTAAATTTTTTTTTATCTTTGTTAGTGAAGAAATACTGGGGCTTGATCTTGTCATGTTGATACAGAACAAATATGCTTACTTTTGCAGGGTTAAATTTAATTAAAAGGGTTTTCGTTAAGAATTGTAGTAGCAGGAGAAAGGTGTAACGTTAGAGGAGAATATTTTGAAAGAGGCCAACATCTGAGTAAAAAAATTGTCATAAGATATTGAACATCAGCCAGAGATGTTGCTCTGAACAACAGGGGTAAGATAACACAGGGTTAGAAAGAAATTTGAATTCAGATATAAAAGCTTAAAAAGCAAATTCAGTTTAATTCCTTTGGTCTGCATTTCGGGGATTAGATGCCTTAAAAAAATAAGGAAAATTATCTGAGGAAATGTTTTTAAACAAAAGAGAAAGAAACCCAGGGCTCATTTCATATACCCATATTTTTATGGAGTACCAATGCAGGGTTTGTACGGGCTCTCTTCTTGGGAAGTATGTACCCTCATCCCCTCTTAGTCCAGATTTATTATTAGACTTACTCTCTAAATTCATACTCATGTCTTGTTCAAAATGGCAAAAATACCATAGCCTTTAAGAGAAACAAAAAAGTATAGAGCTGTGTGAAGATGATTATCACAGGAAGGAGCTCATGTTTGGATCCCATGCAGTGTCCATCACAAAGCTTGAACCATCAGAATGAGTTGTGTGTACAAGAATTTTTGGTGCTTTGAAAGAGGCATCTCAGGAAGGAGGGATACCAAACAACATCTTTGCCTCTAATTTATTTCTCACTCCCTAATGTTGTTTTATTGATTTAGCTTATAAATTTGCAAGCTCACCTCAGCAAAATGAAAAAAGACATTATCAAAAAAATTCCCGACCCAAACTACAAAGGACTGGCCATTATTGACTGGGAAGGATGGCGGCCCACATGGCAAAGAAACTTTGACTCCAAGCGGATTTATCAGAGTAGATCAATTGATATTGTTCAAGACAAGAACCCTGAATGGTCAATGGAAGAAGTAATTGAAGAAGCAAAACAAGAGTTTGAAAGATCTGCCCGTCTGTTCATGGAGACTTCTATTAAGTTAGCAAGAACTCTAAGACCGAAAGGTCTCTGGGGATTTTATGGATTCCCAGACTGTTTTGGTACCAGTGAGACAAATTATCACTGCTCTGATGAGGTAATATACTGAGAAGATAATTATACAGTATTTAAAAATTAAAACAATGTACTTTATAAGTAAATGGAATGTGATCATCCAGGTAAGTTTAGTCCTGAATAGGACTGTTGTCAGTAATAACTGACATTTCCACAACCTCTGCAGTGGTCATCTTTAGAGTCAAAAGTCCTATTACTGTGTGTCAGCCATTAGGTCAGAGACATTTGTTAAAAGTTATGATCAAACCAATAACAGGATCTTTATTTTTGTTTTGTTTTATTTTAGAACAAGGAAATAAATGACAACTTGAAGTGGTTGTTTGCAAGCAGTACCGCACTTTATCCTTCTCTCTATATCTATGACAAACAACCTTGGAATAAAGCATTTGCATATGGAAGGTTGGAAGAGTCATTTAGACTAGCAAGTTTGGTTTCAAAAGAGACTAAAAAAACTTTGCCTGTGTTTCCTTATTTTCGTCATTTGTATGAAGGAAAGCCGCTGGAGTTTGACTATCTCACTGATGTAAGAAACATTTTTCTTGTATTTTATTTTAAGTTATTATAGAGACATAACATGAAATCATAATAATAATAATAATAACAATAATAATAATAATAATAATGATAACACACACATATTTTATTGATGACAATGCTAACTATAAAAATCCTATTCACAATTAATTCTCTTTAAAAAAAAAACTTTTCTGTCGGTTCCTTTTGAACTGCCACCAATGCTTGTCTAGTTATTAGTAGACTTTGACCACAAAATGGCTCGACTAGCTTCAAACAAGGTTTTTTTAAGCAGGGGTGGAGAGGCAGGTGGGTTAACCCTTCAAGTCTCAATAATGACCAACATCAATTTTCTCCTAACAACATCCATACATAGTCAAGAGATAAGGTTATGAGAATTAAAAATAATTAATTATTAATAACTTGATCACTTACAGTCAAGGCAGGTCAAGAGTACCCCCCAAGATTCTATTAATGAATTGATTATTTGAAAAATGAATCCGTTAGTCATTCCCGTAGCTGGAATCAAATATTCACATCGGCATTCCTGCATGCGTAATGAGCAGTGAATATTTTACAAGAACTTCTCTGTATTTGATCAGATTGAAAATCTTTGAAGGGATAGAATTACTTCGAAGACTTCAATTCAGGGAGCTGGTAGAAATTCCAAACCTGCCTGACTTGTGAATTCACAGCTCATTAAGCATGCAAGAATGCAGAGATGAATCTGAAATCTACGACTACCAACGGTTCAACTTTTGAATAATAAATTCATTAATGGAATCTTGGGGGGTACGCTTGACCTGGCTTGACTGTAATAGGGGAAACTTTTCTGATCTTTTATCACGTAGATTCTAACTCTCAACTAATTTTTTTGGGAAAATGTATGGAGGTCAGTCTGGAGAATTTTTATGTGAATATGATTGGGGCTAAAGGGTTTTGAAAAAATGAGTTTAAGCAAAGGTTAAAAATTTTATCATCTGACCACTCTCATCAGGTTGATCTTCAGAACACTATTGGCCAGGCTGCAGATATGGGTGCAGCGGGTGTGGTCATGTGGGGGAACAGGCGAGATGAGAACACCTCCCCTAAAGTCTGCCAAGATATTAATACTTACATAGAGACAAAGCTGGGGCCTTACTTTGAGTCTGTGAGACACAGCCAAGAAGAATGCAGTGAAAACAAGTGTAATGGGCATGGACGATGTGTGGATAAAAAATTAATTCCCTCACAATGGATAAGTGAGGAGCCATATTTGTACACTCAGACGTGTCAAGGGTTACCAAGAAAATTTGACCCCCGCATTAGAAAGGACAGCACTCTTCTTCAACAGGAAGGTACAAAGCATGTGATTTTTTTTATAAGTTCTAAATTGAAGGCTGTATTGATTAAGACCTCAAGTGACTCTTAAAAAGACAAAATTTTTAAGGAGAAATTTAGCAGTTTATCAGGTCTTTCACCATGTATCTCTTTAATAGTTCTTCATTCAAGTCACTGACCACTGTAATATCATTACCATGTCAGGCGCAGATCCACACTGGTTTCCACCATTTTACGGAAGTCAGTCAGATTTTACATAGTGGATATATTTTAAATAAAGATAAAAAACTTTCCAAGTTGCAAGGCTTCATCCCAGGAGCATGGAACTGGCCAATATCCTGTTTGAATGACTTAGAAACCCAGGAAAGGGGATTTTAGGGAGTTAAAATCTAAAAAATTTCACGGGGACCATGCCTCCCGGATCCCCCCTAGAAGCTTGCGCTTTTAGCACTCATTTAAGAAATCGGTTGGCATACATCCTAGATCCATGCCTGCATGTCTCATTTGCTCTTTTAGCAATTCAAACTAGCTACCTCTTTCTCTTGACTGAGGGCATATTTCACTGAAGGCTGCATTGCGTAACAGGTGCCTGTTACACAGGCTATTTTCACTGTGAATAAGTAGAGAAATTTTTTACCAGCCAAAGTCAAATTATTTATAACTTAGATTCATATTCACTACTGAAGAAAGAAACAATTTTTGCACCAAAAAAAACATTATTGGGCGGCATTTCCTTGCAGGCTGAGTTATCTCACAGTTATTGCTTTTGCAGTCTCCATTAGAATATTATAATGCATTTACTTTTATGCTGTACAGTGGAATCTTGATATAATAAAAGGCCAAGGTACTGGCAAAATTTCTTTGCTATAACGAGGTTTCATTACGTCGAGGTTATTTTCATATGTGTTACTATTACTTGGGTAAAGAGTATCGGTCATTATACTGCTGACTTTGTTTGTAGAGATTTCTTATATTATGAGTTTTTTTAAAAAAATTCATTTTTGTATTTGCTTATTCAATTATGTAGTTCCCTTTAGATGCAGAATTCGAATGTAACACTAAACATTTAACTCTATCAGATGCATTAATATCAACGGTTTTTTTTTTTTTCTGCTAGTCTTTAAATCTTTTAACATAATGTGCTCTGATTTGTTAGACCAACATGGAACAAACCAACCACAAAGACATGGCCTGAACTCTGTACAGAGACAGTACTTAATAAAAGAGCTGACATTGCTCAATGCTTCCGGATCTACTAAAAAGATATTTCTTAATTCTCGTCACAAAAACTCCTCAAAAGACTTTGTAATGTTTGTACAGTCCACATCAGATTCAGCTGTGGAGGTGAACAAAGCACCCAAGGAACAAAAAGGATTTACTGCGGGCGGAGTTGTGGCTACGAGTGGTCTGCATTTTCACGATCAGTTGACAGAAAGGTACAAATGTAGGAAGTAATCTCTTTTACATCCAATTCGGGAGCGCATCAAGGAATTTTTTATGGTTAGGTGAAGGGGGCCGGGGGGGGGGGGGTGGTGAAAAGGCAGGTGCAGAGAGGGTTGTTGTGAATTTGGCGATAAAACTCTTGCTACATTTTATTTATAGAAAAGTTTAAAAGTTAAAAATTAATTTTTTTTCATTTAATTTGTGGATTTGTATAATGTTTTTTTTATGGTATGTTGAAGGTTGTGGGGGGGGGGGGGGATGTCCAAACTTCGGTTCAGAAAGGACTGTTGAATTTTTTGTGGAAAATTTCTTCTCACAGAGACAACCACGTGTTTCTCAATGTGTGAAGGCCGGTCGCCGTTTTCGCGAAAAATACTGCTTTGCGAGCAGAGGCGAACGGATCATAGGAGGGTACCCAAAAACAATTACATTTTTGAATATACCTGGAATTCAGTTTAGTGGCAAAATGCAACGTGCGTTTTATTAAAAAATCACTCAGCCAGTTAAAAAGTGATTTATGATCCTGTCGATGTAAGAATTTCAGTCTCAAACAAGTGTCAGGTTTAATAGGGGGGTCTGGACCCCCGGACCCTCCCTTTGCATCCGCCACTGCAACTAGATATCACCTTTGCGATAGCCTGCATTGATAGGAGGTGGGTATAGGCCCTTTGTAGCAGGAGCTCAAGTGACCTTTCTTGCGCTAAAATTATGGGATACAACTTTAAAACCACTATAACATTCAGTGGCTATGGCTCAGGAGGTCAAACTCTTCTGGTGGTTTAGACGACGTAGCGTTCATTATTTCTGTTTAAGAAGAAGGAAAGCTTATATACTAGGAAATAATAAAAAGATCTGAGCAAAGCCAGTTTACTAGGGAAAGAAGTGAGAAAATAGAACTGTGATTGTTTTTTGCTTGTTTAGTGATTAGGGTTAAGTGCTGATTTTGGATGGTTTTTATTCACTGTTTTGGAAACGTCATATTAATACCGTAAATCCTCGTTTAAGCCCTCCGGGGCGGGGGTGGGGCATGTTTCTTTCAAACACATATGGGGGGCTTAATAGAGACAGGGGGCTTATTCGAGAGGGGGGCGTATTTAATTTATCAAACACGATGATGTCAGTTCTCCATAAGGAACTAGATTACAAAATGGAAAACCTTAGTAAGAGTTGGAGGTCATACAGCCAAGGATCAAAAACAAATCCGGACTTCCAACTGGTGGATAACAAACATCCCAGATCAGTCCACACGAAGTTTTACTGTTGTGATTGATTAATAGTCTATCATTCTATTAGTGAAGGATAATAAGGGGACGGGAGGGGGTGGGGGGGGGAGCTTAATAGAGGATTTACGGTACCTAAAAAATAATAAACACTTAATGACTTGTCCCTCGGGAAACAGTTAATTTTGTTTCCCGAGAATCTTAGTGAAACATTGAGATTCTCAGGAAGCAAAACCTGGAAGTAACCAATGAGAGCGCACCCTGTTGGGAAGAAATTTCCAGCTTTATAACAACGGCTGTTGATATCGATAGCTCCTCATAGTTTAGTGTAGAGATAAATGTACTAAACTGGGTTAAAGGATCTCCGGCTTGTTTTAATTTAGTCTTTTTTCTGTTTTCTTTAAAATAAAAAGTTTTAAGTTTCCTGAGTGTGTAGGGTTCATGAGGTGTCCGACCTCCTTCTGAGTTGAAGTATGCGGACATTTCGCTTTGAAGTCTTCTCGCTACATAGTCATTTTGCAACAACGTTGACTAAACAGACCATTGCAGTTTAGCAGTTGTATACATACACAGTCTACAGAAACAGTCCGTAAGCGATCTCTAATCTCCGAAAAAAAAGAAGGACAAAGACTGTTTAATACAAAAATTAAATCAGCGCGAGTCGACTTTGATCTGGAGCGAAATGACTTATAGCGAAAGGACTTTTTGCGAAACGACCGGTAACCTTTTGTGACATACAACAGGTTTCAACTGAATCAAAACGCTTTTAACTCTATTCAAATTCTGAAGCCCAGTTTTAATGTTTTTTTTTTTCAGCCCAAGTTTTACCCAGACAGTAGGCAAAGGAGCTGTTAACAAGCTGACACTTTGTAATGGATCCACATCCGGGTCCTCAGACTGCGAGATCATGAAAGAAAGTCCCTCCACGTTCTCGCGTGGTTTCCACTTTCCGCACACGTACGTGGTGTTCCTGTGCGTGTCGCTTGGCTCTGCACTCCTCGTATCGTCCGCTTTTATTATGAGTTACTATTACTGCAATGTTCGCAAAAGAGTAGCGGTAGACGAGGAAGACGACGATATTCCTCGCGGAGACTGATCACGCGCTGCGAAGCGAGGGAAAAGCGCACTGATCGACGAGAGAACATTTCTCTGTCAGTTCAGCCTCTCAAGGAGGGAGCGTTAGGGTCCACAGTTTTTGCGGTTTTAGCCATTTTTAAGATAGGTATTTCGGATTTATAAGCGATAGTCGCATTTTCCTTTTGGGTTTTGGTTTTTACCGAAAAAAAAATTTGCCCATTTGGCTTACCGTTCTTCATGTCTGCACAGGCTTCTCAGCCGAGTCCTGCCGTATGTGAAGTGAATATAAAACGAACCGTGGTCTAGTGACAAGGGGTAGATATAGAGTATACGTTACCAGAAAAGGTCAAATTATATACTGTTCACACTGTTGTAAAAATTGTGAAACATCCCCCATACCTAAAGCCAGGAGCGAACAAGGACAAAAGTATGCACCCTGTTTCACACAATATTTCACAAAGTGTAGAGATTTTACTGCCTAGAACCATTTGTGAAAACGTACAGGACGACCCGTAAGTTCTTTTTAAAATTAGCGTGGGTTTTGTTAATTTGGTATGGTACTAAAACCGGGAACGGGGAACGGGAAAATGAAAAATGGGAACAAAACAGAATTGGAAATGATATTACTGATGGGTCTAGGGTTCAAGTTAGGTTTTGTTCCCATTTTTCATTTTTCCCGATTCCGTTCCACGTGCTCGTTCCCCGCTTTCCGTTTCTCGTTTTAATTACATCCGTAAATTTGTTCTTTATGATCGTTGACATCTGCGGTTTTTCTGATCAGTCTTTATTGCGGTTTCGCCAGTGTGCGTTGGTATCTTTCTTGGTGGTTTCGTTTAGTACCCCCCTTTGCGAGTTACCCAACTGGAGTTACTGCAACTCGTAATACGTCTTGGATAGAGCTCTACCAGCAGAACCTTTGATATATCAACAGAGCTTGAAAGAACGTATTCTCAAGCTAGAAAGACATCGCCACAATTCAACATTCTCTCCATATTTTGTTTGTTTTCAAAGTTGTTTTGTATAATTTTAGACTCAGAAAAGGCGTAGAAGTATTGTTCACCGAATACAAGTCTTTAACCTAGCTGTATAATTGTCAGTGTCTGCTGGTATAAGGAGTTTGGTTCTGTTTTTGGTTTTGGACTGAACAAGCCAATACTCTAGTAGACGTTAATTGCGTGCGACCAGAGGTGTCCGCGATGCTATTCTTCAGGTTCCTATTACGCATGCGTGGCGCGTATTTAGCCAAATTCGTTTGGACTTCCAAACGAGTAAGTAAACAAGTAAGAAAGAATGGAATGCTTAGAACTCAATCTGATCGATGACACTCGTTTGGACCTTCTATCACTCGTATTTTGATCACGCGCGTTTTGACCTTCTATCACATGAAACTTGCGCAAAGAACAGCATTGGAGTAAGAGCGTTTTGACTTTCACTCTGTACTCTTTGTTTAGTAAAATATCTTAACGTAATGAATTGCGCCAATGAATTTCTGCAGAAGCATATAACCCTCCTGGTTTCTGAATCCGAACAATTCACGTCCATAGACCTGGATCATTTGAGTAATTATTAAACGAACTGTTGTTTGGCGATGACCCTTACAGACTGGCCAATAAGCAGCCTCGTTCCCAGTGTTCCAAGGCGAGTTCGGATATGACATCGCAACAAACCCTACCAAACTCAATCGGACAGCGGGAATTAGCCTCGGGAGGAGGCTGGTCAAAGGTTAGCCTGGGAACAGCAGACGCATTTCCGGTCGTCGCTTCAGTCTCCCTCCAAAAAATAGCTATTTTTCGAAGAGAGAGAGAGAAGCGACGACAGGAAATACGTCTGCTGATCGCAGGCTAGTCAATGGGCAGATCTAGCAAAGACAACGCAACGACTGTGACAACAGCGCGCGCGGATCTTAAAACCAGCTTGACCTATCCACAGAGCGGCAATTTGAGTGCCGATAAGTTGTGTTTCGTCTTAGATCGTTCATGTGTTGCTTTTGATCAACCATGGCTTTTTAAGGTACGGAAAATGGGCAACAAAAAACATGCAGCTTGTTTTGCAACATTGCTGCAAAACGAGTTGAATAGGGATGTTGTGCGTTTTACCACCCACGTTCAAACCTGTCTTGCAACAAATCAGGTTGTTGATAGATGGGTGGTAAAACGTGCAACATCGCTTTTCAACTCGTTTTGCAGCGATGTTGCAAAACAAGTTGCATGTTTTTTGTTGCCCGTTTTTGCGTACCTTAAGAGCTCTTCGTAGCGATTCAACTGAACTAGCCTCTCGAGGCAAAACTCTCGTTAAAAAAGTTCACAGGCCACCCACATAAGGAAAAGTGGGGGAGGACAAGGGGCTGGGACGGGCACGGGTCAAGCGGAAGAGGAGAAGGACGAGAGATGGCAGTTCTAATCCAAAAGAGAGGGAAGCGGAATAAATAGGGGGAAATAACGTGACAATGCTTAATATCTTGAAGCCATGAAAGGAAGGCCGGGAGACGGGAGGTTTGGGCACTCTGTACCCATCTCCCTTTTACCCAACTTTCGCCCAAGTTTCTAAGGTTTCTTAGCTATTTCCTCTTTTGTGCGTCGGTCTTGAAGAAAAGTAGAAAAATGTAACCGCAGCGGCATTGCCTGTACGGGCGATTCATTAATTAGAAAAGAAGAAAAGGTGGAAAATAGCTGAACAGTGGGGTGGGACTTTCGTGGAAAGGGGAGGAACAAGTTGCTGTTAACAAGCAAGAGGAATCAGACCTCAAACGTTACTTAAAATTTTGCCCGGCTGGCTCAACATTTGCTGTATTTTGACATCTTTGCTCTTTTATCAAGGGTCGGGGTGCTGTAATTTCCCATAAAATCCTTGGTTTTCCCCTGGAAACAGTGTCGACTCATTTACGAGAGGAAATTTCGTTCTTGACAAGTGTTCCTGTACATGAACAAGCAAAAACAAGCAAATCCGTTTTAATTAGGGCAAGAAGACTTTTTAAGGAACCTCAGACCTGTGAGTCTTTAACCTGGCAGGTCTTTAGTAGTACAAATGTAAAACGCTGGAAATTTTCAACTGACAAAAATGGAACCGTTAGTTTCTTCTTTCTCTACCACACCACTAAGCAAGAACTAAAACCAAGTGAATAGTTTCTCGTTTTAGTTTTGGGTTATTTGGCTGCGCTTTTTCATCTAAAGTGCATTTCTAATCCTAAACTAGCAGATGATTAATTAGGAAGACTGATTAAGTTTGGTGGTTTGGTTTTTCAAAAGTAATTGTTAAAAAGCGATCAAATTAAACTTTTCCCTGATCAGAGCCAGCTTTTTCTAAGCTGGGTTAAGATAACCCAGGGTTAGTGCGAAATTTGAATTCTGATATGAAAGCTTAAAAAGAACACTCAGTTTGATTATTTTTGCATATAATTTGTTAGTTGAATGCTCTAAAAATAATTCAGAAAATTATCCCAGGAAATGCTTTTGAACAAAAGAAAAAAAACCCGTGTTAAAATTTAACTATAGTCTCTTCATTTTCTTTAACGGCACTTAAGATCACTTTGGAAAATCTATGATGAATAGCGTACGAAACCTCAAGTTTATTAAAAATACGAAAGCTCACAATGTTTATCACCGCTGTTTATGTTTTATTTTTGTAACAAAACTTTTGGGTATTTTTATTCCGGAATACGATCAATCAGACGAACCTTTAAATAACCCTTATATCTGGCATCTGCTCTTATGGAGTCCTTATAGGGTTTTTGCTCGAGAAACCGGGGGATATTCTTTCCATTCTCGTTCTATAAATAGTATTTAGCTGTTTTGAAAACTCAGTGATAGCTTATTATTATATCCCTAGATTTGTGTAAAGGTCGCTGTACCCATTAACCTATTGCATGCTTTCTTCTGTTGTCTTTAAGGCTCAGTGGCAAATTATTTGTTTTGATAAAAATAACGAGCAAAGCAGCAAAATGATCCTCTGGGCGGAGACAGAAATTGGCAAGGAAGGTTGAAAAACATGCAGGGTTTAAAAAAAAAAAAAAAAAAATTGGCGGGTTTACAAGATACAAAGCACAGGCGTGAGACCCCGCTCTCGTGAAGAACTTGAAGCGAAGGGTTTCATTCGTCTCTCCTCAGTCTCACTCTCCTTTTTCATCCTCGCTCCAAACCTTTCGTTTAACTGCTCGCGTTCTTGATCATGACCTACACAAAACCTACGGGCTGTGTTGCAGCCTACGAGGAGAAAAACCGTAACATTTACATTAACTCTGATTGAATTTGTTGCCTTTCAGTTTCTCTTTTTTCAACCGCAAAAATCATTTTGGACGCCTCCTTTTTTCATTCGTTAAAGATTTTGTTATCCTTGCCGAAAATAAAACGGCTTGACATGCCGTCCTGAGGCTACGAAATTTGATTGAAGACTTATGGCAGAACCAAAACGTCATTTCGAAGACAGAAACGCACAACATTTCAAAGTGATTGTAAAATTTAGTTCCACTCCTCTGTCTTTGTCCCCTAGCACTGGATCGTCTGGAGTGGATTTCAGATGATTTCAAGAGGAACTTGCTGGGATCAAGAACACAGAAAGAAAGCAAATGCCTTTAAGTTCTCCAGAAAACTTTGAATTAATCAGTCATTTTGATATAAAGACATAAATTAAGAAGCTGAAGGTGTCTGCTGTTCCGACGTCTTTCAAGATGCCGCGCGGTCAGATGCATTTCGACCAGAACGACTGATCCTCGATGGAATGATGGGTTTTGAAGGGGCTGCGTCATCATGATATTGCTGTTTTAGGCCAATTCTGTGCTGAAGTCATTAGTTCATGTCTTTACCCATACAAAAAATACTCCTGTAGAGATATGAAAGAGACATCAAACAGATTTCACCAGACTGACACCAAAAAATGTTTGGTGATTTTTCAGTGCAGGCATTGCATTTAAAAGTTGTCCAGCTTTTCAAGTTTCAATCTGTATCCATCATTGCCATTCATAGCAACAGACGACAAGAAACAGTTTCAATGCCTGGCTATATAGTCTAAATAACAAAACTAGACCATTTGTTTTGGAATGCAATTCATGCGAAAAACGTTTTAGCTCTTTGGCAAAAAGGTCAAGAGCCATAATGGCTCTTGAAACGGGTATTTATAGCAGATAGCGTGTCACAGGCCCTTTAAGCAATGATTACTCTTCGTAAAATGATTGATGATTATTCCTCTTTTACTGAAAGGAGTCTCGAAGAAGATACAGAGAATAATTGAAACTAAAACAGCGGTGTAAAGGGCAGATTTTATGAGGATATTATGATGAAACAGAGACGGTACAGAGGTACTGAGTTTACGAAAACTTAAACACTGGATTGCGAATACTTTCCTGTCAAACTTTTAGCAAATATTATGGTAGATAAGCCACACCGCTTAGTGAGTGTTAGTGATAGCGTCAATTTCGCGGTTTCCTTTTTAGATATCTGTGGAAATCCTTCTAACTATTTCCATAAAGCTTTAGTTTTAATGGAAATTTCTTCCCTGCTTATAATTATAGGACGATCCTGATTATCTTCCGTAAAACCGTATCAACGCTATTGCTAGATGTTTCATGCCAAACATGGCGAGTAATATAATCGAGTATCAACTAACAAAAGTATAAAGTAATATTTGTGTTCACGTCAAAAAAAAGCGCGTGTAAAACAAAACCTCCTTAATATCTTCTTTCCAGTCTTCACTGCACTGCTTACTAGTTTGACTACAATAGTTCTCTGATCCTTTGAGACCTCTTACAGTTGCGTCTAATCATCAATGAGATAGAAGGGGGTGTATCTTTCGACGGAAACACCGGCCGTGAGAATCGGTATATAAGCACCTTAAGAAAAAGGATTGATCCTCTTTTTCGGAGCTTTATCAAATAAAAGCAAAATTTGTAAAGTTAGCTTTGGGAGAAGAAGATGACTAAAAATAACATAACCCTGATTTTTATGCGGCAATCAGGAAGCTATAGGCTCCTGCACCCATTACTACTTCCTGCAGCGGAATGAGTTTGGGTCTCCTCTCTAAAACCGACGACAGTCCCACCTCGTTTTCAGGCAAGGTTGTCGTCATTCTGTCACTCGGAGTGTGGCATGTGAATTTTACGATATCTTCTCTTCCGCAATACTAAAGTGGTACGTGAGCGAAAACTTAACGCAAAACCACAGCGACAAACCTGTTAGTATTACCGGATCTTCCGTGTAGATTTACTGAAATCACAAGAAAATATCATTCGGATACCGTAAACTTCCGCTTATCCAGCAGGGATCAATTTATGTTTCCGTGAAACTGCCCACCTACTCCTCCCCTGAGCCAACATTAACACTTACTTCTCACTAAGGACAAAATGTTGGGTTAGGGGAGGGGTAGATGGGCAGTTTATTGATCCAGCAGCATGACCTTCCCCCACCATTTTTAGGCCCATCTACCTATACCTGTAAACAAAAACATACATCGCCCCAGATATAAGCCTCCCTCTGACTTGCATTGAATGAATTCGATCTTTTACGACGATTTGAAGCTTACTGAATACAGAATCCAGTCAGTTAAAAAGTATTATGATCACCACAGCTATGTAGCTTGTTTTGAAAAGCTATTTTTAGTACGGTTATAACCCCCTTAGTTTATAATCCCTCCTAAAACCACTTACGAAGTTGTATAAGCCAGCGGGGTTGCGGAAGTCAACGCCTGAGTGGAATACTCTCTCACTAAGACTTTCTCATTCTTCCGTGATGTGCGGTCAGAGTTTCTCGGGCTACGTACAAAGGATACTTTCAACACGCCAACATGTTTGAGATGTTTCAGCAGTATCGCGAAAAAGTAGCATACCTTTGTTCGCCGGGTTATCCGTTCATTGATAATTTTAACGTACTGAAAGTAAATAAAAAGGGTTAGTTCCAACAGAAACTCTGGCCCTGCGTCGTTGAGGTAGTGAAAATAAAAAGAGGGCTTTGTCATCTGAGTCAAGTTGACGGCCTATTGTGAAAAGATTCCGTCAAAATAGAAAGATCACGTATCGAACGCCCCGAGGCGCCCGTTCTTGGGCCAGCAGAGGACTCGATTCACTCTCACGTGCACCGAAGGGCAAGCTTTCAAAACGTCAGTGAGAATGCCCGGGGGGCTACTAAACGACGTTTTATCGGGGAAGCTCCGCTAGGAGCAGGTCCCTTACCTTTTATATATCCTTTTTGAAAGAAAAGGTACCCCTTTCGTTTACCTCCTATTGACAACAAACGATCACCCTTTCACATTTAGAAATAAAGGCGCATGATCCCTTTTAACTACTGTCCTCTACTGTGAATGCGCTGTATTTTAAATATGACTAAATTGCTAAAGCGGGAAGTTTTCTTGACTCCAGCCATAAAATGCGCATTATAGCCCTTTTAGTCCTTTTACAGACCGAAAAAGTAGTCTCCTTACCCTTTCATATTCTTCAACTAGTGAAATCCCTACCCTTTCATATACTTGAAGTCTGGAAAAGGTACTTCATCCGGGCTGAGCCTTCTCGTATAGGCCATTATAAAAAGGGGTAACCCCAGGTGACTATGTATATGGTGGACAATTTTATACTTGATCAAATCAGGTGATATAGTAACTGTAAAATCTTTTTTAGCCTTTGCCCTGACCGTCCTCTGTAGGCTCGCTTTCAAATGTTTTTTTTAGCATTTTTTTAGACTTGTCAACCCAGTCTCAGTATCCTCAAGTCCAATCCAGCGCTATCAGTCTGTGACTCAGCGCAGATATGAGCTCTGCCATCTAAAGCAACTTTGATTATTTTCCGAAAGTGAATATCGAAATTTTTTTGTTTTGTTTTTGGAAATCACAGGTGGTACTAGCGAAAGTTTGTGAAACAATTTTGCTTTTTTGTGATTCACGTCAAGAGCAATTGTCAGTGAACGCATGTAGACAGGAATAATATTTATTCTGGAAGGACGCTCTCTCCACCTTAAAAATGTCAACAAATTGGAGCTCTCGACAAACTGAAAAACACGAAAGAAAAACAACTTTGTCGGTGAAATGACAACTTGTCGTTTTCAACGAGGATTAAAGATCGTATCGACTGAAACAGGAGTAGACACGACAATTATCACACATGTTCCTAGGAGCCTGGAACTAGACTACAAAAACAAAATGGCGGCAGTGGTCATAGCAAAATATTTATGCGCCAAACATGTGTAGCAAACCAATTTGGAGCTCAACCATTTTGCCTCTAATGACAACCTAGGCGGAGGATCTTCAAATGAGGGGTTTCGATTATGCGTTTGGGACCATTTTGCCTGCACAAGCCCTCCCTGAAGTTATATCTTGCCTGTGCCCTTACATTCGTCATCACTTTGTACTTGTTTTGGAGTGGTTGTGAAGTCGCAACTTCCTTGCCTCCTACGAAACTACAAGAGATAAGAGGTGTGCCGCAAACCGTTGTAGATTGCCCCAAAGTAATTACAAAAGTGACCTACACAAACAAAGCAGAAGGCGAACAGAGCGAAGAAGCGGAATTCACTCGCTCTAAGGCCTCAACGAACCAAAACATTTGCCCCGATGTCGAGCGCATCGACGCGATAGTGAATGGCGAAAAGAAATTTCAAGCTTCGCTTCATGGAGGGGAAGCTTACGTTCCGTTTTCATTCGTCAAGGAATATTTTGATATCTATGGCGAACTACAGGAAATTGAAGGGAAAACTGTTTTAGACTGGCGACATTCTTACTCCGAAGTGCGTACAGCAAAAGCGGGAAGCGCTTATGAAACGCGAGGACCTTTCCTCTGGTTTGAAACGTATCACGTTGAAGGCCGCTCTCGAGTCAAATGTGTTAGCGGCATTGAGGAAGTCCCTGTTTCAACGCAATGGAACCCGAAAGGACATTATTATCCTATACAGATAGCACAATACGGCCTTTCACACTACAACATGTTGCTTATGGAAGGCGATTCGAAGGAGAAGCGGAAGGTGTTTGAAGATGCTGAAAGCGTTTCCGACGTAACTTGGAACTGGGCAACCTCACAAAATGCGAAGATGGTCAATGTGTTCGATAAACAACGCAATACTCGAGTTTTACAGTTTTCTACATCAGGTGAGCTTTCTTAGTTGCTTAGATTTCTGAGATTTTCATATTGCTTATAATGTTTTAAATTTACGCCTTCGTTTAGTGTCAATTTAGATCAAAACACTGCGTGATCTTAATTGAATACTATATAAACCTACTAAATGCAAATTAGAAACACTACAATTTCAATTTTCCTCCCTCCTTCATTTTCGGCACAATCTGAGATCATTGTTTCTAAAAAAAGAAACTTGAAACATTTCCAGTTGATTCGTAATCTGTTTGTTTTGTTAATTTTGTTGCGAGTGTGTTTTCAATCAGGCTTTTCCAATTTTTTTCTAGAGGACAAAGAAATGTAAACATGCTCAAAACCATGAAATCATTGTATTTCATTAAAGCATTTCTATTTCTGGTATCAGCGACTAGGGAACAATTTAGATTTACCTTACGAGGAATTTAAACATTTTTTTTATCCGGGAGGACTGAAAACCGGTGTTAATTTATACGATGAACGTAATTTTCTAGGTAAACAAATTCCAAAATTCTTGTACATTCGATAAGGTTTATCGGCTGCATCTGCCGTCGATTTCCTTGCGATAAACCGTGTGTAAACGAGGGAAGACGCAAAATAAAGTCTAAACCACCGTTGGCAAATGTCCTATTTAAAAAGCTTTTATGCTAGTTTAGATTTCCGTATTTATTTGCTAAGAAGCTTTTCAGTTTTTTTAAGGGTTTTGAGCTTGCCTTGCTGACCACTAAGTAAGATCAAAACACTTTACGCTTTATTGAAAACCGATTTAATCCGTATGGGGTGTCAGCTAAACTAAATATTTAATACCTTCCTTAAGCCTTTCGCTTGGCTTAAATCGTGCCTAATTTCAAGTTTACTAATATGGTGTCTGTGTTCTGTCTTACAAGTCGGAAACTTGCTACTTTTGAGAAACAGAGACTCTGAATTAATTAAAAGGTAATAGTCAGCGCCTATCGCATTTTCCAGACTTAAGATTTGTACTTGATAAGTTACTCTAAATTGACCATCCTTATCTCGGTTTTAATTAACATCTATGGTCAGTGATCTCCTCTAGGATGTCATTGAATATTATCATATTATCATGTTTCAGACTTTTTTTTATGTTTTGGAGATTTTATTTGTGGAGTCTCACTTTCTTTTCTGGAAAAAGACATTTCTGTTGTTTTAGTTCTTTCCAGACTTGCCACATTAAATAACATGAATAATTCGCTGATAAATTGTGTTCCATTATCTCTGGTAATCCATTCTTGGCAAAATAACCTTGTAGTCTAGCAAAAGTAAAATTCACACTTACGATCTGAATTTCTTTTATTTTAAAAGGAATTTTTAAATTATTTTCACGATCACTATTTCAGTGCTTCGAAGTATCCACTGACCACCCAAAACATTCAAGAAAAACACATCTTTCCTCACTAAATTGTTGCTTTCAGTCAAGTTGAGGGAATCTTTCTTTTAAAAATGATTAGAGATAACTTAATGATTGTTGAAACTAGAGAAAAACTTGTGACCTTTTGAATAATGAATCAAGGATACTGTACCCTTTCCTCTAAGTAGATTAGCAAGTCAAGGTTAAATGTTCATTAAGAATACTTATGGTAGATACTGGTATTTCAGAAACCAGGTAGTTATAGCAGCACAAAAAAAGCTGTAGTTTTCAAAGACAGATTGAAGCACTTATAATATGTTCCCCACTCGAAAGGTTTTTTAAAGCCAATATTTGCTTGCTATGGCTATATACAAAATGAACTTACTAATTAGCTTTTTTAAGCACAACGCCCCTTAACTATATTGTGTCCCAAGAATTTTACTATATTTTTTTATTTTCAAGTAAAGCCGTAGTATAAAGCATTGAGGATGCATTAAGAGAAGCATTAAGACATTAGGTCCGTTGTATTCATGGAAAATACCTACTTAATTTTTCAGTTGTGTTTACTCGTAATTGCTGGTACTGTGCTACACTGTTTTTCACTCTGCATATAAAGTTTTAGTCATCAGTGTGGAAGAAAAGTGACATACTGTAGGTTAGGAACTCCTCACTAAAGTTTAGTAACTTGAAATAAACACAGCCAGGCCAGACACATAATGTCATTGGCAACTTAACAGTGTCCTGTAGGAGGTAAATTGCTTTTTAAAGCTGATGAAGTCATATTACATACAGTCGTAAATGCAGAATTATAATCATCATGATAGTCAAAGGTGTGAATGACAAATATTCTATGTTGAAAGTGCACCAGATAATAATGAGTGGTGTCCTGTGTTACTTGCCAAGATATCAAAATGTCCAATATTATTCCTCTTTCTCTTTTGGAACTTGGTTGTGGTGTTAATCATGCAATTCCAGGAGCATTCAGCTCTATTTGTTGAATTGATTAAGTTGGAATAATGGCGACTGTGTAAAAAAATTAACATCATTAAATAAGGAACATTTTCGCTGCCAATTCCTGTCCTGTATCGTTAACTCCAAATTCTAAGTAAAATGATGCAGTAGGAGAATTTCTAATTTCAATGATTTGGTTGTGCCTGAAAAAAAATCTGGTTCGGTACTTGTCTTACTTGACACTGCTTTGTGTCATCTGTTTTGTGAAGCTTGTGTTGAATGACAGATCACTTGATTGAGTACTAGGCTTTCCAGTTATTTTTTATGCCATGTAATTTTGAAATGATCAAGCAGTAATTTAAAAAAAGAATTAATGTGTGTGTGAATGAAATTGCTATCACACTTATTGAACTTAAAAATCATTTCACTTTTTGTTAATTTTTTCTACTGTACAAAATATCAAACTGTATTCAACTTCACAAACATACTGGTGGACGGAGTCAAGTTGCATATACATGGATTGCTTGAAAGTTAATTTATAGTTTTCTTTATAAATATTTTTCTTCTTGAATCAGTTAACGGTAGTATAAAAGTGTTTTAAGGTATTTTTTGTCAAACATGAGACAAGGTGTGAACAAGGCCACACATGAGGTCATTTAATTTCCTGCTGAGATTTGTATCAAAGTGTGGTGATAAAATCCAAGGTTAAAAATAAAAATGTTTCCATTGTTTTTTTTTTTAAAAAAATGTTCTACCCTGTGAAATACTCAATGATAATTCCTTATAATCAGGTGATATTTTATCACTAAGGTCAAACTGTAAATGGAAGCAATTATCCTGTTATCTTTTGTCTTGCATGGGGTAAAACGTCTTTGAAAGTGAAATGTTAAAGGAGAGGGGCTTGATTTTACATTTGATTTTAAATGGAGAAAAACGTTCTCAATTTGCTTGCTGTAGGGTTATGTTAAAGTGACAATACTAGGATGTTCTCCTATTAATGCCTTAACCAAGGCAGCTAAACCAAAAGTTTAAGTGGGTCAAAAGATGCCGCACCTACATACAATCTTGGATAAAATATAATGGAAAAGCAATACCCCGCTGCCACCCTTAAGTCAAAATAACACCTTTCATTTGGGGAAATGGGTGGCATCAATTTTTCAGTTTTAAATCAAGATTGTCGCCTACCAGTCTCTGGCAGGCTTTTACCTTCTCCCACACCGCGATATTTCTGTGCTTATTCCTAGTCGTAAACTGGCCTGTAAATGTACACTTTCGCTCCCTATTAGCCGTGGCTTGCTGTTATCGGCCATTCTCTCTCTCTTTTACTGTACACTGTGTTAGTGCTTTCGTAAAAATTAACCAAGACAGCAACAACATCAGCATAAATTATTCAGTTAAATCATGCTATTGGTTTTCTGTGAACAATTTAAATAATCAGTAGAAGAACTAAAAATACATTTATAGTTCCCAAATCCTGGACATCAAATATGTGTAAGTGTTGTAGGTAGGCAGTGCTTCTAAACCTCTGAAAAACATTCCTTTGTGGTTTTTCTTGAGAACCCGCAAACTTTTTGGCCACGTGGTCACCAGATGACTGAGATATTAGGTGTGGCCGGCAACTAGGGGAAGTAGTTATCTGATCTGTTTCGCGGTCTGTATGAGGAGGATTTGCGTCTAAGCATGCTGATAAGTCACTGCTAAAAGCACTGATAAGTGGTTTTGATAATGCGCAAAATTATGGTTGATGCTAGAAGGAAGATAACAAGTGAATTCTTCAAGGGAGGTTAAAACCTCAACCCTTCTTTGTGACACTGACACGGGTAGGTTTAATTCCGAAAATAAGCCCCGGGGCTTATATTTTTTAAAGGCCCTTTTGAGGGGCTTATTTTTGGAGGGGCGTATATACGGAGGGATATTTGCGTTTCAAAATCGACTAGGCTTATACTGGGAGGGAAATATGCGTCTTAAAATCTATTGGGCTAGCTTATAGTTAGAATGAAATTTATGTCAGTAATTTGCAGCAAGTTTTTACTGAAACTCGCCTTGAGGACGTAGATCTTTCTGAACCTCAGCCATGCAAGTACTTTATCTATATGGACCGAGAAAATCCCACCCAAACACTGAACTACGCAAACAGCAATATACTGTGACACTTTTTGACTGCAGTCATTTGGCACACGTATCAATTCTTTGGCAATGCAAAAATTTATGTTTTACTGTACAGTTTTTGCTTTGTGTTATTTTGAATTTGAGGGCAATTTCCAAGTACAAGCCCCCGGGGACTTGTATTTGGAGGGGCGATTTATCAGGGGGTTTTTTACGTTTCGAGTTTGGGGGGCCCTATACAGGGAGGGGCTTATTTACGGAATTGTACGGTATTTGCGTTACAGTTGGAAATAACACAAACACAGACACATTAGTGATTTTAACAAACTTCAGGATTCGAATTGCCTTTTGGTTTAACAAAGCGATGCTAAAACTGGTAACTTCTCCTTCTCATTCAGTCATTGTTTATATGACATGTTAATCTGGTCTAGTTCGGTTATTCAACCATCAGTTTACGGCCGGCGAGTGGTCTGATTATAAATATTTATGGCACCTAACATGAATATCTGGGTTTTTCCAACGCCAATGTTTCGAATAAACCTAATTCAGAAATGGTTGCTTTGGCAACTGGTCATTGGTAATCGGGCATTGGGCATTTGGGCACACGAAACATTGTTGCTGTCTAAGTTAACTTGTGTGTATATTGAATCAGCTATGTAACGTCGCGGGCATGTATATCGCAAGCTACAGTATCGGGCTGCATTACTTTAAAGCGTCTCTGAAAACACGTTTCTGTGTTTAAAGTCGGTTTGCAAAGTGTACAGTTTCATATGCGAGATTTTCCTGCCATGAGACTTCCTTTAGCAAGGCTGCTTAAAAGTTGGATTTAAGTTCAACCTCTTTGTGGAATGTCGTAGAAATGGCTCTAGCACTAAGCTAAGGGAGTTTTGTGGGGCTGAACTAGGTTCATGTGGCGAACATCCTAAATGCCGCTGAACACCCGGATAAAATGGAATAGGAGACCCACACCCCACCCCTTGTCCAGGATCATAGGTGAGACGGTAACTTCATAATGATCCCCCGGGCATTTATACTTATGATAGCGTGTAACGTTGCAATATACATTTATATATATAGATGAAATCTCTTAATGTGACTAATTTTGTGGTCATATTTCGAAGTTTTCCCGCGAGAGGAAAAGCTAAAAATACATCATTTTCTTGCATTTGTTTGGTTTTAGAAAGTCTGTTTTATGTCCAAATTCGACGTATGTCGCCTCGAAGGCGCCAGATCAATTAACAAGTACTTCACTGTGGCCCATTTAGCACTTTATCTTGTTAACACAGGTGTAGGTGGAAATCGCTTCAGATTTAAAGTGTGCCGCAAAAAGCGTAAATTAAACGGCTTCCGTCGATATATATCTGGAGTACTTTGCGCAAAAACGTGTTACCCTTCTCGAAAAATGTCTTGGTATTTTAGGAATCTTTGGTGTGCATCGGCGGTGTTTATTTCCGCTGTTACTTTCGTCGACCGGCATTGTGAATTATATGTACGTGTAAATTCAATTTGGGAAAATCAAATTCCAGACATGTGAAAAGGTCACATATCGCTTCCGTGTAAGTGTGGGTTAAAAAGAGACGTGAAATTGACCTGATTATTGTTTATTTAAACGGATGTATAGATTGCGTTTCACACTTCTGGAGAGCGAATCCTTGACCAACAAAAATGCGGAGTAAAATTAACCAAACGCCCGGGGGAGGAGGGTTCTCCCTTATAAGGGCTTAATGGGGACGTGCGGCCAGCTAGGGTATGTTTTTCGGGATTTTTGTCTTAAACAGGGCATCGATGTTATCATTTGTCGTCTTAATCAGGGTATCGATTTTATCCGGCGATTTTTGTCTTATACAGGGTATCTTTTTAAATAGTTTTGTGATTGCCAATGGATTAAATAAGAAAGAGTTTCGATATTTATTATTGTCTTACACAGGGTATGGTTTCGGGTTAAATGTCTTAAACAGGATATCAAAAATCGTAATCCTGTCTTAAACGGGGTAGGAAAATCAGCGATTTTTGTCTTAAACAGGGTTAGGGTATGATGGGCCGGGCCGCACCTCCCCACCCAAGGATATATCGAGTACCCCCCCCCCCATCCGCCTTCGGGACCAAACATCTTCAAAGCGAAAGAGCCAACGTTAAATTTTTTATAATTCGGTCAAGTTAACCACCATGGTAGGAGCCTAAATTTGGCTACTAGCATGTTTCGTGATTTTGGTGGAAAGTTTTCCTCAGAACCCCCTTTACACAAAAACTTCCTTGTATCAGTGGGTGAAGTTAATTAGACATCATAGTCTTCGTGGGAATGTTGGGAAAAGTACTCTATGTTCGACTAGTATAGCCGAGTTCTTCCGTCAAAAATATAACAAGTGGTTCAAAGGTCGTTTTTCTGTCTTGCCTAGTCAGACCCGAGTCTTTGGCAAACTCGAGTCTGCAGGAGGACGCCTAGTACAGTGAGAACCCGAGGTTTCGGTTTGCAAAATTGGTACCGGACCGTCTCTTGTACGCATCGTCACTTCTGATCTGAGAAATAACTGCTTGGGTGTCCTGTGGAATTACGAGTCTTGGTTTGTTTGTCATTTGTTCACAAACCTACAGAGATACTCTAATGACTAATCTGTTTGTGTTTTGCCGGCAACCCTATCTTCTTCAATATTGTCTACTCTAGTGACCAGGGCTCTTAATCATGCATGTATTAATACAGAGCTTTAGATTTGAGGACGAGGACGAGTTAGAGATTTAACTTAAAGTTTTTTAGCGTATTCTCGAAAAATATTCAACCCGGAAAGCTTCATTGTACTATTTTTCACCTGAAAAATTAGTGCGGTTATTTTCCCCGGGCGAAAAATGATTAAACTTCAAGAATTTGATAACTTGCTCCCGCCGTCACGACATTCTCGCCAAAACTCGTTGTAGAATGACGACGGCTACCACGTTTTCCCGCCAAAATGACGTTGGTTCGTGCGCGCACTACCTATTGAGAAAATTTCATACTCGTAATCGTACTCCTCTCAGAATCTAAAGCTCTCTGATTAGAGAGCTTTAGATTCTGAGACGAGTACGACTACGAGTATGAGATTTTCTCAATAGTAAGTAGTGCTGGCGCGTGAACCAGCTTCATTTTGGCGAGAAAACGCGGTAGCCGTAGTCATTTTACTGCGCTTTTCACAAACATGCGAATTCTGAAGTTCAAAAGACAACTGACGATTGCGTTTTTCGCTGCCGTCAATCATCTTAACGGACCTCTTAGGAAACAAAACTTTACTTTAACGGGTTCCAAAGGTCAAGGTTTGCGATTTGTGATTGGTGGATTTCGATCCGTTTTGTGTGTTTCTGTGTTTCAAGGTTCGTTGCTTGTGATCGTAATTATGATTGACAGCAGCGAAAAACGCAATTGTGAAGGCGCCTTTTGAACTTTAGAGTTCGCATGTTTGTGAAAAGCGCAGTAATACGAGTTTTAGCGCGAATGTCGTGGTGGCGAAAACAAGATATCAATGTTAGAAGTTGTATTATTTTGCCATCGGGAGAACGCGTAACCTCCTTCACTAAAGATAAGAGTGCTAATTTTTCTAGTGAAAAATGGTAAAATGAAGCTTTCCGGGAAGTCTACATTTTGAGAATACGCGAAAAAACTTTAAGTCAAATCTTGTACTGGTACTCGTTTCCAAATCTAAACATCTCTAATGACGGAGGGAGACTGGCGGACTACTGCGTTTGTTAATGAGGTGGATTTAGTAACTTGAAATGTGTTCATACCTGGTTGATGAGTACATCATGAGAGTCACATGATTACTGGTCTGAAAATAGCTATGCAGGGGAGCAAGGGTGGCGCAGTGGTGAGAGCGCTCGCCTTCCACCAATGTGGCCCGGGTTCGAATCCTGGCGTCGACGCCATATGTGGGTTGAGTTTGTTGTTGGTTCTCTCCCTTGCTCCCAGAGGTTTTTCTCCGGGTACTCCGGTTTTACCCTCTCCTTAAAACCAACACTTTCAAATTCCAATTCGATCTGGAACGCACGGACACGTTTCAACGAGTTCTTATGAACTCCTTAGTGATCCGTGGGTAAACAAATTACAATTACAAATTACAAAATGCACATATTTGATTCAGAAGAGCCTTCAATATGTCTTTAGAGAGAAAGACTACGAGATTCTTTCAATACTAAGTAGTGAACCAACGATACAGTATGATATTGGACGATCCAGACTCTGCGAATCGTATTAACTTTGTCCCAGCTTTTAGTGATGCTCCCCGTGAAACGTTTCTAAGGTGACCAACAACACAATATAAACTGCTAAGCGGCACCGAAACCAGCTTTAGGCAAACGTAATAGCCTTCGTCATTCTACTTCAAGTGACAAAAACAAGTTATCAAATGTTAGAAGTTTTATCATTTTGCTATCGGGAGAGGGCTTAACCTCCTTCAATAGAGACAACAGTGCTTACTGTTTTGGGGACAAAAGGTAAAATGAAGCTCTCCGGGTTGTCTATTTTTTGAGAATATGCGAAAAAACCTGCAAGTCAAATCTTCGTATTCGTCCTCGAAGCTAAAGGTCTCTACTTAAACAAGAAAGCGAAACAATTTGTCCGAAAATGACGTCACGATCTTTCCCAGACTTGCCTTCCACTAATAGGCTCCTGACCGCACTGGAATTTTAGACATGTGAAACGCGTGGAAGAAAAATCGATTTTGAATTTGTTTTTCGCTGTTTTTATCGGGACATTGCGTAGATTCTGCAGAGCAGATGAAAAATCCGTCCGTTATATACACTTAACGCCTTTCCTTCAAGCTACAGTTTGCAACCGATAACTTGGAACACCTTCAAGGAACTATCGGGGGGTACTAAGGAACAAATAACGAACGAGAGTCTTCATTGCTGTTTGAATGATATGAAATCACTTTCTTTTGGAAGAGCAACGCCAACAGAAAATTTATTCACCATATCGATGATACACTTGTTGCCCTATCTCGAAAGAGTGCAGGTTACCGAGGGTAAAGTTATTAAATTAAAGAACTTGACATGAACGGATATAGAATAACTTCTAGTTATAAGAGACGTTTCCGGTTATTAAGGATAAGGTTTACGTATCGAGTGATTCGAGGGGAAATTAATTTTAGTGCGAGTTAGCGCGGCTTTCTACTTACCAGTAGTCAATTGCTTATTTATGAGCTATTTATTGCATGTTGTTCATTGGCCATGATGCGGAAGCGCTTGAGACCTTTTCGTTGTCAACTATAATTTTTTTTATAATAAGATCTAGGTGGAAAGGTTAGGGTAGTGAAAAACGCAGGATAGCTTCTAAAAATCACCATCTGTTGCTGTTGTCACTGCTGTCACTGTTCTCGCTGTTGTTAGTGCTGTCACTGTTGTCACTATTGTCACTGTTGACGCTGTTGTCACTGCTGTCACTGTTGTCGCTGTTGTCACTGTTGTCGCTTATGTCACTGTTGTCACTGTCGCAGTTGTCACTGTTTTCTGTGTTGCACTGTTGTTGCTGTTTTCACTGTTGTCACTGTTGTCGCTGTTATCACTGTTGTTGCTGTTGTCATTGTTGTTACTATTGTCACTGTTTTCTGTGTTGTCACTGTTGTCACTCTTGTTTCTATTGTTGCTGTTGTCACAGCTGTCACTGTTGTCGTTGTTGTCACTGTAGTCACTGTTCTCACTGTTGCCACTGTTGTCGCCATTGTCACTGTTGTCAGTGTTGTCACTGTTGTCGCTGTTGTCACTGTTGTCGCTGTTGTCACTGTTGTCGCTGTTGTCACGGTTGTCGCTGTTGTCACTGTTGTCGCTGTTGTCACTGTTGTCACGGTTGTCACTGTTGTCGCTGTTGCACTGTTGTCACTGTCGCTGTTGTCGCTGTTGTCACTGTTGTCGCTGTTGTCACTCTTCTCACTGTTGTGACTGTTGTCGCTGTTGTCACGTTTGTCACTGTTGTCGCTGTTGTCACTGTTGTCACTGTCGTCACTGTCGCTGTTGTCACTGTTGTCACTGTTGTCGCTGTTGTCACTGTTTTCTGTATTGCACTATTGCCACTGGTTTTCGCTGTTGTCACTGTTGTCACTGTTGTTGCTGTTGTCACTGTTGTCACTGTTGTTACTGTTGCCACCGTTGTCGCTGTTGTCACTGTTGTCACAGTTGTCACTGTTGTCACTATCGCTGTTGTCACTGTTGTCACTGTTGTCGCTGTTGTCACTGTTTTCTGTGTTGCACTATTGTCACTGTTTTCGCTGTTGTCATTGTGGTCGCTGTTGTCTCTGTTGTCGCTGTTGTCACTGCTGTCACTGCTGTCACTGTTATCGGTGTTGTCACTGTTGTTGCTGTTGTCATTGTTGTCGCTGTTATCACTGTTGTCACTGTTGTCGCTGTTGTCGCTGTTGTCACTGTTATCACTGTTGTCATTGTTGTCAGTGTTGTCCCTGTTGTCACTGTTGTCACTGCTTTCACTGTTGTCACTGCTGTTACTGTTGTCGGTGTTGTCACTGTTGTCAGTGTTGTCACTGTTGTCACTGTTTTGGTTGTTGTCACTGTTGTCACTGTTGTCACTGTTATGTACTGTTTTCACTGTTGTCACTGCTGTTACTGTTGTCGGTGTTGTCACTGTTGTCAGTGTTGTCACTGTTGTCACTGTTATGGTTGTTGTCACTGTTGTCACTGTTGTCACTGTTATGGTTGTTGTCACTGTTGTCGCTGTTGTCACTGTTGTCCCTGTTGTCGCTGTTGTCACTGCTGTCACTGTTGTCGCTGCTGTCACTGTTGTCGGTGTTGTCACTGTCGTGGTTGTTGTCACTGTTGTCGCTGTTTTCACTGCTGTCACTGTTGTCGCTGTTGTCACTGTTGTCACTGTTTTCTGTGTTGCACTGTTGTTACTGTTGTCGCTGTTGTCAGTGTTTTTACTGCTGTCGCTGTTGTCACTCTTGTCACTGTTGTCACTGTTGTCACTGTTGTCGCTGTTGTCACTGTTTTCTGTGTTGCACTGTTGTCACTGTTGTCGCTGTTGTCACGGTTTTCTGTGTTGCTCTGTTGTCACTGTTGTCAATGTTTTCGCTGTTGTCGCTGTTGTGGCTGTTTTCACTGTTGTGGCTGTTGTCATTGTTGTCACTGTTGTCACTGTTTTCGCTGTGGTCGCTGTTGTCACTGTTTTCTGTGTTGTCACTGTTGTCGCTTTTGTCGCTGTTGTGGCTGTTGTCACTGTTCTGGCTTTTGTCACTGTTGTCATTGTTGCACTGTTGTCACTCTTGTCGCTGAGCTACGTAGTACACATATCGAACGTAGACCACATCATGCGTCAAGTGGTCGCTAACAAGAGGTTTTAATACACGTGCACAAACTGCTCATCAGTCCCTACCTAAAAAATGGACGTTTCTAAACGCCATCTAAACACGTTAACTTTCTTTTGGCACTGCCCTCCCATATGCCCGTGATTATCTCCGTTTTGTAGATTTGCATGGTTTCTTCTTACAACGAAGGCTGCCTTTGTTAAGTACAAACATTAACCAGAAGGACTGCAAAGGACTGCAAACTAATATGCCGAGAACGTAGGATCTATAAAGACCTGATCAGTAAAAATAATAATGTAGACATATTAAATTCTGCCTCTGTTAAGCCTTTTTGCTTTTTTCATTGTTTATCTTTGTTTTTTTCCTTTTGTATATTTGTAATGATAATTTTTGCAATAATAATCTTCTAATTCTGTAATTTTTGCAGTTTCCTTTGCTTTTTTCGTGATCTTTTTTTTCCCTTTGTATGTAAATGTTTAATAAAGTGCTGTTAAATTTAAAAAAAGAAGAGGTTTTTACCTCTTGTAAAAAGAACAATGGAAACTAAGAAAACCGACAGGCTTAGAAAATAGTGGTCGCGATCGCTCATGAGAGGTCGTCGTTTTATGAGAGCTTTTGATTATAGGGCTTTGGCTGGGAAATCTTTGGTGTTATGGATAAGTGGTCGCTTACGGGAGGGAGTTGCAAATACAGGCTCGACTGTATGACAAAATCGATTTTATAGGAACCCCATTTCGAAGTAGACTTAGAAGGAATCTAGATGTTTCAATAATATATTTTCTTGTCATTCTTTCAGATTTATCCGGAGAGGCAGTTTCTCTACATCTGGACAGTGCCACCAAGGATTTTATTTTAACATTCGATCTCCTTCTTCGTGGTGAAGTGCGTGTTTCGGTTGTCATAGAAACCGACAATTCCGTTCTTTATACGGTGCATTATTCCACGAATAACGCGCTTATTTCTGCGACGGAATCGGAGGTATTTTATGGTCTAGGCCGTTGGAAAGGCTGGAAAAGAATTGTGCGCAGTTTGGATACCGATCTAAGAAAAGGGCTGGCGCTCCGTGCGGCTGATAAAAAGAAAACCAGGAAGAGTAAACTGTCATTGACTGAAATACAGAGTATTGCACTGCATGGCAGAGGAGCGATAGACAATATCTCCTTGGCGCATTCCGCTCATGCGCACTTCTTCCTGGCGGCTGCCAATTGGTTCTTACGTAATCAAAACGAGAAGGGCAATTGGCCAATCACCGTCAAGCGCGTAGTGGAAAGCGTGACGCTTAATCCCAACTGGTACTCTGCAATGGCTCAAGGCCATGGCATGTCGCTTCTTACGAGAGCTTATTTATACACAAAAAACGAAATCTATTTAACCGCCGCGTTGCGAGCGACATCTTTATTTAAAATCAAGGCCAAAGACAAAGGCCTGTTAGCTACATTCATGAATCAATACCCGTGGTATGAAGAGTATCCAACCTCGCCTTCACTCTTTGTACTCAACGGATTCATTTATTCTCTACTTGGCCTTTATGATTTGAAGCTCACTGCGAGCCCTCACCATGCCAGGGAAGCAGCGGAGTTGTTTAATCAGGGCATGCGCTCTTTGAAAGTAATGCTGCCGCTTTACGACAGTGGCTCGGGCAGCTTCTATGATTTGCGTCACGTGACCATGCATCTCGAACCAAATTTGGCGCGGTGGGATTACCATACGCTTCACGTGAGCCTGCTGTACTTTCTAGCTAGCATTAACGGCTCAGATCCCATTTTCAAATCCACAGCAGTCCGGTGGGAAAGTTATGCCAAAGGAAAAAGGGCGAAACACAACTAGAACCGCTATACATTCTGTTATCGACGCGAAAAGAGTCACTTCAAGGGTTCTCATGCAACTAGCTTGAGTCGAGATAAGGTTTACTGGAAGTAACGCTGCCTACAACCTCGCGTTCAGGTTTCCCTCCTACCCGTCCCTACGCAGCGAAAGAGAGAGGGAGATGCCTCAACGGATGGAAGGAGAGAGCCCTGGGACCGAGGTTGCGTCTTTAAGGCTACACGCGCAAGCTGAGTCCTGAGTGAGCACTACAGGGGTATTTTATCGTTTTTCACATATTGAATCGCTATAAACGACTTTTGCCCTTATGGCTTTTGCTGGTATCCGGCGCTTAACCGATTCAAATGATAGGCAATCAAACATGTCTCCAGAATCAATCTGGAAACGAAAGGCTTTTAGAATCACCGACCATTTTCTTTGCGTTCTTCCGGCTTTTTTGACGAGGGCTAGTTATTTGTAGATTTAACATCGTTAGAGAGATGAAAGCTCAAGAGATCAGCTTGACTTCGTTTAGGCCCATCCTTGGTTTTAGAACCTGTAACCTCTAAAATTAAAAAAAGACCAGGAAGTCAACACAATAGCTCCTAGGGAAATGAGAGGTTAAAAATAAAGAAAAACTTAACAGGTTCTTACGGCGATGTAAACCCTCTTTTTAACTGCGAAGAAATGTCTTCTCCCCCCTTCCATCTTCTTTTAATCAGGACTCGAAAATAACTTGAATTGCAGCTTGTGCTTTGGGCAAGGAAGTCTCGCATTTGGCTTGTTCAGGGCCACTTCTTGCTTGTCTTAGTTAATGATTTTGTTAGAAGATGCCCCTTGACACTAAACCCTTGCTGCCTTGAAAGGTACTGTATGTACTCAATTAAACGCCTCCGCGTATGGAAGCAAAATCACCAATAAGCGCCGCATTAATCAGAAGAATGCGGCGTTTATTCGAAGATTATAAGAAAAAGAAACTCGGTGCAACTGGAAAATGTACCCCATTCCGGACAGTTAGTATTCTGTCTTAAAGAAAAAGCGAGACTTTTATTATAGACCTTTTAACGCCTTTCTGTTTTACGTTACGATTTATGATTTACCGTAATAGGCCACTTCCGAGTTCCAAAAACCCTCATTTTCAAATTGAGGCTAGGTGTACAACCTTTCTTGCGAAAATGAGTTTTATTTGCATGAGACTGAAAAATCATTTCCATATCAAAGGCTGAGCACTTAACCTCGTTTGAAAACAGAGGCCCGGGGGAACTCGGAGATGGCCAATTTCTGTCAAAAAAAAAACCGTTTTTTTGAAAAAAACCCCCCCCCCGTTCTCTTTGTGGTCACGCAGCACTGCCCCCCCCCCCCCGCCTCTTGTGGGAGGAGCGTTGCGTGGTGACGGCACAAAGAGCGTCTGTGTAGTAGATTACCTTCGAATACACGCGGCATCAGCAAACTCCAAGAATGAAATAAATTAAACGTCGCGGCGTTTAATGGAGTAAATACGGTACTAGTCTAGCACTAATATCTTGTCCCGGACAATCGCACGGTACTTTTTTCGAGCCTTTTTTTTGGGACTCGAATGCCCTGTTTAGTGTTTACACCGACAAAGCACGATTATGAAAACGAGGTTGAAGAAGGTAGAAATTAGTTTAAGGAAGCTAAGAGGGCTTAAAGCTTTTCTTTGTGCTTTTATTTGCTCTAAATTTGTAGTCGACGAAAATGAGTAAACAGTTTCTTGTTTAATGAAAACAACATCTTACAATGCTTCGTGGCTTTTAAGCAAGTTCAAGCTTTGGTGTAAACAAGGCTTGTTAACTTTTATAAGTTTTGTGTCCAAATGATTTATTTGTTTTGGCAACATTTGCTTGGAAGGAACTGTAAATTGGTGCCAAAAAATAACCCGGCTATCAAACAATTTGTTACTTGACTGAATGATCTGATTGTATGATATCCATTTAATTTAGGGAATTCTTGTGAATGAGAATTGGAGACTTTAACTACTCTTATGTTACCGTTTTGTAATTTTTGGTTTTGTTGCTAATTTCCAGAAAATAATTTATTACATGAAGATAACTATAACATGAAGTTTTAATCTCGTCACGAATAAGTGGCCGTTAAACGTTGTACTATAAATTTAAGGAATATATTATGACTTTATTGGACCACCGAGGCTTACTTGAGCTTCTACGAAGGAAATCGCGTTTGGTTGTAAAAAGTGAAAGTAACGCTTCGAGCTTGAATAAAGTGATCTTACATATGCAGTTGTTTGGTGAATTTATTTTCTTATTCGCCTTTAATAAACCGGCGTAAAGATTCTTCTTTTCAAAGAGTTTTCCTTGGTAAATCTACCTTCATTTCTCACAGCGACAGAAAAAAACATTAAAAGACCCTCTGTAACTTACTTTTAAAGGAAAAAATGTTGCCTGTATGTAGTCTGACCATCCCTTGGTTCTTAAAGGAGAAGTGCAAATGGCTTTAATTCTTGGTATGTGAGACAGGTACCTTCCCCACCCCCCCCCCAAAAAAAGGATGCGAGACAGGCAACTTCCCCATCCCCTCCCCCCCAAAAAAAGCATGCGAGAAAGGCAGCTTCCCAATCCCCTTCCCCCCTCCCCACAAAAAAAGCACCAACGGACATGAATTTCAAAGGACTTTATTACAAATCCTCTTTCTCATAAGAACGTTATAAATAGAATATATTTACAAATAACTTTTCCAATGTTGCTTGTTAGGACTAATTAGAAGTAGAAAGAATGACTATTGTACTTGCAATAGATATGGAAAATCAGTCTACTAGAATCTTGGCAACTCTACAAACCTTTATGTGAAAAAGTCAATTCTCCTCGATGTTTTCTACAAGAGGACTTCTCCAAATGGGAGAATCGATAGCGTCATGGCGAATTACTGGAGTCCATTTTCAGAATAATGAATCGAAGAAGTCTTATGTACAACAGAATGAACTAAGAATGGTGCTATATGTCATCTATTAGCTTACATTCTTCCACAATGGGTGAAACTCTGAATTTTGTCATCTGAAAGAAAACTGCTAGTAGATTTCTTGTTGAAAGCCTACAAATTTTAATGGTTTGAAACTTTGAAATCATGCATACCAAAAAGGATCTGTCGGTATAACTTCGGTTATAACAGTAATTATAGGGCTCTTTGACTAATGGCAATATTTCGAGATGACTACGTTATAACATTAGGGGATGAAAAACATATACCCAAATTCTACAAAACAGAATGCATTAAATAAAATAGACATTTTAGTGCTTTGTTAACGCAGGCTTTTCTGTTTTAGTTGTGCTATTAAATTCAAAGTTCGCATAGAAACAACGTACAATCATTTTATCGTCACTCTAAATTTTCCGTTCGTCCTCATAAAAAAATGTCAAATGAAAAATGATCTCTAGCTATATCAATAACCAAAAATACTATCAAAATCACCCATTATTTTCCAAAATTCCCACTTACTTATAATTATATTTTATAACGATTAAATAACTTTATAGTTTATTTTCCCTCTTAATTGGGTCAATACTGGAATAAATCTTAAATATATACTCAACGTTTTTCGCCATTTCACAAAAACGACGAAAACCGAGGCACGCAATAAATCGATACGAACAAAATATCAAAAGTACGAATTTTAAGTTACTTTTTAATTTATACTTTAGAGGATCATTAAGTCTGAAATTTAAACTAAACGGAAGAACGTTAAGAGACCTTTAGATTTTAGGACAAGAACGACTACGAGTTCGAGATTTAGTTAAAGGTCTTTTCTCAAAAAATAGACACTCTGGAGAGCTTCATTTTTCCTTTTTTTCACCAGAAATGTAAGCACTGCTGTCTAAGCCCTGTCCCGATCGCAAAATGATAAACCTTTTAACACTTTTTAATTTGTTTCCGCTACTACGACATTCTTGCTAAAACGTCGTAGTATAGAGGAACCTCGATATTACCAACCTCTATATAACGAAGTCCTCGGTAAAACGAACGATTTTCTGTACCCCAGAAAAAGTACAACATAATGAAAAAACCTAGTTATGCGAACAAAATTTTGCGAGTCCCTTGGCACTTCGTTATATCGAGGTTCCATTATAGAATGACAACGGCTATCACGTTCTCTGGTTCACGCGCTCAGTAATTAGTATTAAGAAAATCTCTTACTCGTAGTTGTCCTCGTCTTAGAATTCAAAGGTCTCTGTTTTCTAGAATAGAACAACGAGCTAGTCTCTTAATCATCTGATAAGTCTATTGTCACTGGCGGTTTCTTCGACGGTGAAGAGTAAACTCCGCTACTGTCCATGCTCTTTTTAACAACATTGTCAAGCTGGGATGGACTTTGGAGGTTTCTGTGTTCTTTCCTGAACAAGTTCGACATCAAATGATCGTTAAGTTTCTCGCTTTCTAGTCTTTGTTGCGCTCGGTTATGTCTCCAACACCGCATAAACTCTTCGTGGGCTAACATGTGTTGAGGATAGTATTTGCTTTGTTGACTCATTATGAGCTGCTGTTGTAATTGCCGGTCTAGAGGCGTTGACCCGAGCCCGTGAACCGGGAGATGGGCAAGTTCCTCGGGAAAAATGCCGCGCGCGCCGTTACCATGGAGATGTAATAGTTCTGGGTGTTGCCATAGAGATGGATGATTTCTCCATGTGCTGAGTCCCGGATGTTGAAGATACGCTTGGTCAATGGCTGACATGTTAGCAGCAGCCTGTAGGTTTTGAAGGTGTTGTTGCTCAGGGTGAATGTGAAAATGAGTGTGAAGATGAGAATGCGAGTGCTGTTGAGGTCCATAATATTGAAGTCCTGTCACAGGATCAGTAGCTAGAACGCGTCCTGAGCCCCCTTTCAGGAGGGCCTCATGCGCCTGGGCTCTCGAGTCTTCAAGCGCTCGTCCCTGTCCCTGAAGATAAGAAATCGCGGGTATATGATGGCCAGCCGACTGCATTTGAGCCAAGCGGTACGGCGCATACCACTGCTCGAATCCTTCCGCATATTTTGCGGCATTTTCCCGCGATGATTCCCCACCGGGGATGACTCCTCCCCCAGGGAACATCGAAAATGGAAGCATCCTGTAATCCATCCCGACACCTTGATGCGAAAATGCGGGAATCGGAATTCCTTGGGGTGACAAACCCGGTGGGACATTGGGCGGGTACAAATGGTATTGACCTCCTGCCATCATGTTACGTAATGACTCGTAATGCGATGTAATCGTAGCTGGAGTGTGGGACGGTGATTGGCTTGTACTGGAGCGTATTTTAGCATCCGATGACGAAGACTCGTTACCCTACGAAATGAGAAAACAAGCGTCTTTAGTGAATAAGTTCGAGATCATGTTTTGATTTAATTTGACCATTGCCCCAGAGATAAAGATAGAAGAGGTTCATATACTGTACAATAAGAAAACCAAGAAAGTTATTGAAAACTATTGTTACTGTTGTTTGTTACAGTTACTGAGCAGTACTGTCTTTTTCACACAATACTGTAAAATCGTAGTTTACGAAGCAGTTCTTTGTGTCGTGACACAAAGCAGAGGAGCATTACGTGAAAGCACAAAGAATGGCTATCTAGGGAACTACACTTTGCCAGGAGGTTCGAAAAGTTGGGGTTCCACTATCATCCTGTGGTCAGATTTCTATTGAAGGCCTTAAGCAGCAATATTCGAGAAATGTCTCCTCCCAAACTCCCAAGAAGACGTACTTCTGGCTCGTCACGCAGTAACTCGGGAAAATTGCGTGACGAGCCATAAGGATATCCACATTGAAGGCTAGTTTCCTCAAGAAAGTATACTAACAAGCCCGAATTTACATACCTCAGCCTTTGAGGGTGACTCCTTGGAAACGGACGTTTCCCGAGAACACGTCGGCTCCTTCTTCGGCTTCTCGGGTCGGGGATGAACGAAGATGACATCAGTGCGAACACAGCTTCGGCCCTCTTCGCCACAAATCACACGTTTGAAGTTATTTGGAAGTACCACGGGCCCAGGCGCCTCGAGTCTATTCCCGGCCGGTGAACAGGAGCGGTTACTAGCTGCGTCGTCATTATTGTTGCTACTATTACTACACACACTACTGGCGTCGTGATCAGGAACCACACTGTCCCTACCCCCGGTGGTGCTACTTGTGTCACTAGCATTATCATTGGCATCCTCGTCAGAATCCTGAGATCGTGTTTTCTTACGCTTATCTCCCGTTTGATTCTCCAGCGACTGATCACGTCGGCGCTTCTTTCCTTTCTTCAACTTGCCCTAGTAAAACAGGCCTCGATTAGTATCGAGATTTATGATGTCTTAATTTAAAAGTACCTACTCTTAATGTCTCCTCACTCAGCCCTCCTAAGGGCAAAATGAACATGACAAGAGTCAAGAGTGGCCTTTGATATTTTTTCCCGCGCTTTAGGTAATTTGCGCGCTTTTGCATCTTCGTCCTGACTATTTCTTATTGGCTACGAGGTATGGTTTAATTTGATTGGTTAACACGCTTTACCCGTGCGTTTGAACTTTCACGTTGTCAACTAAGAACTTTCAATTTAGTCAGGGTAAGCACAATAACCCTCCAAGACAATTTCTGATTGAGATTTAGTTTTGAAGCATTCTAACATGATACCTTTTTCAATTTTTCCTTCCCTTCACTGCTTCCAGTACTCGAGGAACTCCCACTTGACGGCGATGGAGCCTTGTTAATCTTCGCCAATCTTCGGTTGCTTCCCGAAGATTCACTCGTCGCGCCTAAAAAGAAATTGCTTTAATTAAAGATTCTGAAAATTCTGTAAAGAGGAAGAATATTTATTCACCAAAGCCTAATTTACTTCGAAAAAGAACAATTTGTCGACCTTTTTTTTTCATTTTCTAGGTAAACCTAATATGAGTTCCTAATGTTATTACTTGCTTACACTGAAGATCGTTAAACTGTTTAGTTTAAGTGCTGTAGTGAAAAACAAAATTTAAGTAGGTCTGCGTTTGAAACAGGCAAACTGAAATACCTTCGACTGGGCTAGCAGTTTTGTTTCTTCCCGATCGTAACGTAGTTTGGACTGGAGGAATAGCCCTTCGGCTTCGCAAGGCAAGCTTTCCATTCACTAAGTACCCTTCTTCGTCTCTGAGCTGACTCTCAACCACAACCTTAAACATGTAGGGAGGAGGTTCGCGAGACTCGTCTGTCGCCGGCAGTTTGCCATATTTCTTGTAATAAATCCGACAGTCATCGCATAAAATAACTTTGTTTTGGCTTCCGTGATGCCAGCTGCGAGAGTCAGTGGAATAACAATGGCGGCAACAGTACAACCTGAAGAAAACGAAACGTTGAAATTAGCGGACTTCTCACAACAGAACGTCGATAATTCTGCAACGCGCAAAATCACCCTCACCCCCAACCCCCCAAGAAAACATGAAAGAAACCAACCTCAAATCTCGCTCGCTATCGTCACTGTCGTAATCATCTTCACTGCAAGAGCTTAGATCAACTGCAAAAAAAAGCTTGTATAAGTTAATGCACAATCCACGGCGCGCCTGAAGCTAGGAGAGCATTTTGCAGGTCTACAGTGGTCTTAACGCAAACTGACGACAAAAAAAATCCATAGTTCGTTGGTAGCTCTGTGAAAGCAGAATTAAAGGCGATGTTACACAGGACGATTTTTTGTATTTTTCGTGAAAATGTGACCTCATCCAGCGGCACATCCCCATAAGCCTCTTATAAGAAAGTACCCCGCCCCCCGGAATTTTTGCGAAGACAAGTTTCAGTTTTGAAAAAAAAACCGATATAGCCCGTCTAGGGAATAAAGATTAACTGACGCAAAACCTCATCTTCGTCTCACCCTGAATCCACCCGCTTCGAAAGGAAACAATTAACAAAAAAAAAAGGAACTATAATTTGCATCTTCCTGTGACACTTATTCATGGTTGCTGCAGGTGGTCCGAGAAAACAAAGAAAAGATAGAGTAATATTCCCACTTACCGAACTCACTAACAATGTTCTTGGACGACCTGGGGAGCGCTTTGCGTCGCAGAACATTGTGTCTACGGCGTCTGTGTGGTCGAGAACTTAGAGCCGTGGGCGTCTTTTTCCAGATGTAGTAATATTCTACTAGGTCTCCCTATAAACAGGAAAGAGAATTTTAAAAAAAACATTATCACAAACATTATTATAACTTAAACAAAAAGTAAAACGTCCATGATGTCGCTCTATTACGTCTAAGCAAAACTAAGCACTTCAATCTATGCTTCAACAGAAAAGGAAAATATAACAAGTTGTATTTTTACCGTTTCTTTGTGAGGAAGAAGTTCCTTCTTTATTTTGTAAAAATTCTTTCCGTACTGTCTAAGTCCCTTGACAAATTTTTTCTAAAGGACAAAAAATAGAAAGAATTATTATTATTAAGAGACAACCCTGTCATAGTAAATGCTACACAAGAATACTGCAGCAAACACGAGTGAGCCAATCTAAATTAAAGTGTTTGAATCTCTTAATCCAATTCTATTCTTGGGCTGAATCATACAGAAAAGAGCAGGCCCCAATCAAAAGGTGACTAGTACTATCCATCGGATAACGCAATTGGCTGTCCTAATACTTGCTCACTGGAGAGCAATTTATCCGGCCGATAACACTATCCTTCTTTTGAACAACTGGGGCCAGAAGTGTTGGAGCCACACCCATATCTACATCCTAAAGGTATTCCTTGCATAATCTTTCTGTCTGTAACTGTGCTATAACAATAAAAAATATTGGATGAGGAGTCAAGTGGCTAATACCACTAACCTCGACCTTGATTATCGCAGTTATCATAAAACCCAAATAAAAAAATAAATTGTTTTAACAGCAACAAACACACTGTTGCTCTAGGAAATTAGGCATTGTGCACATAACCTACAGATTAGTCAGTTATCTGCTAACAGATTCATCTAACTGACTAATCTGTAGGTTGCACTGATTTTCAATATTAACTGTACGCTCTTAGCAAATGAGTGTACAGACTGTGAGTACAATGTACAATAAGAAAAAAAAATAAGACAGACTGTTCACATTACCATTTCATCATCAGACCATTTCTTGTCAAGTTCTTTAGGATAGGGTTTCTTAACCAGAGCTTGCAGAGCCTTGGCTGCATCATAATTGTTCTGATGAAGCTGAGAAGGAAAAAAATACAAAAATTATCAGTTGCTCTTTTCATGGCCATCTTTCTTGACTAAAAAAACCCTTTCATGTCCAACCATTTTAAACTTAATGGCCCATGGTCATATTTTCTAATCACCTCTAAAGCACTAAGATCTAACCACGTAAGCATTTTTCCCCTTTCTGGCAGGGATAAGTTTTTACTTACCACATATATTGCATTACTTGTGGTTGCATCTTGGGAAACCGCTCTGTAGCCATCTTCTGGCGATCCACCATTACACATGCCGGCATACTGTGCCATGCTCCTACAAATGGACAAATTCATAAAACTATTAAATTCTACATTGTTTTTTATATAACAGACATGAAGCTTAAAACAAGAGAAAAAACAAAAACATATATAATATTATTTAACTCACCTAGCTGCACGCAAGTACATCATCAGTTCATAGTCTTCTAAGCATGGATTCCAAACCTGACAAAATAAATAATAATAATAACAAATAAGTCAAATAATTGATAGTTTAATAATAATAATAATAATAATAATAATAATAATAATAATAATAATAATAATAATAAGGAAGAAAAACAGAACAAAATTATCTCCAGACAAGAAATTTTGTTGTTGTATACAGTCACTGATTCAATTGCATAGTTCTATTGTCTGGCATTAAAATATAATATCCTCCAACATGCCTTAATATCATTTGTTTGGTTATGGTTATGTATATCTTCCAACACTTAAACCGTGCAAATATACCAAAAACATGGAGATTGAGACCTCAGAACTGGAGATTTCCAAAACATTTGTCAAATAAACCAAAAAGTCATAATATTTTTGCCATGCCATTCTTTACCCTGTTAGTGGTCTCTGTAGTACTCTCTTGTTGCTCTTTTGTGATGAGAAGATTCTGTTTCACTATCCAGGCCAATAGGAACGTGAGTAGCCTGGTGAGTATGCTATAAGGATTTCCTATGGACCTTAGCAAAACTATGTTTTATGGGAATCAAGTTGGAATTGGACTCAGATTCTCCCCATAGTTAGATTGACACATTATTATTCATCTGTTATCACGAAGGTTTCTTAAAAATTATGCAATTCCTACCAGAATTGTCTGGCAACTTTAAGATCTTCTGAGATCTAAAAAATGGAGACTCTCTCCTTTTCACTATACCCCCACCCACCTGAATTTCAACAAACCTCCCCCTCCAAAGGGAATGGCTTAGGACAATCTGGAGGCTTAATTGTGAGACCATGAGTTTACTCCCCAAAACCCTGAGTGTTGGAAGGTCTGCCTATGCTTTCTTACCAGTTCCTCTTTAGGTTCTTCTTCTGCTGCTCCATTTATAGGATATGGACAACATTCTGGTAGTGAAGCCTGCAAAATGACGAAACAATTTTAGTGAAACATTAACCCTTTTTCTAACAGAGTGAATGATGAGTGTTGTAAGATGGTTTTAACTTTTAAGTCTGTGGAAGACATCCCATGGCGTGATAATTCAAAACAGTTTAAAAGATGTAAAAGGTAAGGTAAAGGCATACACGAGCCAAAGGCCCAAACGGCCGGAGCTTATCCCGGTTTCATTAGCACGAAGCACCTAGGAGTACTGCTACTCCCCCCTGGACAGGATGCTAGTCCATAGCAGGGTTACCTCCCAGCAGTATGTCGCCCGTACCCATTTATAAATACACCTGGGTGAAGAGAGACAAAGTGGGGTAAAGTTCCTTGTCTAACAAAACAATGCAACGGGCGAGGTTTCAACCCTGGACCTCCAGATCCGGAGTTCGAGGTGTTAACCACTCGGCCACACACACCTCCACTAAGATGTAAATGATTAAAAAAGAGAAGCTTGTTTTGATTCAATTACCTGATGGCTTACTCCAACTCTTATTTCACCCTTGGTATTTGCCAAGCGTCTGAAAAAAAATTAATCAGCAAAAATTGAAGCAATCACCAACAGGTCATGATGATGATGATGTTTAGCACTGGCCAAACAGATCACAGCTCTGGGGATGGGAACGTAGCTTATGGGTGTGGATGAGATTCTAAGGGGAGTCAATCCATTCACGTGAAAACCGCTGTTATACAGTTTACTGTGTTGTACAAAGTCATTCTAGCTTTTGAGTCTTTGCAAAAAAACTTCCTTAAGTGTGACGAATGAAATAAAGAACCTCTGTATGGGCACCTACACATGCTGATTTTATTGTGCGTTTTCTGTCAAATCATCCATTTTTCAGAAAAAATCATCGCATATCAAGAATTGTTTTGCACGGTACTGCTACTAGTGAGCTCAGTGCAACCACAACAATGATGAAACAAGAAAGTTTAAAAAAGCAACAGGTTTAGTAAGCAAAACAAAAACTCTGAATGTGAAGATTTCTATGCTGTCATTGCACAACTGACATTGTCAAACTTGATTGGAATGGCAATTTGATCAATGATCACTGCATCAATAGTGATTGTTGCAACTTCAACTTCATCTCCAAATATCCATACAGAGGCTCTAAAGAATGCTGGGCAATACTTTCCAATGGTTATAATACTTAAAATAAGGTGTAAGCTGCACAGTAAATGGAATGTTAAAGCATGACCATTCATATTAATTCCACTTTAAAAAGTCATATTTTAGCATGTTACTTCAAACTGAGCAAGCACCCATTTTCATCCACACAATACCTTGTCTCTGGATTGTAACCAAGTACATAAAAGAATGCGTCATCTTTCTGTATGTATCCCTTCACTGAGTCAATTTCCACAAATGGCTTCACTTTGCACTTTCCCCTAAAACACAAAGAAGTCTAAATTCAATTTACATTATATCTAACTTTTAGGTCACTATTAAACAATAATTTGGCAACATCAGAGAAAAAACCTTTATACATTACAGTTAAAATCCTGTCTCATTTTAAAAAACTATTCAACCTAAGTTACCAGGGTTGATCACGTCAGAAAACTAAACTTATCCTAATAGGTTGAATAGTGGCCTAACCTGAGAATAATTAAGCCTAGTTGGTACACTGTACAAAGTATACACCAATAGGGGCTAGTATCACAACCAACTTTATTCCACATGCAAGCATTCAAGACCTAAGAAAACTCAAGCCCACACTGAATTTACAAAGACTTCATGTACAGTGTTATGTAAATTTTTGCAGATTTTTCATTCATTTTATTTTGAAGGTTTCATTTCTGGAAGGAAAATCTTTTTCCACATATAGAATTGTTTGGCCTAGACATACTAATAATACAATAAGGAAAAAATTTTGTCTGTTTTGAATGCTACAATCAAAGATCTGCTCCTCTGCCTAGCAACTCAGCCAATCTTGAAAAACTTCTTTTCTTTAAAAATATACAATCAAAGTAATACCTTCTTTGTTTTAGGGTAAAAAATAAAGACAGGGAGACAATGCCAATAAATTTATTTGATGAGTATAAAGCTATGCTGAGCTACACATCTATGTGTAACGCTGTGCCGTAGTAAAATCTGTGGAGGGCCATAAAACCCTAAATTCATTGAAGATCTCATACGTTGACTGTCTTGTTGCCCAAACTGATAGTCAGTAGTACATTGCTAGGGACAACCAGATGCTTGTTGACAGGACTGTCAAAAATAGCTGGCAGCATGTGAAAATCACCACCATTAAGCATATTTTTTTATTGGCTACATTGCTGGGTAGCTTATCTGACACTTGAGTCAAAGATGTCAAAATCAGCCATCTACTTCATCAATAAAGCTGTCCACAAAACAAATTTCAGCCAATCCATCTGGTTAAGCAGAGTCTTGGCATGTAAAATACCACCTCACCTTAAGGCAGAGGCTGGATACACGTCTGTTGCATCAGAAATAAACAATTCCCGCTCCTTTACTGCGACATCCTCCAAAATGTGATCGCCAGATCCTAAGAGAAAACAGATCAACTTTTCAGCTGTTTTTGTTTCTATGGCAGCACAAAGCAAAAGCTACAATGTTATTTCGTCACATTTCACAAATTAATAAGCTAACAAAATTAATAAGCTAACAACCACTAACAACTAACAACTGTTGATGTATGAAAGCCAGCTACTGGCTGCTAATGACAGCCCTACATTTCAAACATAGAAATATGGAAATTGTTTGAAAATTTGGGTTGTATAAACATGAAGGTCAAGTTTCAGTGTCTACCTGTGGAAAAAGGATAAACAAAAAGTTATTAGGATATTTGTGCTGTTTAAAATATAAGGCAACACACCATTTTCTGCATTCCTGTCCTGAACAAGTAGTTGATAAACTGACTCAGGAACTTCTGATGGACGGTAATACCACCTCACAACCACTACCAGTGAATCGCGTTTACTCTGCAAGCAATCACACAAAACTTGAAGAAAAAGGTTATCAAAACATAGGCAATATCCAACTAAAATATCCCTTAAATTCGGCGAGAATCAATAATCAGAAATTTTTGAAGATTAATGTGAAAGTGATGCCATTCTTGTAGCTATGTAATAACCATAAACCCATCTTAAAAGGTATAATATATTAATCATACATACTAAAGTACAACATCAAATTTTAACAGGAGAATTTCTTCTTAATGCTGTTTAAAAACATAATTTTGTATCATTAACTGTGCACATAACATTACAAAGAAAAATATGTACCTGTTTGTTCTACATATATTTTAAAATATAAAAGACTTACAAAAAAGTATTTAAAAAAGCAGAAAACATGACAAGGTATAAGTAAGTAGTATTAGATTTTTTTCATACTTTGTTTTTCCAAAAAGCCTTACTTGTAAATCCTAAATTGTGTACATCATTTCCTGGAACATTTTATTCTCTGCACCAGATATTTACATATTAAGGAGAGTTATGTGTTTCCATAGATCAAAGTTTATTGACAAGTATGTTTATGTTTCTGCGTGATAAGAGAGCTCACAGCAAGATGAGGAGATTTGCTAACTAAATTAAAAAATTGGAATTTCTTCATTTTAATTTAAAATCTGCTTATTTTTGAGTCACAAAGCCACAAACTTTATTTCTTTTTTTACATAAACGTTTTGGAACATAAATTACGTTAATAAAATCAAAATAAAGTGACAGCTGTGGGCTTTTAAAAATAAATAGAAAACTAAGTTTTAAAAGCGTGTCCTTGTAACATGACAAATGCCAAGCAAAATATATTTTTTTATGATGGATAAGACCTTTGTGATAACACATTTCTTTAAATCAAGTTTGTTTCGTGGAAAATAATTGAAATTCATAGGCTCGAATACCTTGAATGTTAGGTTTTATGATCGTATTCATAACAACTTAACTGTAAAATATTAAGAGGAAAAACTGTAAATTTCACTGTACACAAAAAGAAAAAACATCTCCTTTCGATCAATGCCTTGACAAAAAATACAAGAAGAAATCGAAACATTTTACCAACGATAATTTTTATCTCGTCAGGGAGTGTCAAAATATAGGGTATTTAAGCCAGAGAACAAATAAAAAATAAGCCACCCGAAAACTGTATGCACAGGCAAAACAAAACATGGCAAAAGAAAAAGCTAACGATAATATCAAATTTCTTCAATAGACGTACCATGCGAAATTCCTTGATGGCGCAAATAAAGTAGGGAACATCAGGTCTTTGGCTATCAATATACACGCAATCTGTCAAAGGAAAGCGGATTAATTGGATTATTCTAAGGCGTATGGCACATGAAATACACAACTCGTCAAGTTAAGATACCCACGTCGTGTATTTGTTTTGATGTTGTGTTCTGTTTGCTCCCCGCCGTTTTGCAAGCATTACGCCAAAAATACCGCAAATTGAGCGGAAGAATTTTCAGTCTTTTTACTTCGCTTGTTGGTAATAATCTGGGCATCCCTCGGGGAAAATAGAACTTTATTTTGTGTAAAATATTCGTTTGAATAATGACTTTAACGACATAAAGTAAACATGTGAAATGCAAATTTACAATTTACACGAACCAGAGACCACATTGTTTAGCTGAAAGAACATTGTTCGCGTCAGACCACAGAATCGATATAACTTTAATATGAACAAAAAACAAAAACGAGACAGACGATCACGCATTTTCCTCGCGTTTCAGTTTCTAAAAGTTCAAGCGTTCGAAATTCTTTGCGCCAAAATATTAACTATTCGATTTCAGAGTTCAAAGCATTCGTTTTTCTTTCGTTTCGTGTGTTATATTAATTACAGGTAATTATTCTAATAGCACAAACAATCTATATCGTCTTGAAAACGAACGGTATTTGACATTTCAAAGAGTCTATGAACAGTTTCACCTACCGCCGGGTTCGTAGTAAATATCTTCTTCGGAAGTATATGTCAGCTTTGTTGAGTCGGTTCCATCAGGTTTTTTCTCGACGTTTGCCGATTTCCCACCGCTCTGTTTTCTTCCTTTGAACTCTGCACGCTTTTCGTCTTGAGACAGTGCACGGCCAGAACTTGTCACGCTTTTGCACTCCGAAGAACTTTCACCCTTCCCACCCATAGCCATTTGTCACCGGTATTTTTAAAAGTGCTTGTCTGGTGAAGTAGATCTTGGTTCACCCGGACGACCGCTGAATAAACTGTCTTGCTTGCCGTGGCGAGTACCAATACAATCTGTGTTCCCCCTGGCCGAGTTGATCTGTAACAAAACGAATGTCTACACGATAAGAAAAAGACTAGGAAGATTGCAGTTCAACAACTCGCCTTCCCTCTGCTGCTGAGCGCTGTACGCATCTTTCAACACCTCTCTCATAACACCTTTTAATGTAATTCGTAATTTATTCAGACAATTAACCTTCACAATAGACACGCTCGCGCGACAGGAAATTTTAAATCTGCCAATACGCAAATCTATTTACCTGCAAAACTGTTAATACTGAGGATCCACAGTCAAGTCAACTCCATAAACTCTGACACTCTCCAGAAGATCGCTTTCGTCACTGAGATTTTAGGAATCACCAAAGTTGAGTACTTGCGGTTTCCGCTTGAATAAATTCTGTGTATTATCTGAATGACACCAAAGAAACCACATTAGAAACCAATTGACGGTTCCACCATTTTCAGTTGCGGACTGCACTGAAGCGAGAATCGAAAATAAAACATTTTCAACTTTACCAATCAGACAAAACTCTACACGAACGATAAAAGGCAACAAAGATCCTTGGTATCGTGAAGAGGCGACGACTCTTGTGACACATTCTAAAATCTATTGTTTAAAGACGATTATAAAGACAACGATCTACAGAGCATTCACCGCCTCAAACTGAACAATTTTCCACCCGAAATGGCCTGCTAAACAAGCTACACAGCTTGTACCACAAAACGCCTTTTGAAAATACAAGCTTTGCCTTTTTCTACTTTCGCTGTTGTAGGTAACTTATTTCTTTTCAAAACAGCAAAGTAAACATACTAACCAAGCGATTTATATTTTCCCTTGTATCGTGTTTGAAAAACTCTACAAAAACATGAACAAACAAGCGACCTAATCCTCCCACAGAAACTTACTGTTAACGGTGCCCCGGAACGAAAGCTTTCTAAATTCAGGGAGAAAATTCGCATATAATGACGCTGTTCTGTTTTCACATGTGTTGTAAATATAATATATTATTAACATGAGAGATGTGGACGATTATTGTCTCAAGAACGATTACACTTCAACCGTTGAAACGTCCTTGTCGAGATGAAAATCTTGTCTACGCCAGAGTGAGCACGCGGCAAAAGCGATAAACTTAGAGAAACACGTCTGGCCAAGAAAATGGGAGTAAACTAAGACAAAGCAGCTTACCTCTACAACAAGACGACCATTTAACCATTTAATTTGAGATGAACGGATATTTGCAGAGTCAAATCAGCCGATTTCAGAGCGACATGCACGCGTTTACAAATAGAACGGACCACTTTTGACGAGAAGGAAAAAATCCCGTAAATCAACGCTAAATCATCGTCGGCTGGCCAACAAGTGTTTAGCCCCGGTCGAGAAAATGCTCTTTCCGTCAGCTCAATGCATAAACCGCACTATTTGCCTGTTTAGATGAGCAAGGGAGACAAGAGAAAACTGAACAAACCCAGAACAGATGCCTGCTTTGTGAAACGTGATTGGCGAAATCAGCATGAGGCGTAGTTAGGCGTTATCTGATTGGACGAAAGGTTCTTAAATGTGTGAAGCATGTCAATTTCACCTGCGAGCCCATTTTGATTGAAAAGTTAAGTACATGTCACGGTTGTTTCAACTACTTACATTTCTAATCCTCCTCAAACACGAATCAACCCTTCCGAGGGCATCACGGTGAAAAGGAACGCGGATTTTAAATCAAATCGTTTCTCAGGGATTCAATATTGGACTGGAAGGATGTTTCATTAAATTCAGCAGTACTCGCTTCCGACTGAAATATATTTGAATACCTTGGGATAAATAATGGCATTGATGACAGCGATCACAAACTCATTTTGTAAACACTTTAGGCTCACGTCAATCACGCATTCTCCCAGCTTATCACCCCTCTCAAAAGTAAATTTACAATTTACTCCTCGTTCGCGCTATCCCCAAAAATTCTCCTGGACGCGAAAAAGTAATTTAACAAATTTGCAGCTTTTCAAATCTTACACAGTCTATGGGAAGTCACAACAAAATCCAGGCATGGCAAAGTTCAAAGACGTCATTATCGCTCATCTTGTTATTGATATACAAAATCAAAAATACAAGAACCACAGCATCCGGATCACAACAACAGCTTCAGGCAATCGAAGAAAATCAAGAAAGCGCAAAAAATTACACGACACCTACTTTAAACTAAATTCATCTGCGAGCGTGTCAAAAACCTCGACTCTCGCATTTGTGGTTTGCTAAGTCTCAGTTCCTGTCGCTACGGATCACGCTTATTGAGCAAACGCCACGGGGAACTTAAAGTTCAGGAGCAATATATTTACTTCTTGCAATGTGCCCAAGTATATATATATCAGAAATGTATAGAAGTGATTAATTTTCCTATATATATCTGCACCTAAGGGCCTGTTTTTCTTTTTAATATTTTTTCTGATACCATTTATAACGAAAGATTACAAAAGTAAATCACAACTTGTGATATTTGTGACATCGCGAAAATCTTCTTCAAAAACAGCGCAAAGGTTATACAGACTTGTTTTTTTTTTAAATGCAACATATTAAAAATGGGTTTGTTGTCTGTACTTTAAGTACGTTGTAGATTGCAACAATGCACTATGCAATCGGCTTGGTAATAACCACTTTCTAAGTTATTCTTTTAGTTTAAGATTTGCTGATTATTTCAAATAATCACGAAAAGCAATGAGAAAAGCGCTGAATATCGGAAACATGTTTGCTTGCTTTCAGATCAATATTACCCGATACGCATATTAGATTGTCGTGACATTGGATTTAAAGCGAATATGTACTTAAAAGGGACGCAAATAAGAATAATTAAAAAGGGAGACCAACAGTTAATTTCCTTTCAGGGGCATTTTGGTAAAGGTTAAGCTATTTCTTATAAAACTTCGCCGGATGAAGTCTAGAAATTTGCATCTGACAGCTTGTTATAAACACCGAGCCAGTTCAGATACGGGTCCGGCTCGTGAAATTAACATGAAATGGACACGAAGCGACTCAAAAACAGAAAAACGTTGGACAATCAACTGGATTTACTTTAAAACATTTTCCAATTTATTTTTTTCAACTAAACTGGAAGAGACTGCTTGTTTCCTTCCTTTTCTACTTGATATAAACCGCCAATACTATTTACGTAAGGAAAAGTTCCATATCTTGTGATATCAGCCACTTCTCTTTCGACTCAGTGATCTGCCGATGTTTGCGGTAACTGACCAAACGTGTCATCTTTGTTCGGCAGATATTTTACCTGGTCTCAACTTCTTGATGGGGCTTTGTTGAAAGAAAAACAAAACAAAGCCAAACAGTTCCCATTTCTTCGTCGCAGCAAAGTCAGTTTTTTACGCTTCATGCCCGCGAATAACGAAACCAACGCTTGAAGTCAATGTGATCGATCGATAGTTGTAATGCTCTAATCAAATAGTTTAGTTTATAAATGCCTTGTGACGCGCCATCCGCAATATCCGATTAAACGATAACTACAAATTTGCCTTCCTATTTAAAGGAATACGTACTTTGATCCCATTTTTAATTCTCCAAGTAGAAGGCCAAGAGAGAAACTTCGTCGCTGTATAACTTCTTCGGCATGGGTTTGTGGGTCTAAATGTAATTATTACTAATTACAAAATCATTTAGGAAACATAAACGCAACAAAATAGGTGCATGAATACATTACAAACATACCGGCTTAATTCCACTAATTAAACATTCATCAAGCTCTGTGAATCCATGGTAAATTTGGCGAGGTCGAAATGAGCGTTAACAAAAAAGATTTCAAAATGTGAACTAAAAACAAGTTCATTCTTTCTGTGGAAACTTTCACTTTTGATACGCAATCTACAGTTAATGCCTTATAACATGCAACATATGTATCTCTCGAAACTGTATAGTTCCGTTTTAATAACCTTCGATGGCCCTTGTTCGTTCACACGTACCAGAGACTCTGAAAATCTCCGCAAGCTTTCAAAACCGAAAGCATTTCAGTGTTTGAAATGTGGAGGTTCTTTACCGAAAAAAGCGAAATCTATAAAGGCTGATAATTGCTGAGGGCGAGAACGAGTGAGAAAGATCCGACCATCGAGCCATCGATCGACGGCGCCGGCCGTATCACGAACTGTTTGTGCCGCTCATTCACCACTGCTACAGTTCACCAAATCCTCAAAAAACCACGCTCAACTCTAAAGTCAAAAGTACACAAAATGAAATTATCGCTAATCTCACCTTGGCTAAAACAGTACGAAACTTGAAACAAGCTTTGTTGAGACAAAGATCGCTTGGTGTTTATCACTTCAAATCTGGAACAGAAATTCTCGATATCACACGTTTGCTCCACTTAAATTGTCCCCTTGGGAGATCTTATTCATCGTAGATAATCAGGCAACCGGAAGTGGTCAAACCACAGACATATCGCCATCGCTACGGCACCGAATCCAGTCGTTTTATGCTATTTTCGAGTTAATTCCCTCGGTTTCCTTTTGGAAAATGAAAACTACAGCGATTTTTCTTTCGATTTGCTAAATTAAAGATGCGAATTTTAAAACAAATTGGAAAAGTTATCCACTAACTCGCACGCGGTACACATAAAACAATAAACAATAACATTGACATCACAAAGGGGACACATTGTAGATTTCAAGTTGCACTAAAGTTTACTTAGCAGGCGATTGCCTTAAAATGAACTACATACGAAAAAAAAACCGTGATCACAGAGCATTTGAAGTTCTCGGTGCACACTTTTTTTTGGATTTTTTTTTCTGTTTTGATCAGTAAAAAAGTCTGGAAAGGACATTCGTAGCAGCTGTGGAAAAGCGTTTATCTTACATTGTTTTAAGACAGCTGCTTTGATGTTGGTTGGAATTGCTGATCAGAACGATTTGTGAAAGCAAATGAAATTCATCAGTGTAAATTTACGCAATGGAAATGAAGTATTCGAAACACACTCGTTGTTAGGATTCAATGATCACTATATAAAAAATGGTAATATTTTCGACATTTTTTCTTCCCTCTCAAACTGTCAAGCAAACTTGTTTGGTATCCTTCAAGTTTCAAATCGTTTGCTGTTTAAATTTGTTTGTTTTGAAGAAGACATCATTTGAATTTACGCACTAAAGTGTTTCAGGTGAAAATTTATTTACCATCAGTTTTAAATATAAAACTTCGGTCGGAAGGGTGAAAAAAAAACCAAGTTTAAGGGAAACTTGGGCAAGTGGTTCTGTTCAGAGGCGTTCTATTGATGCTCGCACACGCGTTAAATTAACCATTGTTCTGAAAACAAATGTTTTCTGAATCCATTGTCTAAACAGTGTACACAAGCTTTTCTGAAAACAGGACCAAAAGAAATGGAGAGTTTATACGCTTGTTTATATAGATACAGAGAAGCCTGTATTGCGCGAACCCAGGGCCAAGTGGATAAAAGCGGAAACGAGAGTTGGCTAAAAAAAATGCAAAATTTTCCTTTTCAAACTGCATTTTCTTTTCTTTACACAAGGGCGGCTGGTGGATGTGCGCTGAATACATGATTCCGGAATTTTTGTTTGTAGGTTAGGGAATTTTGCAGTACAATAGGAAACCGCATCTTGAACGGTGACCCTTCTGCTACCTGCGCGCGTGACAGGCGTTTGAAAGGAAAGGAAAGCAGTTAAAAGGGGAAGGGATTATGGACACGCGAGAAGCGCGAAAAGCCCCTCCTCCCTTTTCCCTCGCGCGTGGTCTCGCTCCCAAATATCCTTGCCACTCTGCCGCGCGCGCAGGCCATTCATCTGCTTGCTTGACGTGCAGTAATGAGTTACACTCGCTGCTATGCCCCTTACCCTGCGGGAGGGGGGGACCAAAAACTTCCAGTTTCGGGGTTTCGGCTAAGTCTCTGACAAAAATGCCAAAAATAATCAAATAGGAATATAAATCCCCGCCATCCACCACCAGAACTGAATATTAAGATGACTCATCGTAATTCAACTTTTCAAAATGACACCCGCACCAATCCGGCCTGGGTCATTTCTTTCGACTTCTTGGCCCCTTTTTTTTTTTTTTTTTTTTTTTTTTTTTTTTTTTTTTTTTTTCTTTTGGGATCGTAATTCTTTCCCGCCCCCGGGGCGGCGCGCGGGCCGGGGGGGGGGGGGGAAAAAATTTTTCGGTTGTTGTGATTTCCCCACAAAAAAAAAAAAAAAAAAAAAAAAAAAAACAAAATCTTAAAACCCCCCCCCAAACAACCCACCAAATAAATTTTTACTTTTTTTTTTTTTTTTTCTTTTTTTCCCTTTTTTTTTTTTTTTTTTTTTTTTTTTTTTTTTTCGAGCCTTGAAGTGTCCTTTTCCCTCAGTGCTTTGCCTTTGAACAATGAAGAATTAGTGGAGCGTGAAAATTATTTAGAACGACGACGTCATCATTTGCAGGAACCGATTACCCCTTCTTAGTGTTGTCCTCCTGTCACGTGTCGTTGACTATTTTCAGCTTTTCCTAAAAAGTCAGTGTCTGTAACTCCGGCTATAAGTCTTACTGAAATTAGACGGTCATCAAATGGTAAAAAAAGGGTAAACGATAAACGATAACCAACCAGGAAAAATTGAAGAAAGTCTTTTTAGGGTCAAAGCCACGCCTATCCCTAACTTCTTATCTACGTTCAGACAAGGTTAAGTTTTAATAGAGGCCAAAGATAATATTTACAAAAAAAAAAATTCAAATTCCTAAGAAATAAAGAGCTACGGAAAAGTTCTACCTAAAAGGTCTTGAATGGTAGAACCACAGAATTTCGTCCACAGAT